GTGCAATTACACAAACCAAGCTTTCATAGCAAAAGGCAGCTTACACTTCAACTCCAGCAAAACGCAGCAGTAAGCTCCAAGAGGTCCCAATAACCAGGTACTCTCCAATGGTGCGATTCTTAAGTCCATTAGAAGCTAACAGATACCTAACAGTACTGGTACCTTGACACTGAGGTCAGAAGCACGCTGTTATTACATGAACTCCATAGTATTCAATAGCAGAGGAAGGGGATAATTGGATTACTCAGACCATTTAGCACATCAGATTCCCACAAGTGAAGTATTTCAGAGTACCTGCCCCCTTCCACCGTCTCCACTGGGGCTGCATGTTCCACATAATCAGTTCACAGAACTAAGAATCACACACCAGAAAGTGAGATGGCCAACACAGCCTTTCATACGTAAGAAAGGTTTCACAAAACCTTATTTAAAAATCCAAATTATTAGATGCCCAATTGTTCCTCTCACAAAGTAAAATACAAATCACTAAGAATTGTTAAGAAGTTACCTGAGCATCAATAACATATATTAGAGCACCTGTTCCTCTGAAGATCATCTCATAATCAAACGTTGGGTCAAAAAAGTCCATCTGTCCAGGAAAATCCCAGATCTGGAAATTCACAAACGAACTGTTGGAAATATCATCCTTATAGATCTTGTTGGTGCTTTCCAAGAACAGGGTCTCATTGGGAGACATTTTGTGAAACACCACCTGTTAAAAGAACACAAACAATAGCCTTGACTTGGCCTCAGTAGAAGAGATTGTTAAAACTTCTGTGACTTGAATCTTACAAATAGGTTTATCCGCTCTGAAGAGTATGGCTTTTCCTACAGGGACTTTTCCCTTTTGCTGAAGAGACAGCTTGGTTCATCAGCTAAGCAAATAACCTACTGTTAGAACCAAGCAACTCAATTCAGTTAAATATTTTTACAAGCCTAAATAATGATACTGCCTAAAGACACCGACCCAGTTGCTCTTTCTTCCTTGCAAGTCAAACACAGTATCTCGAAATGTTGCTCTATTAGCCACATTGCATCAGGTGTAAAGCCACCACATTAATTAAGCAACCACAAGCTTTTAAGAACTGTTCTTTTCTAGCCCTAGAATTTCCTCTACAAAATGCCCAACACCAGACTGAAAGCAGTTACAGTGCAACAGAAACAAACCACTGCTACACTACAATGTAAGCTTACAGAAATACATCTCTGTTTTAGGGCCCTGAACTGCTGGGTAGTTCACCTGCTGTTAGCAACTGGTTTATCTTTGCTCACCCTCTCCCTTCAAGTACCCCAGAGGAATGTTGAAAACTATCAAACTATCATGGTAGTTGGTAAACAGTTCAGCTGCAGTGCTGAAAGACACAATTATTACTCACAAAGCTCCACTGGGATTTTAGCCCTTTCCTGAACAAACAGAAACATGCAAGCCCACAGCAAAGCAGTCTGTAACGAAAGCTGTCAGCTTCAACAGTAAATGTTGTGCTACAGCAACTGGACTGCCTGTCACAAAAGTTACTACAAACAGGTAAGGTGGTTGAACTCTAGGACTGCTACATGAACTGTTTCTTTTTTTCTTTTAAATGTTTCACACCATCATAAAAGTCAAACATTAAAAAGAGTGAATGCGACACTCTCTGTCAAACTGCAAGACAAACAGCTCCACACCCAGCACACCTGATGGTTGCACAGTGAGGTTCAAAGTAATATGTCAAATTTTTAGAAGTAAGAGGAAAGAAATTCACTTCCTCAAGGTTTGAGGAAGCTAGGGTCTGAATGAGGTTTCATACAGCACGACACTGGTATGGAGAAGTGAGAGCAGTTCTAGGCAGGTAGTGGCCTTACTGCGAGGACTAGACATCCCTTGGGGTCTGAAGTTTTAAGGCATCCTGGAAATCAACACTTTTGGAACTCAGCATCCCTCACGCGGAGCAGGACACAATTAATGAATTACAATTAAAGAAGATGAGTCTCTGAGAAGCAATGTCATCATCCCCTTTCCCAAAGCGATGTGTAGCTGACATAGCTGGTGCTCCCAGCTTTGCTTAGAAGAAAAAGAAAGGCTGCACCTATGAAGTGACTTGCAAAGTCTTTAAATCTAGCCACAATTTGGGGTTACTGGTTCCCTCCAGCTTTCAGGTTTCACAACTTCCAGCTGTGGATAACAGTAAGGTCTCCAGTAACAGACTGTGGGGGCTGCCATTCCCATGCCCAGAGACTCAGAAGAAACCTTTCGGTGCCACCACAACATCTGCACGTACACGGGGGGCAGCAGGCCTGGGTACTGACAGGTGACTGGAGAGCCTGGAGGGCAGCGACAGCCCTGTCTGTGTTTCAGAGCACGAAGTAAATGTTTTCTAACAGCTCCAGAACGATTTGTAAACCCTGCCTAAGGAAAGGAACGAGTCCCCAGCGAAGGCAGGAGTCCCAGGCTGCGGTTCAGGACCCAGTGGCGCAGCACAGCCTGGGGATTACCACGCAGCCTGCGCAGTGCTGCTACCAGCAGCAGATCCGTTCCTCCTTGCGTGCAACATGCAAAAAAGGCTCCTCTGCACAGAAGTTTTACAGAAAGCCCCGAAGGGGGCCACGTTTGCATTACAGGGAAACCGGCGAGCCCCCTGCTCCGGGCTGACAACCCCTGTGCCTCCCCCGCAGCCCCTTCCCCGAACAGCACCGGCAAACAAAACCCCCGGAGCTGCAAACACGGCCCCGCCGCCCCCAGCTCCGCGGTATTTTACCACCCACCACCGGCGGCTCCCAGCACCACTTCCTCCTCGCCCAGCACCTCGCCGCGGCCTGCAGCGGGGGGAGCGCAGCCTCTGCCCCTACGGGAACCGGCGGCGGGGCCGGGGCCGCTCCCGCTGAGCACCGGCAGCGCCTCGGGAAGGCGACGGACCCGGGGCCGGCTGCCCTGGGGGGAGGCGACCACCGGGGGGGCCGGGCACACCCGGGGGGGGTCCTCTCCACACCGGGACGGCCTCCCCCGGTTCTCCGCAGCCTGCCCTCACCGGCACCGACCCGGAGGAGCGGCGGGTACCCTGCGCTCACCTTCTGGATGGAGGACTTGCCGCTGCGCCGCAGCCCCATCAGCAGGATCCGCGGCTTGGAGTCCGCCCCGCCCGCCCCGCCGCCGGGCCCGCCCGCTCCGCCGCCGCCTCCGGGGCCTCCGGAGCCCGGGCCGCCGTCCAGCTCCGCCTCCTCCTCCTCCTCGCCGTAGCCGAAGTCTTTAGGGAAAGCGTCCGCCGCTCCGAAGCTGCCCCCGACCAGCGCCGGTTCCTCCGCCGCGCCCGCCGCGCCCCCGCCGCCGAACTGCAGCGCCATGGCCGCCCCCGCCCTGCGCCCCGCCGGGCCTCCGCCTGCCGCGCCAACCCAACGCCGCCCGGCCCCGCGCCCATTGGCTGAGCCGCCGGCTCCGCGCCGCCCATTGGCTGAGGGAGGCGGCAGCAAGGTAGGGTGGCTCCGGGCACAAGACCCGAGTCACCTGACGGCGCGGCTGCACGTGAGCCGGAGGGGCGGGGACGAGGGGGCGGGGCTAAGCGTGGGGGCGCGGTGAATGGCCCGAGGGGCGTGGTGAGTGGGGTGGGCGTGGCCACGGGTCGGGTGGTGAATGGAAGTGGGCGGGGCTACGCGCAGGGGGCGTGGCCACCGCGCTCCATGCGCCAGCCCCGATCGTGCCCCGCAGCTCCCGGCCCCAGCGGCCGCCGCGGGAGCGGGGCTCGCCCTGCCCGGTCCTTTTCTCGCCCTGCTCGTTAACCACTCGTTAATATCGCCCGGCAGCAGCTGTCCTGGCTCGGCCCTCGCGTGAAGCTGTGCTACAGGGCTGTCAGTCTGTCCCAGCCCCGTTTAAGGCTCACACGACCAAAGGCTAAACCAGCAGAGGGGTGACCAGAGAGAAGTGTAAGCGCCCCTTATCGCCCTCCCAGCTGATGTTTTCTCACCCTACAACCGCCCCAGCCCAACACCTGACCTGCCTGCTGCTCCCAGGGCCAGGCGTGCTCTAAGCAGCACCACCCCCTCATAGCTGTGACACATTTCCTACAGCATCACTGCTCCCAGTCCTTCCCCACACTGCAACTTACTGCAGTGTACCCATCCTAACTTACCTTCTGCAACCGGGGTGAGAGGGAAGCAGCATGTTGGGTTTCTGATTTATTTGTTTTGTTTTTAAGAGCTAACACAGCATTACCTGCTTGTTTAGCTCTTTTCTGTCCTCTCTAGATCAAGAAGAGGTACAGCAGCAAGGTAAGAAGACATTACATCATTATATTCATTAGCACCTGATTTCAATTTGCACACTGACCTCAGCAGCTCTGCTCTACCTCACCACACCTAAGACCAGGTGCAAGACCCATCCTAGACACAACTTATTCTACTAGCCAGTAGATCTTGTACATAAACAACTACTGCACTTCTGTCTTATCTCCCTGCATTTTTTCCTGTCAACAGTTGCCTTTAAAGTTCCTAGTTTTAGGATTGAAAAAAAAATGATGCTCTCTGAAATGCATCTTTCCTGTGAAGGACAATTCTGCATTTCAGAAGCACTATGAAATGATGCAGGTGGTACTGCAGCTCCAGCAGCATGCTGTGTCCCTCACTTAACTACACCCATTCCCGATGCCACTTTGAGCAGACAGTCGCCCTCCAGCAGCTTCAGCAGAAGCCTAACTGCACTACCAAGTACCAGCCTGCAACATGCTTTGGAGGTCTTGCTTTTACAGTTGGATCCTCCCTCCTCCCAGCTGAGAGAATACCAAGAGATCAGCAGCTTAATGGGATCATTGACCATGATCTGCAACTTACACAAAGTTGGCAGGCACATTTCTCTACAAGTTAATCATAACAGCAACCTTTTCTGCAGCACAGAAAGCAGGAAGATTGGCCAGCATGTCTAAATTCATCAGTTGTTGGTGCAGCTGAAGAAATCACATTCAAAACACTTGTTTTCCTTTAAGATGATCGGGTACCTAAATAGACGTGCAGAGTTCACACAGAAGAGTCAGGACTGCGGTTCTCAGGAAGCCCTTTATTAAATCAAGGCATTAAAGGAGTAACTACTGTTATTCATCATGCTTCTCTTCTTGAGGTGGTTCATACTGAGCCAGCTGTGGATTTAAAGAGAAATTCAGTTAGGGACAACATCTTAGGGACAATTTCTACATTAAGAAATGTGAAAGGCAGTCTGGTCTAGAAGTACTGCATTTTCCTGTATTTTAATCCATCACAGGCAGTTATGCATGTCCATTTTCAAGTTAAGCAACAAAAGAACCCTTCCTTCAAAGCACCACATTGTTGCATTGTATAATCACACAGCTGTAAGAAGTGGGCTTTTCAAGTACACTTTCATTTTCCCCCCCGTATCTTGTTCTAGGTCTCATGAAGTACTATTAATCTAAAATAGCAGCTGGTATTGATCAGTGCCTCCTAAGTTTTGATTTGTACTGATATATAATTAAGTATTTTTTCTCATAGCAAGGGTATCTAAACACTTTCTGAAATAATTCTAGCTTTGATTATTCTTTCTAGAAGGCATGGCCTAGGCAGCCATGCATTAAAGTGTGACCTTTACTTGGAAAGTTATTTCCAAAGAAACATGAAGATGTTTACTTGACCTCGGTAACATAAAAGATAAGCTCATGCTTCAAAAACAGTTCGAGTGCCAGGACTGAGTCTGAAATATGCCTCACTTAAGATTCTACCCCTCATCCTGCAAACTGTGAAGTAGGTTAAAAATCGATACATCAAAACAAATTAAAATACCATCGTGTCCCTTGTAGCAATACTGATTTACAGCAGCCACTGTGGCATTAACAAGAACCACAAAAACAGCATTTCTAGCATGTTCTTCTAGAGTTTACCACACAAGATGGTCAGTATAAAACCTGAAATCAGATTTCTTTCCTGTAAGGACCCAACTGTTGCATTTCTGCCCCCATCCCCATGTAAATACATAACATTCAGTAAGCTTAAGGAAAAGAACAGCTCTTCACAGATTAACACAGCAGCAAAACACTTATTCAGGCATGACTGAAGTTACCAATAAGGGCACAATTAGAGGGGTGTATTTTATGCTAGAGGAATGCTGAAAATAAAGCTAACAGTTTTCCCTACTGAGAACATCCGTGTGAGTTCATCCATGCAACTTCTACTGTGTCAGAATGACAGGTAATAAGGGAACAAAAGATAAAAACATTAATAATGGAAAACATAAAATAAAAGTTAACATTTGAAGATAAAGAAGGACAAAGTACAACTAAAGTAAACAATTTGGCTTATGGAGAGCTTGCTTTCCTGAAAGAAGTTTTAGCAACACCTCTTTAAGAGAGACCCAGGTCCCTCTGCTTTCACACGTCCACTTACTAGTTGCATTTTCAACTCAGCTACAGCAAGCTGACTGCTGGTCTGCTGCCACTCCCACAAGAGGGGGCAGGATACTCTGCTGTATTTCCTAGTAAGCATAAACAAACGTAGCTGCAAGGACTCAGCAGGTACTAGCTAAGAATTGCTAGGTAAGCAAGTGGACACTCCAGAAGAGGGAGTAATGCCCAAGGATCCCTTCTCCCAGAAGGGAAGCAGCAGTAGTTGTTTAGGACACAAGAACAAACATGGGGATGTTCACACAGGAGAGAAGAACCATCCCCTTCAGACAAAGACATGGAAGCTCACAGTGGCTTAAAGCCCTGCCACTAGCTCATTAAGGTTCTCACAGTTTTACTTTGAAACTTCTTGCTCACTTTACAGTCATTACCATCTAAAAGGGAAGCTGTTCACATCTCTGAGCTCTTTTAGAGCGCCTAGGAACCCCTTAAGGAACAGCCCTGCATTCATTAGAGCCTTGCAGATGCAGGAGTACCAGAGCTGTTTTAACTAAAGGGCAAGTTAATGTTCAACGTGATAAGAGTGACCTCCACTGGTAAAATCCTGCCATGTATAAATCCATACCAGGATACAAAAACTAACACACAATTTTCCTCCTTCAGTTAGCCCTTTAAAAGCCTCTACAGTAGATACACTGGCTTCCCACCACCATCCTCTTTTTCAAAGCTCTTATGGAAGCCTAAGCTACATCGTATCAGGCAACTTAAAAATATCCAGATAGGACTGAGTGATAATAGGGAATTAGCCTTCATACATATATTTTTTACAAAGTAAATTCTCTAGTTAGTAAAGCTAGATTATAGAATGCAAGTCTCCCATCAAAACAATTACTACACAGAAGTCTACCAGGAATGAGCTGGCATTCCTCAGCCCCAAGGCTAAACAATGTTAACAACATTTATCAGTTATTCTAGTGAAAAAAGTTAGCTGTATTGTAAACCTCAAAGTATCTGCCTGTGGAATGCAGAAGTACTTCAGAATACCAGACAGACTTTTACCTTGGTTTTCAGGTTTTTATTTTCTTCCAACACAGCTTCGTATTTTTCTTTCATCTCTGCCACTTCCAGGCGAAGTGCCTCTATTTCTGGATTCTCAGGAGCTGAAGCTCCCAAATGATGCTTCAGAAAGCTGGTATTTGGATGTTAAGTATTTCTTCCATTAGACAGCGTAACTGTTTTAATTTTAACACTTAATTAAAAGTTAGTGATGCAATAAACGTGACCAAAATTGCATTAAACCACTTTGATTACTACAGAGCTTTTCATCCTACAGGATAAAGTTCCAAAAATATGAAAGCCTTTCAAGTTCATTGGTATATCACACAAAGAAGTGACATCTGTACGTATGAGATGCTCACATTTTGCTACACCAACCTTTTCTTTCCTCTGAAATGCAGAATATGGTAGCTTTTCAATTTGTGTTTCAAACATTTAGAAAGAAAAAGGAAAAAAAAAAAGGTAGGCTACCTACAAAACAGCAAGAAATAAAGCCTTTAACTTTTTTCTTTACCTTCTCGTACTCAAGTACTACTAGAAGAAGGGGCAGTGTGAAGAAGCAGACTTCAGAAGCCACAGATACAGTAATCAATTCTAACATTGCAGGTCATCTTGTAGTAGCCTGTAACTTAATTTCATAAATGTTGACACACTGACGAACACGATTCTCTTGAATCCTGTCAGATTTGGTTATTCTTGTCTGAAGACTTGTCAGAGAGCTAATCTGACACAAGCTTGTGAATACTACCAAATGCTTTGGTAATAAACTGCAGCCAGAAACGCTGGAAAATGCCAGTGGTTTTAAGGTTACTGGAAGCAGTTTAGCACCAAAGGAATTTCCAATTGTCTATTATATATTGTCTTAGTGGATCAAGAGCCACCTGTAAGACTGTTAGTAGTAACTAAAATCACCTAGAAAAGGCACATTCTGAGTTTAAGTCTCCCGAGCAAGTCTCTCCACTTCATCTGCAAGTGCGAAACAGCACTGACGCTGCGTGGCAAGTCCCCAGCAGCACTCCACAGAAGAGAAAAAGGATACTCCAGTGCACTATTTGGTTTCTCTGGCTCTTCATATAAGGCTACCAACACTGCAAACAGAAAATATTCAACAATTTCAAAAAGTTCATGCAACTCTTTACTTTTAAAACACATACCAACAGCCAGTAGGCATAAGTATTGCATGCCATGTTTATAGCACTTTCTTCTGTTTAAGAAAGTTCTCACCTACATCCTTTGATGTTAAGAGTAGAGCTGTACAGGAGAGAACAGAGCATCCCACATGGTAACAGCTACCCAGAAGGGGCTTCTTGGTCCCCTAACCAGTCTTTGACTATTCTAGTACAGAAAACAAACCTAGACAAGTTTGACATGTTCCACACACAAGCCTAGTGTTGGCTCTCATCAGAGAAACATGACTTCTAATTATTTTGAGACTCTCCCTTTACTAGCTGTTATTTCTACTTCAGCTATGACTTATAGCTGCATGACAACATCAGCGCTTCTGTAACTTTATGCATTAAAACAAGCTTCCAAACAGCTCCAGAACTAAAAGGCTACTGTCAGAGTAGGTGATTAAATTCCTTACTTCACTGAAAACCTTCATGGATTGGGGCTCCTGTGGACAACAAAGCACCAGAGGGCTCAGCACAAGCAGCAGTACCCTAACAGCTTAAATAAAACTAGCCATATGTATGCCAACACTGTATCTGGGGCGCCCAGCCCCATTAGCAGTCAGAAAGTTTCCAAATATAATCACCCTACCCACCCACAGGGGCACACACACGTCCATAGAAGACGTTTGGTTTCATAAATCCTTTCCAAGCAGTATTTGCAGGGAACTTCAGTGCCCCTCTCCCAGTTTCAGGTGCTCGAACTGCACAGCTTTTACACCAAGCACCTAAGTTAATAACAAAATCAAGAAGCCACAGCGCTTGGAAGAGTTGTTTTGCTATTGCACAGCGTGCTTCAAACTGCGATAGTACAAACACACCTACAGGAAGCCAAACAGCACCCACGCACCCGGCGGGGAGCCTCAGCATGAAGCCCATTCCCTCCCATCACGGATCTGCTGTTCACCCTTCAAACAGCGAGCGTTGTCAGGCAGGAACATCAGCACACTGCCAGAAGGCTCTCGGGAACAATTCAGAAGTCAGAGGAAGCCGTAAAGAAAACCAAGGCATCCTTCAATGGAGCACAAGTATTTTCCCTGTTCTGATACCAAGTCAGCTCCACAATGGCTGGACGTGGTGCTTAGGGACATGGGTTAGAGGGTGACATTGGTGGTAAGGGGGTGGTAGGACTGGATGGTCTCAGGGGGTTTTACAACTGTAATGATTCTCTGAAAGCTTACCGGCCAGCTTCAGGAGAAGATCCGAGCCCTGCTCAGGAAGGGACCTTTAACCAGTCCTGGGGCAAACCTCCGGGTACATCCCTCACAGGATGTACCCTTTCCAGCCCTCCAAGACCAACTGCTCCAACCGCCCCCCACCACCACCCCCTGCCCCTGTCCCCCAGCACCACGTCCAACCTCTCCCTGAACACCCCCAGGGACGGGGACTCCACCACCTCCCTGGGCAACCCGTCCCAACGCCTGAGCGCTCTTGCTGAGGAGAAATGTCTCCTCATTGCCAGCCTGAACCTCCCCTGGCACAACTCGAGGCCGTTCCCTCTGCTCCTGGCACAGTTCCCTGCGGGCAGCTCCTCCTCTCCCAAGCACCCCCCCCCACAGCTCAGGGGCACCCCCAGCACCCCCCCACGGCCCCGTACCCTTGGTGAGCGTGTCCAGCACCCCCGACTTCTCCAGGTAGCGGCGGAACTGCTCCCGCTTCGAGTCGGCGGCCTGCGGGAGGACGGCCGGGCGGTCAGCGCGGCGGGGCGGGACGGACGGGCCCGTGCCCGGCCCCCACCCCGCCGAGCCCGAGGCCGGTCCCGGTGTCGGTCCCGGTCCTCGGGCAGCCCCCGGCGGGCTCCGCCGGGGCCGGTCCGCGCTGCCCCTACCTTGTAATGCGCCATCGGCCCCGCCGCGCGCCTGCGCCCGCCTCCTTTACGGCCCCGGGGCGGCCGCCGCTGCCATGGCGACGAGGGCCTGGAGACACGCCCCAGGGGCGGCCTGGCGCTGTGACGTTAAAACGAGGGTTGATGACGTCAGAAGGAGTGTTAGGGACAACCCCCCAAAAAATTATAATCGTGTCAAAATGAGGGTTACTGATGTTAAAGTGACACTGGGGAGGTGTGCGGCCTGGGGAGGCTGTGGGGCCTCCGCCTAGTCCCAGTGTTGTGTCCATATGCTGTGACGTCAAAAAGAGTGTTACCGACATTAAAAAGTGTTAATGATGTCAAAAAGTGCATTACTGACATCAAAATGAGGGTTACTGATGTCAAAATGACATTGGGGAGGCCTGCGGCCTGGGGATGCTGTGGGGCCTCGGCCTAGTGCCAGTGTTGTGTCCGTGTACTGTGATGTCAAGAAGAGTGTTACTGACAGAAAAAAAAGAGTGTTAATTACATGAAAAAGTGCATTACTGACATCAAAATAAGCGTTACTGATGTCAAAAGACTGGGGAGGCCTGGGGCCTGGGGCCTCGGCCTACTCCCAGCATTGTGTCTGCACGCTGTGACGTCAATGAGAGTATTAATGACATCAAAAGGAGTGTTACATCAAAAAGATTGTTACCAAAGTCAAAAAGATTCCTACTGACATCAAAAAGGGTGTTACCAGCATCAAAAAGTGTATTACTGACACCAAAAAGAGCATTATTGACACCAAAACAATTGGGGAGGCCTGTGGCCTGGGGAGGTTGTCAAGCCTTGACCTGGTCACAGCGTGGTGTCCGTGCGCTGTGACACCAAAAGAGGAGAATCGATGATTTCTCTGCTGAAGAAGTCGATGGTGATACACTGAAATAAAACGTACTGAGGAGTCAGAATAAGTGAAACGTCCAGTATTTTGTTATTTTTCTATTTAATAGTTTAAACAGCAGAATATACTTGACATTCGTCCTTCAAAGAGCTATCAACTATGTTTGAATTCTTAGATTAAGAATTCAATTTATTGATTAAGAATAAGATTAAGAATTCATATTTATTGAAAATTCGTATTTCTCAGGTGTTCTAGTGCTTTCTTTAGCCTAATTGCATTTACTGGTCTTTGTAAAATACATTTTTAGACTGTAATTTTGTCTTCTGCTTTTATCTGGTTTAGGTACAGCTGTAATTTTAGTCCTGACTTCCTAATCCATGGATTTATACGATGTAAGTAACCCTGTTGAGCTGGGGGGTTAACGTAGATGTTCGGCACTGAGGTTCAAGCCATCCTGTCATTGCCAAGAAGCAGACTGTTTAAAAGTTACTTAGCTAATAAGCAAAGGGCTACACAACTTCTATTTTCACTTCCGTGAAAGAGCTGGTTAAAGTCAAACGAGGCGGCTACTCTTATCAATAGCTCGTATATTACAGCTTCCAGTAACTACCCGGGCACCGAGTAGTGAGATTCACTGGCTCACTCGCGCTATATGCGCAGGTCAGTGGGGGCACGCCGGCTGCCGGCACTGCTGGACAGGGACGGGCGCCCGGACACGGGGAGCAGCTGGGGGCTGCCGCAGCCCCTGCTCTGGCGAGAGCCGGAGCTCGCCTCCCCGACGGAGTCAGGAGTGTCAGGGCGGCTGGGATTTCTGATGTCGGTTTTGGAAGGTGGCTGCCCTTGGTTTGCACTGAGACCAGCTTTGTCTTCTGCTGCTGCTCTTCGTGAGGGAATTTGTGGAAGAGCCAGCACTCTCGACGGCTGCGGAGCAGTTCCAGGAGGAAACGATTCCTTGCTGTCTTCTTAAGCTGGCAGCTGGAAAAGTGCAATGTTGCAGTGATGGTTGTGATGGCATTTCAGCAAAGCTTCTCAAGCACTGAGCTGTATCTGCATTCTGTGTGCCAGCAAGGAAATGTTTCTGATCAGCTTCTTTCTGAGAATTATTTGCTTCGGTCTCAGGCCTGCTAGGCAAGGCCTCATTATTTATGCTAATATTTTGATTCTGATCATTCAAAGCAGCTTGTAGCTGGCCTTTTCCTCGGCAATTTATTTTCCTGATTGTGATGGGTGTAGTTGCTGCTACTTTCTGTATGGTTATTTTGAATAGACTGAAACATGGGAGGAGAATTTAGAACCGGGTAGATGGCAGTGTCGGTTTGCTTTTCCATTAAAAATGCATAACCACTAAGTACAGAAGGAAGAGTTTTTGGAGGGGTTGCAGGTATTCCCAAAGAAGAGCGAGGTATCACTGAGTATTTCTTAGATTTGTTTATGTAGAAATTGCCATGGCCACCCTTGTTTTCCTCCTGCCCACAAAGCCCCATTTTAATTTTTCGTAATCCTAGGTGGATAATTTCTAAGACATTTAAAACCAAAGACACAGTCGCTATCGACTGCATGAATAATATGAACACCGTCTTTTCTGTCGGTCTTGATACAAAGCAGTCAACGACGTTTGGACATGGCTCTCTCTGACATTTGTAAAGGGGATCCAGCCGAAACCCATAAAGCAGATATTGCCCAATCATAAAACCGACTTCCACTGCAGACCTCGTGAAAATATGTATCACATAAGTGCAGAGCAAAGAGCCTCGCAGGGGTGCTTTGTTCAGCTTCCTTTGATCCAGTTGCCGGAGTTCTCTCTCCAGCCTTTTCCGATATTCGGTCATTTCCAATTCAGTGCTTTCAAGCTCCACTCTTACCTGAGCTTTCTTCTTTTGTCTCTCTTTCTCTAAGGCTCTTAGTCTGTATAAGGCATGACCCATATACACCAAAGAAGGGGAAGACACAAAGATAACCTGCAAGACCCAGTACCTTATGAGGGAGATAGGGAAGGCCTCATCGTAGCACACGTTTCTACAGCCGGGTTGCTCAGTGTTGCAGATAAATTCTGACTGTTCGTCATTCCAGACGTCCTCAGTTGCCACTCCGAGGACAAGCATTCGAAAGACAAAGAGGATAGTGAGCCAAATCTTCCCAATAATGGTGGAATGAATGTGGACCTCCTCTAAAATGCCTCCAAGGAAATTCCAGTCTCCCATGGTTATTCTGCCATCTTAACACTGAAATGTATGAGAGAACAAGTATCAAATACTGTAAAATCCACAGTCCTTCCTTAATGCATTATGAAAATAATTATGCTGGGAGGAAATGTCCTATCTCACATTGTAAAGCTGGCAACATGACCCACTCCTCATTGATATTACAGGCATTATTCTTTCTTGTCTACAAGATGAAGAAGTGCATCGTTCACCTGCATCTAATCTCAGTAAAAGACAGCCTGAAAAGGAGATAACTACGAGAAATGCAGCACCCAGGTCTGCATCCGAGTCAGTGGAAAATCAGGTGCCTGAGTGGTAGCAGGGTTCTGTGCACCTGGGGGCTGTTTGAAGCATCATCCAAGAGACACCAGTGTGAGAGCCGTGTGCTTATATTTAGGACACCTGTGAAGGTAATGAGGTTTTATTTCCCTGCAAACAAACAAATATTTTCTGGTCCTCGTTTTCAGGTGTTCTGAGCCCCGTGTTGCAGCTGAGGTTATGGTAATGTCCAATTACTGTTTTTCTGTGAAAACTGGTTATACAAAGGTTCTCATGAGGGAATAAAACATCTCACTAAAAATGCACTGTTAAATTTTTAAAAAGTATTTTTTGAACATATAATTGGGAGCAAACAGTAGCTTTTGGGTTGTGGATCTAAATGATAAACAAATAAATAAATCACTATAATCGGATCACTCTCCTCTTCTCAATGATACCTGCATATGAAGTACAGAATGGAGTGCCTAAGTGTCAAGTGTTGCTATCTTTGTCCATGGTTCTATAAAAAATGAATGATTTATGCAAAAATTATCTACCAGCATTTTCACAAATAATTATTATCTGAGTACAGATAAACTGGTAATATATGTGTAATCACACACCTTGCATTTACTTCATATTTTTGGTTCTTCCTCTGTTACAGGATACTACATAGTGAACAAGATTATAAATTCCATTTCAGCACTTCTGTGGGTGCACACACTAGCAAAAATATCTGTCTTCTGTATGTGCAGGGATAACAGTTACATTCAGTGGATATAACTTTACTTTGTTAAGAATTAAATTATATTAAAAGAGAATAGTCTGATTTTTTAGGATAAGGATGATTTAACAGAGTTTTCAGTACATATATAATTAATATTCACCCTGTAAAATAAGAATATTAAGAAAGTAAATGGATGTTGAAGCCTTGGCTGCAATACTGATGACCACAGAGGAAAATTTATGTTAAGACAGCCTATTAAACATGACAAGACACTTTTGTATTGGTAGACAAATAGGTGTTAGACATTTTAAAAAGATAAACAAATTACAAATAAAGAGCACATTAAAAATAAAACATACCTTCCTTTACAAAAATGTGTAAAATTAAGCTCTATGGCATCCAATGAAAAGTTACAACCCCTGACATCTTCCATCCGTGTGAGCGAATTTCACATTACAAACAGTTTAGTTCACTACCGGAGCAACTGACGGACTGCAAGCTTTGCACACTGAATTTATACTTGCTAGGGAGGGAGGAGAAAATCAATCTGCTGGCCAGTCTGCTACAGCTCCAAGCATAATTTAACTGTAATTAAATTAACATCTACAGGGAAAAATCACATTTAAAAAAAAAATAATAATAAAATCCACTGCTCAGACTTCCTTCAGGCGATCTTCCCTTGCCCCTCTCCAGCACCTTCCAAGCTTTAAGAACCATCTCAGCGTAAAGTAAACAGCAAAAAAGAAAGCAATACCCCAGGCCACCCCACCCTGTCCCACACCCTTACCTATTAATTTGATTACGAAACGCTGCTTGTTCTAATGCTGGGCATAGGCAGGCTTTGCACCATGAACGCAGTCCTTTCAGGCAGAGCGATCAAACGTCTTAGAGACCTCAGTTACAGCAGAAATGCTGAGGTCCTGGTTTCGACAACTTCAAGCTTTGCATTGCATCCGAGCACAGTGTGGTCAAACAAGGAGCCTTGGTGATGGGTATGGGATAAACGGGTGATCAAAGACATCAGGCAGACTTACTGTGATGAACCAGGAGAATTTCATTCTCTTTGGTGTTTGGGAATGGAAGTTTCATCGGTTTGATGAATGATGTAGAGGTCCCGAGCGGCACAGGCTACAGCTCAGACCATCAGGACAAAATACTACCTCTGGTCGTTTGGGGCAGAGGGTTTTTGTTGTCTGATTCATTTGTGGTTTGCTTTGGTTTTTAAAGGAAACTTGCTTATTTTGAATTGAAATTGGAATTTCAGAAGAGCTCTGTCACTACACGGATGCACTTATGACATGACATTAGTGCCCTACAATTAACTCTGTTCTTTATGCCTTCAAAAACCAGCAAGTAAAAAAGCTTCCCTTATCGATTTAAATGAAATAGTTGTTGACCAACAGAAGATGGTTTATCCCTGTAATCCCATAAGACATTACTTATGAAAAATTATGTTACCACAGCAGCCATATTAACTCGGTCAATTAATGGCATAATTATCGATACTGATTTTCTGTGGCTGCTTCTGTCAAAGCACTGGAGTTATCTTCCAGCATTGTTTTTCATTCTTTTAATACACGGTTATAAAAAGGCGAACTACAACCAAGCTAGAGTTTACATATCACAATAGCAACATTCAGCTTGGCTATGCAAAATCTAAGAATGTAAATCCTCCCCAAAGGAATGCGGTGTAAATTTCTGCAGAAAATCTCTTCTGTTGTAACAGCTTAGTGCTGCACTCCTGATAAAAACAAAACAAACAGAGAACAGTACTTTGGGCAGCTCCAAACTCATTCCTTCTTCACATACGGCACCTGTCCTTATATTCCATGATCCCTGACCCCTCATTTATTTTCCCCATGCCGCCTCTCTTGTCGCATTGACTTCTTTTAAACGCCCTTAACATTACAACTGCTACTCCATTTTCCCAGCCTGTATAACTTGGTGTTTCCTTTCAGGAGCAAGTTGCTACCCCCCCAGTCTAGCTGTCAGACACACTGAAGATGGAGTGATGTTTATATCTAGCCTGTAAAAACAGAGCAGGTGATACCCATTCAAAATTTAGTAAATGCAAGCAAAATGTTTGGAAGAGGGAAGAGGAAGAGACCTCATTTTAGAAAAGGGAAGCTAGGGAAAGAAATATGCTTGCTTTGTGTACAGAGGTTTTCCTGGAGCTCGTGTTAGCAGCACAGTAGCCAAAAATTCGGACCTGTTATGCATGCTTGGTATGAAGATGCCACTCCTGCTCTAGGATCAATATTCGCTGAGAAGTATAACTAGCACTATAATGCTCTTTTAGATTTTTCTGATCAGTGCCCTGCTAAAGTGTATCGCCAATACAAGTGGCCTGTATAGGATGCATAAACTTCCTCTGCTGAAAACTCCGACGCTCATCAATATCTTTTAATTTTGGTGCTGAGGAGCAGTCAATAGGTCATGTCCGATTTCATAGCTAAATGACAGCTTGCTGGAAGTACTCAGTCGTTTTGGCAAGCGATTGGTCTCCAGCCAGCCATTTCTATTAAATACTTAAAGTAGGTTTTTAAGCATTTTTCTGCCATTGGTACAAAAGATTCCTAACCCATCCGAGTGGTCCATGGACACCCCCACCCCCTGCAAAGATTCTGAAGCTTTGTTTGAAAATGCCAAGAATTAGAAGAGACTGAGCTATGGTGTCTGGGGAATCTCCTCGTTTTATAAAAGATTTATGTCAGGGGAAACCTTTATCAATCTGCACTTAGTGTTCCAAGATGCATTATCTCATGTAAAAGGGCATTTCAGTCAAATGACAACTTGACCGGTCAGGAGGGAAAATGAATTCAAGTGCTGATGGCAATTTTATGGCAGCGATATGCTGCTCTTTACTTTAGTCCAGATATTTTGCAGATAGGAATATTTACACAGACTGTCCTGCCAGTATTCAGTGTTTAGCAACAACATGAGCAGTGACTGTAAGGAGAGAATACTCTATTTTCTCCCAGGTCAAGCAGCTACATCACCCACATCTTATTGTAGTTGGTTTTGCTGCAAAATACCCTCCAAATTTCATCTGCCTACTAAATTATGTTTTCTTAGCTCAGGGTCAAACACCATAAAAATCATTCAGCCGTGGAAATATTCTCCTAAGATCAGACCTTTTCATTCCTACTCGTCAATAATGTGCACTTTATGTGTACAATTGATTTTGATTTTCTACTGCACTTGTCTGACCCACAACGGCCAGCTGGATAGCGAGAGGCACAGACATCAGCGGCGTGTCCTACAGGCTTGGGGGACGACGCAGACTCACTCCTGTAGTCTCATTCAATACTGACATCGGGATCACAAATGATAATGAGAAATTTGGGCAACCACACTACTCAATATTGTCTTTATGATTGCACAATCCAGCAGTGCTGGAGGCAGATCACAGAATAGCACATAAAGAGAGAGGCACAGCTCTTGATCTCTGTCTGCTTTCTGTGCTGGGTTATAGAATCAATTTTTATTGCTATGATATACGTGTGAATTAGTAGGTGCAGACTTGTGGGTTTGCTTTCCCAGAGGATCTTTCTGAAGATGCCCTGGCTTTTATCCAAAAGGTTTAAGGTGTTTTTTTGGTCACTAGTTATTTTTAAGCTTAGATTTCATGCAACATTTCTACTTAGGACGCCCTTTTTTTGCTGCTCAAGCTCTTCACTATATTGCAAAAAGCTTCCTGTAAGCAAGCAGGGTGCTTGTACTCACAAAACACTCCCTGCTAAGATGCTGAATGCTCAAAACCAGCTTAGTACTGTTTAGGAATTTCTTGCACAGCGATTTTGTAGATCAAAGTTGACAGTATTTAAACCCCATTGCTACAACCGAGAAATATCCAATCTGATGTGCCTCAGCACGTTTAAAGAGAAGGCAACCGCTTTTCCCTGAAGACATTGTAGAAGGTGCATTTGTGTGGAGCTCTCCCTTGGTGAGCGAAGATCATTCACTGCTCGTGCAGGGCTGCTGCTCACCGTGCACGTGGCCGTTTGTCCAGCTGCAGCCCAGTGAATAAAGCAGTTAATTGGACCCTATAAGAAATGGGGCTGGGCAGAAGTCTGATACAGCAAGAAGCCAATGCCTAGGGAAATCTGAAAATCATAGAAGAGGGAAGGCTGCACTAGGACTCAGTAAAACTGGCTTCTTTGTTTGTTTTTCCACCAAAATAGCAAAGGCAAAGAGAAAAAATCATAAATCTGACCAGAGCAAGGAGTAAGGCTACACCAAAACCTGAAGGGGCAATGGCAGCAGTCAGATAAGAGGAGCTCTTCAAGTCCTCCACTCATTTTTAATTTCCTGGCAGATCTGGAGGCAACCAGGGCCCTGCACCAAACCCAAAAAAAGCCGACGGTGCAATCTGGTGACAAACAAGCTGACGTCCAGCTGAGGCTCCCTTTTGTAGGCAAACTGGTGGGATAGGGGCTGGCTGGGGGGTTTGTGGAGAGGGGGACCCCAGGGATTGCTGCTGGGCCTCACACTGCTCGCCACCCTCCTGAATGCTCTGGGTGACGGGGCTGGAAGCAGCCCCCAAAAACCTGCTGCTAACACCAGGGGGCTGGGTCTGGCCTCCCTGTGAGGAGCAGGCCCGGGGGGGGCCTCAGTGCAGGGCTCCTGTAGTTGGAGGGCAGCCACGAGGCGGGTGGAGAAGACAAGAAGACAAGGGGCAATGGGCACAGGCCGCACCAGGAGTGGTTCTGTCCTGATATAAGAAAGAATTTTTTTACAGTGGGGATAATCAATTGAGGGCAGGACCTCCCCAGGGACGTGGCAGAAGCTGACAGGGCGTGAGGGGACAGGCTGCCAGACGTCCCACCCAGGCTCCCTGTCCCCATCCAGTGTGGGCCTGGTGATCTGCTGGGGACCCTTCCAAACAGTTCCGATTCCACCACCCCAAGCCCACCTGCGTGCTCTTTGAGCAGACAGCTCTGCACAATTCCCTACCCTACATAAAAAGGGCCTGAACTGATCTGAAATAAACCTTCTACCCTTCATTATGATTTACACAAGCCCCCATGGGTCTGTTTGCTTTGGTGGGTCGGATGCTGCCACCGCTAGTAGGGGATGGTGGTCGGCAGCTCCTGACTTTTTGCCCCAAGCTTCAGGAACATCCCAGAACCTTTCCCAGCTCCCATCCGCGAAGGCACAGGGCTGCACCACCACCAGTGTTTTGTTCCAGCTGTTTATTCAGGCTTTGAACGAAACCAGTGTACCATTTTGAGAACAAGCTGGGATTAACTGTGAATTAAAAAAAGCACGAAGAGCAGCTCTAATTCCCCCTCCCTAACCAGAGCAGTGCCCAGAAACAGCTCACAAAGCGTCTCATTCCTCTTCTCCTCCATCTCTGTGGCCTTTGCCACGGCATCGCTGCAACCAGCTGCAGAGGAACCGCTCAGGCCCGCGGGCGAGCGCCCCAGCTTCTCCCATGGGGCTCCTAATCTTCTTTGAAGCTCAGCTTGTTCTGCACCTTGCGGGCCATGAACGTGGCCGTGAGGACCGAGCAGGTCACGGTGAAGAGGCACAGGGCAGAGAAGTTGTGAGCCAGGTCACCGTGCAGGGAGGAGTAGATGTGCCGCCGGGACTCGTAGTCCAGCACCACCGCCTCGATCTGCGCCAGCGTGCAGAGCACCAGGCAGACGTGGAAGATCTGGTGGCTCTGCCCGAAGAAATGGCACTTCCCAGGGAACAACTTCTCCGGGTAGGGGTGGGAGAAAAAAAAGGCGCCGATGAGGAAAAACAAGACCTGGCACTTGTGATACAGCAGCGCTGGGTCCGCGTGCTCAGCCGGCGGGGCGGTGTAGATGCGGTGCACGACGGGGCTGATGTCCAGCACGTAGGCCAGACCCGAGGGCATCTCCTGGCACAGCCTGCCCAGCACGTGGGCGGACTGGTGGTAGCGGAATTTGGCGTAGCAGGAGCCGGCACAGGACAGCCACGCCAGCAGGACGGCCCCGGGCATGTAAAAGCCCTTGACCTTCTCGTGCCAGCTGGGCTCGATGGCGTAGTAGTAGTGCCCCAGCGCGCTGCCGTACTGGTAGACGGCCACCCCCACGTAGTCCATGAAGAAGAAGCTGTAGTGCCAGAACTCGGATTTGGCCTGCAGGAGGTGCGCGAGGGTGCTGAAGGTCAGGTAGGTGATGGACGCCACGATGATGATGAGGAGGGGCTGTGAGTGCGGGTCCTGCCCGAAATCCACCCTCTGCGAGAGCTGCTGGAACCGCAGCAGGAGGATGAGGGCGGCCACCAGGTGGGTCCAGACGTTGATGGCTTCGTTGTGCTGCTGGAAGAGCGTGGAGAAGTAATAGCGCCAGGTCTGGTGCACCGGCCGGTAGCCGGTGTGGATGTAGGGCTTCCAGAAGACCTTCGGCACCTCGGCACTGCTGACAGTGGAGGGGGAGAGCGGGGCCAGCAGCTGAGGGACCTGCCGCACGTTGACGAAGAGGCGGCTGAGCTTTTCAGGGACGGCCGTTGCCATGACACTGCCAAAGTCCAGTTCGCCGCCACCCGGCACAACCTTCGGGACAAAAAAGAAAGTTTTGCTGTGGGGTTTAATGGCAGCTTCACCAAACTCAGCAACAGGGGCTGTTTGAATGCTTTTTTTTATTATTATTATTTTAATATGTAAAATCCTGCATGACTAGAGAGTAGCTGAAATAAGAGAGTCCCCAAAAATAGCGATATGAAGGAGGCTGATGTGATACTTAAGCCCTGCTGGAGTGCCCCAGGCAGGCGACAGTCTGGAAGACTGGAGAGGCAGAGGACACCAGCACGGGGTTAATCAACAAAATAATTAACGCACCAGGATACACCAACTCCTAAGCTCGGCTCGGCCCTTCCCAGGGGTTCGGGATGTTCTGTTCCTACAACATCCTGAGCAAACTTCCCGCTGCAGGAGCAGCCCCGACCTTCCCTTGCCAGCCGCCTGCAGAATCCCTGCTGGAGGCTCTGGCCGGGCACCCTGCCCTACCTGAGGAGGAGCTGCCTCGGGGGATGAAGTAACGGAGCAGGGCCGTAATCTGATTGAGGTTTTCACCGTCTGTTTTCAGCTCTGCGTTTGCCGTATGACTTTACACGAAAACAATGCAGCCTGAGTGAGTTTATCCGGTTGCATCACTGACATCCAGCAGCGTAATCTTCCCGAGCAAGCTTCCTATATTTATGCTTTTGAAGCTGCTGTCCTTGCCGAGATAAAGGCAGCCCCGCTCTGCCCTTGCATGGTGGCCTTAAAGGCTCACAGAAAAGAACTCGCTGGAGGTGAGCTCCCCCACGCCCATTTACCTGCTCCTGCTCAGACAAGTGGGGGAAAACAGCCAAATTCCTGCCCTGGTGCTGATTTACAGCCTTAACTCCTGGCAAGTTCAGTCATTTCAGGCACGGCTCAGACAGGAAAAGCTTTTCAAAGTTTGGAAACGGAGGAGGAGGGAGTGGGACTGCTTCGTATTTTGTACGCTCCAGAATTTCCTCATCGCAGCGGAGCAGTGGGGTCCCTAACCCACGCCTGTCTGAGGAGCACAAATAGGGATAAAAATCAGCTTTTTGCCACTCGGCTCCCCTCTCGAGTGCTCTTTTCCCACCTTGCCTGGGTGAGGAGGCTCCCCCTTGACCCAAGCCCCCCCTGTGATGGTGTGGGTGCCGTGGGGAGGTCCAGAGCAGCCTCGGGTCCCACTGGGGCAGATGTGGGCGAGAGCAGCTCTAATGAGAGATGGGGACACCGCAATGTGTGGGGACCTTCGGTTTGTGACGGATCCCACGGGAAAGGTGCCCCCGGGGAGATTTTGGGGCACAGGCAGCAGGATCCAGGCAGGAGGAGGCAGGGGAGGCTTTGGAGGCCGTTTGGGGCCCTCCCAAGGACCAGGTTTGCTCCTCCGAAGCTCTTCCCAGCCACGAAGCTTTAAGGGATGCTCGTGTAGGGCCGGGGCAGCGCTGGGCACCCCAAACCCTGCTCGTAGCGGCCTCCAGCACCCCCCCCACCCCCCACCTCTGTCGCACCCGGGATTTCCTGCGGCACATTTCCGCAGCATCCGTCCCGTGTCCCCCCCTCCCCTCCCCAAACCGAGCCTCCCTCGGGGCCTCACCCCCAGCCCCTGCAGCCCCCCGGAGCCCCAACCCAAAGCTCCGAAACCCGGCTCAGCACCTGCCCCCCCCCCCCCCTTCCCTCCAGCCTCCAACCTCCGGCAGGCACCCGGGGGGGGCGATGCCCCCTTTCGGCTGAGCCTCCCCCAATCCCACCGCCCCCTCCCGGTGCCCCCAGCCCGGAGCTGTCCCCGTTTGTCCCCGGTACCCCCCAAAAGGCACCTGCAGAGCCCCGCTGCGGCCGCGCTGCCCTGCGGAGGTCGCGGAGCCCCGGCTCCCTCCCAGCCTCCGCAGCCGCCGCCCCCAGCGCCGGGCCCGCCCCGCACCGGGGCTCGGAGCTGCCGCACCCCCCCCGGGGGGGGAATTTGGGGGGGACCTCGGGGGCTGCTCGGTACCGGGGGGGGACCCGCAGCCAGCGCTGGGCACCGGGAGCCGCCCCCGGGGCCTCGGCAGGGCCGGGGGGAGAGGAGGATGCCCGCAGGAAGGGGAGGGGGGGAGGGCTCCATGCAAGCAAAACCTTGGTTTTTATGGGGGTGGGGGTGGGAATTGGGGTTTTGGGGGGTTTTTTGATGCCTTTTGGCGGTGGGAATTGGTGGGGGTATCGGGTTTACTCCCTTACAAGGGGCTGTTGGTGCAGCTCGCTGCAGCACGGCGCTGAAGGAAGGAGGAAGCTGCAGCCCTGCTGTCACCGCGGGCATTGTTCGGGCAGGTTCTCCCCATCAGGCAGAGCAATTTTCCTCTTTTTTTTATTTCCTGCACCAGGGCAGGGCCTTTCCTTCACCCCTTTTTCCCCCCAGGATGTGCATCCCCCTCCCCATCCCCCTGCCGAGGCCCCAGCCCCACGCCTCGGGCTCCATTTCGCACACGAAGGCGCAGAAAAAGCAGAACTGCAGGGAACAGAAGGCCCCAGGCAGCCGTGTGACAGCTCTGGCAAGTCAAAGAAGCGTATTTAATGCCTTCCTGCTCTTCATAGCGGTTGGGTTTTGGCATCCTCCTCGTCCTTGGAAGGAAGGGGGGAGCGTGCAGCATTTGGGCTGCTGGGACTTCGCTCGAGCACCAGGCAACCATGTTAAGGCAGAGATTTTTGGGTTTCAGTGAGCTCTCACACATCAAGATGGGAATGATTCTGAGCAGCAGCCTCACCACACAGTGCCAGAGCCGCTCACCTTCTTTCAGAGGCAGGTCTGTAATGCCTGAGGTCTTTTTCCCCCCCCGCACTGAGCTCATCGCAGCCCCCACCCCTGTGCCACTGAAAGCACCGAGCCTGCTGCTCCCCCTGCAGCTGGGGGCTGCTGAGCAGGCACAAGTACAGCCCTTCCTGCCCCCAAGCGTGCAGCACAGTGCTAGAAAGTTCTTTAAACAAGAGCTCGGCCACCCCATCTGTGCAGCCTGGCTTTGTGTCACCCCATTCCCCACCTTTTTTCTCCCCCTCCCCTTTTTGTTGCATTTTTCAAAGCACCAAGCAGCGATACCCGAGAGCTTTCCAAAGCAAGCCTCCCTCCTTGGCAAGTCCCAGAGTGCTGGGGAGTGATCCAGGACTCAATTAGCCCCTTTAAAAATATCCCTACCAGGTTTTCCCTCCTCAGAATATCGATGTCCAGTGTGTGGTCAGTGCCAGGAGCTCTGGGCACAGAGCAGAAGCAGCCCCATGAGCAAGGAGAGGGAGCAGAGCTCAGTGCTGGACAGCACGAGGAGCTGAGAGGCGACAAGCCCCCTGCTCCGAGGGAAGGTGATCATTACTGCCAATTATTTCAGCTCAGGAAGTTACACACTTCATTCATTACAGCTGTTTATACTCACCCATGGCAACCTCGCCTTCACTGCTAAGCTGCACGGGTACTCGTGGACACGCCAGACCCTGTGTTGATCTTACAGGAAGGGTGTTTGTTTTTTTTTGTTTTTAAGGCAAGCGTACAATACAGCAATGCGCCACCTAAAAGCATCTTTACTCACAGCACAAGTACAGTTGTACGTTTCACTTCCCAGAAAAACAAGCACGGCATGCATCTCTGCGGGCAGGCCTTATCTCCAGACTCGCCCCAGGGCACAGTTTTTTTATCCCACATCTGCAGCAGACACCAAATTCTATCTTCAGCAGCATTTTCTGTTGGTGGATGTGGCTCTCACCCTGTGACACTGCAGCAAGGGGTACACAGATCCCGATTCAACAGCACAAGTTATCTTCCAGAAACCCTTACCAAAAAAATAAGCGGGTCAGCTCGGAGTCATGTGGCAACAAGGACTCGTTTGTCGAGGCACCAGCATCTGAAGGGAGGTGGCTCTGAACCCTTTGAACAAAAACACCCCACAGCTGACAAGGGCTGAGGTGTCCAAACAAAGCTCCCACTGTACAAGCGAGACAATGAGCGTGCTCTGGGAAGAGACAGTTACACAGCACGCCCATGGGTGCAAGGAGAAATGCTGTTACAGATTTTTGGGTCAGCGCTGGCTAAGGATGCTGTTGTATGCATCAGCCAACCAATTCTTCCTCAGGTTCAGCTGCCAGAAATGATTCTCATGGTAACAGCACTGTGCAGCTTTATTTAGTCACTCAGTTACAGCAGTATTTTAGAAGACTGGGACAGAGTCAGATTATTATTTTTTTTTTTTGAAGTGTAACATATTGAGCATGGAACAGTTTACTACATATTCCTTTCACAAATGTCTTACAGAGCTGATACAGTACTAGCCATCAACCCAGGAGCGAGTGCTCTGGAGTAGAAAAGGATGCAACAAGAAGATAGCTACACTGGAAAGACAACACTTTAGAAAAAGTGAAACATGGAAGGTCTCCCCTCTAGCCCCCAAAGAAAGCGTACAGTTTGGATCTAACTTTACAGTTCTACATCAGTTTCTAGAAACTTAAAAAACAAAACCAAAAAGTAAAACCACTGGCCAGTACAGTCTTTGGATATTTAGAGGAGGGGGAGAGTGTCAGTTTCCAGAACGAAGTCAGTCGGTTTCGGCCTCACCGGGGTCTTTGCCTTCTTTGTTCTTTCGAACCTCTTCAATGTGCTTGTCCTGAAAGCCAACAGCAGGGGAGCAGTGAGCCGCAGAGCGCGCCCCTGCCTGAACGCCAGCCCCAGCTCACACCTGCAGCACCTTGAGAAAGGCTCGAGAGGAAGTGAGCAGCCTGCTCTAACCCCATCCGCCCTCCTCCCCCACGAGGAGGATTTCTACAAGATCTCCCACAGATCTAAAGATCTTCTTTTGAGACTGGACCCACAGAACGCCCAGGGAGGTGTCTTATTCGTACCAGTCTCCTCACACGGCCGTTTACTGGTCTCTAACTGGTTTGCAAGTGAGGAGCACTGGCACGTTCTCTCCCAACCACGACTCAACACCTACCTTCTCCCTCAAGCGTTCCAGTTTAGCAGCCATTTGTGCCTCACGGTTCTCTTTGTTGGCTTCCATTTTGTGGGTCAGCTTCTCCTCTGCCATTTTGCTGAAGTTGTTGTTCTCTTCAATGGCTTTCTGAAGCACTTCTTTTTCATGCTCCCTCTTCTCAGCTAGCTGCTTCAGGACTTCTGCTTCATGAGACTGACAAAACAGACCGGACACATTCTGGACATTAAAGAACTGCACAGCTACAATCCAGGTGCCTGCAATTCCTCAGAGGTTTTTCTGCCACTTTAATTGGAATCTGCATAAATTCTTGATGCAGTACAAAGCCCCCCAGTACCTGCCTCCACCTCCATAGCCTGTATTTCACCACTACTAGTGACACAGGAAAGCAAATTTGTGTCATTGCTCACAAATCTTTAAGTGGGATTTATCCCAGAATTGTACACTGATTTTTACTTTAATACCTATTGATCTTTCCTAGAAGACTCTGGCTTCTCAGAACAGTGAGTTACTGATTCCAGTCACACTGGAGATCTTACATCAGCAAGATCTTACATCAAGATGCAGCATCCACAAGCTTTCTAATTATAGATTCACCGCTAGGTTTTCTAGGAGAATGTGAATCTTTCATGACATTATAAATAGAGACCAGGACAGCTTCTTGCTGAAAGACCATCACCTCTCAGTTATCTCCCCAGTTTAATTGGCCATTCAAAATAACTTGGGGAATAAATCTCCCTGAGAGCCCAAGATTCTAACAATCTCAATTACTATTCCCTTTACCATAACGCAAGCCACTCACCATTTGTCTTACACAACACAAATCTAAGAAAACCCCACACACTAATCAAGCAGAATTCACTTTAACCTGTTACTGCAAACCTACCTTACGTCTCTCTTCTGCTGCTTCCAACTTCTTCTGGATTTCTTCCAATGACAGATCCTTCTTCTTTGGGGGAGAAAGAGGGAATTCTGGGACTGCTTCTTTTGAGCGGGGACTGAGTATCAGCTCAAATGCCTGCCCAGAGGCACGCTTTTCCAGTTCCTTCACTTGTATATCTAGGAACATGAAAAAGAAATGGGATTTGAAGCCATGAAATGGACTTCGCTAACTGGAACAGCAGTCTTCAAGACCTGAATACGTCCAAACTCCCTTAAGGCTACAGGTGCATTGGAGCAGATAGCTCTGTTCTACACAGCAGCACCTCTCAAAAACACAGTGGACAGTTTTATTTTTTGCCTGGATACATTACTCAAGTGCCTGACACTTGATTTTAGCTTTTAATATCCAGACGCACACAAACAAGCATAGCGTACTTCCAAATGAAAAAAACATTCTTTCTTCAATGAGAAGTTAGAGGTGAGCATTTTAAATCTCTTCTTCAGACCTAACACAGAATGCTCTCTCTGAAACCCTTTCTCTGAGAAACACCTAAGCTAGCTGCCTGCTATTTAAACACCTCCACATGGGCACAGCCATGTCAGCCCCGTATGGCTTCAGCTGCAGCAGCACACCAGTTCTGATCACCAAGATGTCTCGCTGACAGTCGGTTCTGTTAAGTGAGCAGATGGCGTGCAGATGAATCGAAGCCCATCTGCTACCAGCCTAGTTTGGGATGGCTTTTGGTTCTGTTTCCACACGCGCTGCTCTAACAGCTTCTGCAAAGCAGCCTAGAGAGGGGAGAAAAGCCTGGCGACAACAGTTAATTTAACACAGCACAACAATTACATAGGAAATTAGGAGGCGGGGAGGAAAATCGCTTTGTGCACACGATGCCACGTACCAGAAGTAGCCATGACCGAGGCGATTCTCCTCCCGCAGCCTGCTCCAAGAGACCTCCGACAGCTGGACTCCTGCGTAACAAAGAGACAGGGCTCTGAGCAGCAGGCACACGGCTGCCATTCCCCCCCAGCGCCCCACAGCAATGGAAAAAAGCCCCAAAGGGGCCGAGAGGTGACTGCACCCGCTAATTAGGAGTCGGCGGGGGCTGCAGCGGTCGGCTGGGAGCGGCGCTGCCCCCGATGCGATCAGCGCCCGGCGGGGCTGCGCCCACCGCAGGCAGCGCGGGCGGCGCTAGGACCCGGCTGCCCGCCTCGTCCCCTCCCCTCCCCGCGGCCGCCCGGCGCCAGCCAATGAGAGCGGCGCGTTGGGGCGGAGGCCCCGCCCCCCCGGCACGCGCCCCGCCAACCGCACCGAATTCAAACGGCCGGAGAGGGGCGGGTGGGGGGGGGAAGAGGGAGGGGAGGGGGAGCGCGCGCGCGCGGGCGGGGGGCTCGGGGAGGGGGCGGGGCCAACGGCAACATCCGGGCACCCCCCGGCGCCCCCTCCCCTCCCCTCACGGCCCCCCCCCCTCCTCCCCTCTCCCCACAGCCGCCCCCCGGGGGAGCAGCCCCGCCCCGCCCCCTCCCCACTGACAATGGCGGGGTCCTGTCAGGGAGGGAGGGGAGGGAGGGGGCGCCGCCGCCGCCGCCTTTCTCCTCAGCCGCCATCAGGGCGGGTCCCCCCCCCCCCTCCGAGCCCACGGCGGGACAATGGGACCCCCGCCCATTGTCTCCCGCTGCCCCCCGGCTCCTCGTCACCCCCTCACGGACCCCACACGCAACCCCCGACCCCCCTCACGGGCACAACCGACGACCCCAAGCCCCCAGCCCTCACGAGCCCCTCAGAACCCCTCAGAGCCCCCCGCGCCGCCTCCCCTCGCCCTGACACCCGCCCTCAGCGCCCTCCCGCCGGCTCCGCTCCCCGCTACGACCCCCCCTCGGCGGCCCAGCGGCCGTTCTCATCACCGCCTCGGCCCAGCGCCGCCGCCACCGACCACCGCCGGGCCCCCTCAGCAGCAGGAGCAGCGCGCACCCACCTGCCCGCTCCGCCGCTCCCGCCCCACTCCACTCCCGCCCGCCCCGCCGCGCACAAAAGCGCCAAACAAAGGCACGTGACCCGCCCCGCCCCGCCCCTATTGGCCGAACGCGGCGGCACGTGCCGCCCGCCGCGGGAGGGGAGTGGGGAGTGGGGGGGGGGGGAAGCAGGGCGAGGCTGGGGGGCTCGCGCCCCGCTCCCCGCCGCCCGCTGCATGCCGGGAGTTGTAGTTCGCGGAGGGGCGGGGCGGCGACCCCCCGAGGGCCGATGGCGGCCGGTGGGGAGGGTGCGGGGTCGCGGAGAGGAGCGCGGGGGCTCCGCGGGGTGGCTCGGGGGGTGCGCGGCTCTGCGGGGAGTCCTCCTGCCGCTCCTCGAGGGCGGGGGGACTCCCTTTGTCTGCCACACCGCTGCCGGGGAGGAGCGGGGGCCCTCGGGGGATGTAGCTGTGATGGGGTGGGTGCCACAGGGATGGACGCTCTCCTCAGTGCCACCTGCCTCAGGGATGGCCACTTGTACCTCAGGGATGGCTACCTATACCTCAGGGGTGGTCACCTGCCTCAGGGATGGCCGCTTACGCCTCAGGAATGGCCACCGATACCTCAGGGATAGTGACCTACACCTCAGGAACATTTATATCAAGAATGGCTACCTGTACCTCAGGGATGGTCGCCTGCCTCAGGGATGGCCACTTACACCTCACGAACACTTACCTTATGGATGGCCAGTTATACCTCAGGAATGGCCACTTATGCCTCAGGGATGGCCACCTATACCTCAGGGATAGCCACCTACCTCAGGAACACTTAGCTCGCAGATGGCCACTTACACCTCAGGGACGGCCACCTACCTCAGGGATGGCCACTTAATGCCTCAGGGATGGCCACCTGTACCTCAAGGATGGCCACTTACACTTCAAGGATGGCCATCTACCTCAGAGATGGCCACTTACTTCAGGAATGGCCACCCACCTCAGGAACACTTACCTCAGAGATGGCCACTTACTCCTCAGGGACGGCCACCTACCTCAGGAACACTTTATTCAGGGCCATGGCTACCTCAAGGTGACAGCCACCTGAGGGCCCTTGGTCGCTGCAGAGCCATGGCCACCTGAGGAGCCTTGGTCACCTCATGGCCATGGTCATTTCGGGTCTCTTGGTCATCACCAAGATGACCACTGCATACCTTTGCTCACCTCCAGGCTGCAGCCACCACAGGCTGACCCCACAGAGTCTGGGTCTGGCAATGTATTGGCCCCACAGCCCCTGCAATGACTGTTTGGGGAGACAGTTTTTGGGTGGCCACCCAAACGAATGATGATTTTGGGTGACCACCAGGCCACCCTCTCCTCTGAGGTGACACCAGCAGGTCCAGAAAAGCCACAATTGTCTTCATAACACAATTTCCATGATATATAATGTGCAATGGCTGCATATAGAGGACCCTCCCTTGTCCTATGGGCTGCATTATGAGCGGTTCCCTTCCCGAGATAACGCCATTACCACGCATAGATAAGTGGCGTGCTCGCAAATGGGTTTTAAACGAACTGGCTGCATTTTTTGCATGTTCTGTACAAATCACTCGTGTACGATTGCTGCGGTAGTTCTCGTGCTGCAGTCGCTTGAGTTAACACCAAGAGTCAATACACATAAAAGGCAGATGGCCAGAGAAAAGCACAAATCTTCTGCTGCAACACGAGCCCAGCAGCACAGTCTTTGTACCCAAAATACCAAAGAAAGGACTTTTCCGAGGGGACCCACCCTTCTCGTGCACAATCTCAAAACCACGGATTTTGCACCCAAAAAAATAAAAAACCCTACCTTAAGGAAGGTTAATATTGTGACAGGAATATATGAAGCTTTCAAAACAGAGATTATTTTAAACACTTGCCCTGTTTTTTGCTGATCTGACGTCTATTTCCATGGAAACCACATCCAGCCGCCGAGCTGCTAGAATTGGGAGAGGTTGCTGTCGGAGTGGCTGGCTGGGCATGGGAAGAGCCATTTTCCAGCAGCATGGTGGAGCTTTTGTAGGGTGGAGGGGGCTTCAGATACAAAATGGTTTGCTTGCTTGGCCATTCAGGATCACGCCTGGTACATTTACAGGGTTCCTGGCTCAAAACCCAGCAGTATACGCGTTGCTATCACACACAACACGTGTTTTTAAGTGAAACATCTTGAGTGCTTGGATTAAATTGCATTAAATGGTGCTGGAAGACAAAGAAGCCAAGAGATCGTGTCATCAGCTTGTGTTTTGCTTTATCATTCATTAATTAGCGTCCATGTGGATCAACAGCCTGTTGGATGCTTTAATATTAACGCTTTTTAGTAAAATCAGTGAGCTTATCCTGGGATGATCTCAGGATTTCCCAAAGGAAATAAAGCTTCCTGGGCTTGGGGCTTTTTGTTTGGTACCTGTGACTGCCTTTAGTCACTCCTCATCCCCTGGAGAGATGATGATGAAACATCATTTTCAGCTTCTGAAGAAGAGATGCAGACTGAGCTATAACTGCAGTCGTGCAGGGGCTGTTCTCAGCGCTTTCCATCTTATTTCCTGGGCTCTTCACAGGAAAGGAAAAAAAAAAAAAAAGGAAAGAAAAAAGAGAGAGAGAGAGAGAGAGAGAAAGACGTGAATGTAACTTACCTTCCTTTGCAGACCAGCATTACAGCCAAAATCATTTATTTCAGATAAGAGCTCTCATATGTAAGAGGCAATGTGCTGGGAATCAGATTTGGGATCTGTCCTCAGCTCTGACATTTTCTGTTCCGTGTTGCTTACACGGAGACTCTTTACTAACCTCTTCACAACACCTGCCACCACTGGTTTCAATTTAAGCCAAAATCTTTGAGCACTGCTGTAATACAAAGAGGAATTACAGCCCTTAGCAGCTGGAAATGCACGGAGACGATCTCATTTTTGGCCTCATTGCAGGAGGGTTTTTATTTTTGGAACATTTCATAAGACCCGCTTGTTTGTGTGGAATTTATTTTCGTCGGATCTCAATGAGAATGGAGTATATGAAAGGCTTTTATTCAATTTGCATTTGATTTGTGTTTATCAACACTTTTACTGGGATTCTAAACAGACTCCTTTCGGCAAGCCTAGCAGCGTGTGGCTGCAGCAGCTTTTGTCTCCTGGGCTCCTCATCACCAAGAAGAGCTTTTTGCTCTAATTCCAGTTTTTCCAAAAAAAAAAAGAACAAGCATCATGATGAGAAATTTCCTTCAAAATGCCACCATTTAACCCTCCCCCCCAAAAAAAGGCTGTTTGAAGCCCAAATCTAACCAGATCAGCCAGATGAATCAGACCAATTTGTGCATCTTGGGACACTAACGGACCACAGCAGAACCTGCAGGACATATTCTCATGGTGGGAAGGGGCGAAGGCTTTACAGACTGGGGATTTGAGTTGTTCTCAGGGTCTGTGGCTGCCAGTGATCAGTGCACCTGCATAAAATCGCTGCCCTCGTGCTGGTCACAGCAACTGCTCGCTGCCAGCTCAAGTGGAGCTCGCTCCTGGCACAGATGAAGTGTGAGACCCCTCGGCTTCATCTCAACACGTTCTGCTCCCAGAGAAGCAGATGAATCAAGGTCTCATCCCAAGGACTCCTCGTACGTGTGAATTTAGGCCGTGGCGCGATCAGATTTAGCACGAAGATTAAAGAGTCTCCTCTGACGTGCTTATCGCAAGACCCCACAAAGAGACTGACAGAATTAGGCGACGACTCAGCCCACGGCAGCTCTTTTAACTTGCAAAAATATTTAATCTCTAATAAGGAAGTGCACTTTCTGAGTATAAAATTGCCACCCTGAAGCACCCACGGTGGACGGGCTGACAGCTTGTTTGTTAGGCAGAGGAGGTTGTAAAGCGCCTTTGTAAGTGACACGAGCAGCAAGTGCCTCTCCGAGCCTGGTAACTGGCTCTGCGTTGGTAAAGTTCAATTTAAAGCCAGAAATCCAATACACTGACCTGCGCCAGCCATAGCCACACTTCCATAATAAATAACCTGCTAGAGGAGATGGTAATTGAAAAGAAAATTGCCCTCAGAGGTAGAGAGAGGGGCCGCAAGGTTTTTTCCTGTCCGTGTTTTTCAGGCTTTGTGTTCACCTCCGGCAGATCTTCCTCCCCTCAGCGTGGTGCTGCTGCCTGGAGGAAACGTCCTGCAGGAAAAATTGGTGGCTGCAGAGCTCTCCCTGATCATCAGGTACCAACACGTCTCAGCCCACGTGCAGCCCAGGAGCCCGTGGAAATGAAGAGTAAAACACGACTTTCAGGGAGTGTCTGCCTCCCCGTGAAAGCTCTCCCCTGGGCAAGGAGTGCGTAAGGTAATTGGTGTTTGCTTACTGGTGGGGTTCAGGCTGACGCTGTATTTATGCTGAGATACACCATTAGGAAAATGTGCCCTTCGGAAAAAAAAAATCGCACTTGCCAGTGTGCTGTTGGAAATGATTTAATTTTTTCACATCAGGCAGGGCACCTGGCTCCCGTTGCAGGTTTGCTCTTCGAGAAATTCACTCGAACCCACTTAAGTCCTCCATAAACTGAGACAAGTAAAAGGCAAGTAGAAAAGACAAGTAAAAGCACTCGCCACAGATGGCAATTGCGCCTGCAGCAAGAGAGATGGAAATATAAATTAATTGCTCTGAAATTGGGGCAATATAACCCTGAGACATCACCCTCAGCTCTTAACACACGACAGAACCACACGATACCCACATACTATGGTGATGGGAGCTACAAGGCTCTAAAGAGGGTGGACAATTATGATAAGCTCCTAATATACTAATGCCAGAGGCTCCACGAGCACTTTGCTGTCCTTGCAAACCATCCCCCAGCACACTGGGGACGGTGACAGACCCTGAAGGTTTGGCAGAGGCTCGTGGGCACCTGAACCCCGGGTGCAGCCCCGTGGCTGTCGGAGCCTTCCTCCCAGGAGGCTCAGCCGGGGCACAGAGGAGCACTGCCCGCTCTCCTGGCGTGTTTTTCCCTCTTTGTTTCCTCAGAAAATGGGGCTTTGTGCAATCGAAGCCCTTCCAGACCTCGGCCTCGTCTCCCATCCCAGCTCCCGGCTCTGCAAGCCGCTCCCTGCCCCGCCGGTAAATATGGATGAGATCTCAGCGGCTCGAATTCCACAAGTTTCTTGAAAACAGATGGCTGGGGAGAGGCAAGAGCGAGGGAAAGGCTTCAGCACGAGCCCGACTATTATTAGAGACCGGAGACTTCGCGCCGGGGAGAGCTGCCGCTCCCTGCAGCGGGGAGCATTTTGGAGCCGCTGGTTTCCTTCGTGCCACCAGCAGATCCCCAGAGGCACTTGTGGGGTCCTGGGAGCAACCTGCCCGATAGGAGAGGTGCCCTACACGTGGTCTCAGCCCCATAACACCCAGAAACACAGCAGGGAAAGCTGGCCTGGAGGTCTCCTCGCCTGGCTTCCCCCTCCTTGCTCTCAGCATCCTCGCCGCTTTCCCCTCCTGCTCCCACCCGCGGCGCCGTCTCCGCGCTTCCCATATGGAGTGCCGAGAACTTTGCCACTCCACGAAGCCTCTGCACAGCCCAGGGCTCCAAAATAACCGAGCTGCACCACCCAGCCACGGCGAGGGGCTGGGTGAGAGGCACTAAGGAAGGGCTTTACAGGCCGGGTTTTTGCACAGGAGCCAACGTGAGAGGCACTAATTACGTCTCCGAAGTGCCAGAGTCAGCCGCTTCAGCTGGGATGGAGCAGGGGAGGCAGCACGGCTCTGACAGCCACCTGCAACAGCAACGCACAGGGAAGCCATAAAATATTCAAGAGCGACAGAAGATTCCAGCAAAGACATTTGCTTTAGCTCTTTGCAAATGAAGGGGGGGGGCTGGGAAGGAAAGCCGGGTGTAGCACTAATTATTCCCTCGCTCCTAATTAGTTCCTTGAATGTAAAATATGGGCTCAGCTCTCGCAGAAGCTCGGCGAGCCCATTGTGCTATTAATACATCCCTGGCGTGATATAGTTAAAAATACTGCCACCCTTTCGAGACAAGATGTGGCTTGGAAGTGTCACGATGGGAGGAGCTGAGGGATGGAAACCCTCTTAAAGGAGTACGGCTTCCCCGGGGTCAAAAACCAAGAGGAATGGGCTTGGCACGACCCCCCAGGCCCAGCCTGCCCTCCCCGAGTGCACGTTTTGAAATAATTCTTATTTTTTTTTGCAGGGATCTGCAGGTGGATTTGCAATTCCTCAGGTGCCTGACTTCCTTCAGACGGGCAGGGCAAGGTCAGATTTGGAACAAAAGGCAGGATTTGGAAGCATCCCCTCTCCGTGCAGCCACACTCGGGGAACCCACAGGTATTTGTCCCGCAGTGGAAGCACAAATTGTGGGCAAGATCTGGGTCAGACACCACCAATACAACACCACACACCTCCTCCTACGGGCTGCGTGAGCCACGGAACCAAGACAGGGGGGTTATCAGCACCTTCCGACCTCCTGGCCACGCGGAGCAGAGCTTCATTTGCAGATCCCGGTGCCTCCAGGACAAGCAGCAGCTCCCCTCCCAGCTCCTCCCGTGGTTCTGCATCCACATGGGTTAATTCCTGCTCCATCCCGCTGGCTGCCTCCAGTCGCAGGGAAACAATACCTGAGCTTCACGTTTTGCTCGGTGCTGGTTGATCTCTTTTCCCCCTGCTAATTTCAGTCCATAATGGATCAATATTTGTGTGTATTAAGAGAAAGAAGACCGGGCACATCCACCACGGGCAAACAAAGGCAGCCCTTCACGGGGGAAAGCACACATTTTGGGCAATAAACCAGCGACCTGCTGCCGGGCGCTGAAATCAACACCTCCAGGGACACACTGGTGTTGTGATTGCTGCCCTCTGTGCTTCATTTAATTAAAAATAAAAAGCCCCAAACCCAGCCCAGGCCTCGTGTGATGAACGTTGTCAGAGGGTGGCTGGCGACTCGAGGGGACGAAGGGATCCTGAAGCTGCTGGGCTGGGGGTCTGGTGCCCCCCGTGACAGCCAGGACAGGTGCTGGCAGGGGTAGGTGTAAGCCCAGGGGTTAAAAAAGGAGGAGGGGGCATTTGGGGTCCCTGTCCCACCTCGCACAGCCCCCTGCTCTCCCCCACCACCGTGCACAGGTGCAAAGCACACACCAGCATCCATGGCGCTGAGCTCAGCCTGGGCTTCCTCCTAAACCTGGGGTAAATGACCAAAAATGATCCCTGCGATGTGTTTTGGGGTATGCTGAAACTAGAGAGACCCCACCCAGCCCCTTCCCTCCTCCCGTGCCTCAGTTTCCCCCAGTCCTTTCCCTCCTGTTAATCAGGGATCGTCTCTTGTCCTGCTGCAGCCTGAAACAGGGCTCCTGCTGCAGAGTGCAAACTGTCAAAAAAACACATTTATCCCCTCAAAATGCTCCAAATGCAGCTGGTTGGGAGCCTGCTGTGCCCGCAGCTTTGCATTTTGGTGGCCTGGGGAGCTCAGCGAGCATCACAGCAGCAGCTCAGCACCGCGGCATCACAACAGGGTACCAGAGTGTGCCCTGGCCCCACTGTGCCACCCAGAGCAGGAGGAGCTGGTGCTCAGGGAGGTGACAAAATTTGAGGCGAAGCCCTCGTGGCTGCCAGCATCCGGGGTTTGCAGCCCGAGGTGGTGTGGAAGCTGGGTGACAACGTGCTGCCGAGCTGGGTGTCTCCTACCAACTTCGTGTGGAGCCAAGTTCTGGTTTCCCATAGAAAAAAAAAAAAATGGACACAAAAGCCAGCACGTACTCACCAAGCGACGGAATCCCAGGAATTCTGCTCAAGTGGGTGCTGCTGGGTTTGGGTTAGGATTGGGGTGAGAGCTGCATCCACGTCCCGGCTGCTCCTCGGGGCTGGTGCCGCAGCCGGGCACTGAGCTCCTCGCCCAGAGCTTGCGTGGGGCTCATCGGGAAGCCATTGGGAATCCAGGCCTTGTCCCTTAAAAACAAAACACGAGAAAAAAAATAATTAAAAAAAAAAAACACACACACACAAAAACCCAACAACAATAAACCAGCTCCAGCAATCGCTATGGTAATTAAAAGGAGGTTTCAACGCAAGTCTCAATTTGCATTAATTAAATCAACCGGGGAGCTTCGGTGGAGTAAGCGAGGTTGTCTGAGGAGCAGCAAACGCTGCGGCAGGCTGGGGCTGCTCGCTGCACACTGCTGCACCTCCCTGCACCTCGCTGCCTGCACGCACGGGCTGGGAGGGTCCTGCAGCTGCGAGGGGCTTCCCAGCAAGGAGGCAGCTGCAGGGAGCAGGGGTTGGGGAGGATGGAGGGGAGGCAGCCGGCTCCGAGCTGCTGGGAGCCGCACGCCCGCTTGGTGCTGCCGGCTGTGAGCCCCGAGCCCGCGGAGGTTGCTCTGCGGCGAGGCGTGGGGAAGAGGAATTTGTTCGTTCACACCCCGGCCAGGCTGCGAGCACAGCTGTGAGGGGAATACAAATGGGCAGCTGGGTTTTTTGTTGTTGTTTTGTTTCGAATTTATTTTTAAAGGCACCGGTTTGAGCAGGAAAGCCGGTGAGACGCGAGGTGCTTGGCTGCAGGCGAGCCCTTCCCAGAGCAGAGCTCCGGGACCAGCTGTCCCCCCATAACCAGCACAACCCCAAAACCCCACAGCCAGCGGGACCCCACAGATTAAAACCCAGCTCTGTCACGTTCAGCCCCGCTCTGTGGGGTAAGGCTGACCCAGAGCTGATCAGGGAGGGTCAGTGGGGCAGCTGGCAGCCCAGGCTAACCTTGAACTGCTGCCTCCTGCCAAAATAAAACAAAACAAAACAAATCAAAACAAAACCAAACCTTTCTGGCCAGCCCCAGTGAAGCAAAGCGAGCGAGCTGGGAAGCAGGGCAGAGGTCTCCACCGCATGGCAGCGGGGTCAGGGGGTGCTGGGAGAGGGATCCCACAGCAGCTGAGCTCAGGGGAGCTCAGAGGGGACGATGGAGCGGCCACAGCAACACCAGGGCTCTTCCCATCTCTCCTCGTTCCTCTTCTGGGCAAGAAGAGAGCTGGGGACAGGGCCCCAGTTGCTGCCTCTCGCTGTTGGGCAGGATGCAGAAGCACGGCCCCCTCCTGACGGGCTCTGTCCCCCCACCCCAAATTATCGCAGGAATCGACCTTGAGCGTCCCCACCCCACCCTCAGCAGCACGGTCCCGCTGCTCCCAGCACCAGAGGCTGTAAATCAGTTAAAAATATCTCTGGAAGCCTCAAAAGCCTCAAAAGCACCGGGAGCTTCTGGTCCTGTCCGTGTCGGCCCTTTGTGCCATGGGAGGAGGACAGGGGATGCGTCCTCTGCCCTCACCCCTTCCCCTCAACACCCCAGAGCATCCCCAGCCCTCGATTAAGAGGAGACGGCGAGGAGGGGACGCGGCTGTCACATCGGGGGAGGGAAGGACCCTGCTGCTCCAGTCCCTGCTTCCCCCAGGGCCCTGGGGTTTGCTGGCACCGAGCGAGGAGCAGCTCAGGCCCCCGAACCTGAGGACACCTCGCTCCTGTAGGGTCCCACGAGCTGTGGCAGCGGGGGACAAAGGACGGGCAGCTGGCGTGCCACCACCCCGCCGGTGCCAGCAGCTGCCGAGGCAGCACGTCCTGCAGCACAGAGCCCATACGGAAATCTGGGGAGGGTCTGCAGGGCCCTAAACCAGTGGCCATAGTGCCACCGGGCTGCTTCGGGACAGCTGAGGACCAGATCCTCCTAAAAAAGCAGCCCCTGTGCTCACGGCTCCGGTATTGCTGGTTGTAGAGGCTTCTGGGCTGCTTCCAGCACGTGCTTGAGCCTGCAGCCTGCTCGTGGCGCTGCCAGGCTGCTCAGAGATGTTTCCTTAAACCACTTTCTTCCCCCCTTTCCCCTCCCCAAATTTTGTGCTTGCAGATCTGCCTCACCTCTACACTCGGAGCCCTTTCGCTGCGTCTTCACCCTGGTTCTTGTGGCCCCGCTTGCTCCGTCCCCAACCCTGCCCCTGCCACGTGTGCCCCCGAGCCCCACGCGTGCCACCCCAAGGATCCCAAGTCCTCGTCCCTTGGGGTTTTATTCCCCGAGCTCCTCAGCCCTCGCTGCCCCGCCGCAGCCCTGGGGCCGGGAGGGATTTCCTGGCACTCCTGGTGAGCGCCGCAGCCACGTCCCACACACGCAGTCCCCAGGCCCTGCTGTCCCCAGGGGCCCTCCTGCTCTTCGGGGCCGGCTTCCAAACGTCCTCGTGCTGGCTACGAGCGGACGATTCCCTGGTGCCCGGGGTTAGAGGTTGGAGCGGCAGGGAGGTGCTGCTGGCACCACCGAGTCACCGACGCCATCCAGGAGGTGCTCCCAGCGATCAAAATCCTCCTTCAGGTCTGTGTGGGGCAGAGCCGGGCACGGGGTCACTGTGGCAGCTCCTGGCCTGGCCCCAAGTCTAAAAGAGGAGCAGCCACCGGGTGCCTTGCTTTGCGCAGCGAAGCTTTGCCTTAAGGAAAGGGGAGACCCCAAAATTTCCCAACCGGTGACCCCCAACCCTGTGGGGTGCCAGGGCCTCGGCCACAGGAGGACAGGAGCCACGTGGCTCACGGCCATATGGGATGGGAAGCCTCAAACCAACCCCGGGGAGGCAGCCCTGCAGGCTGGGGGCCCTCGTGCCCTCCCGAACCCCATCCAACATCCCCATACCCGCACCGTACCGAGGTGCCTCTGCAGGAAGGCCAGAGCCGCCCGGCTGATGATGTCCAGGCCCTTGTGGGGGTCGAGGGTGCCCCCCACGCTGAAGATCCGCCTGACGAGCTTCCCGGTGAGGAAGGCGAAGTCGGTTTGGCTGTGGTGCACGGACCCCCTGGGGAAGGGAAGGGAGCGTGGCAGGGCTGCTCCTGCTCCCGGCCGGCTCCTCGCTGCTCCTTTTGGGGTAGGGGGCGATCACCGGGTGCCTGCCCCCAGCCCCGACTCACAGCACGGTTATGATCCTCGTCTGGCTGTTCCTGGAGCTCAGCCTCTTCATTTTGGCGATGCTTTCCGGCGTCTGGAACTTCTCGGCGTTGATGAAGAGCACGGGCCTGGGCACCTCCGGGTACAGCGTGTTCTCCAGGGGGAACATCCAGGCGTCCAGAGCCACCGCGCACCTACCCGGCACGGACACACGGCGCTGGCCTCGGGCAGCCCCCGGCCCCCCCCCAGCCCCTCGGGAGCATCCCCGGAGCCGCTCACCTGAAGCTGGGCTCCTTCACCAGGGCCAGCACGGCCGTCACCCCCCCGAACGAATGCCCCATGACGGCCACTTTGCCCAGATCAACGCCGTCCTGCAAAAAAAAAGGTGACCCGGCGTGGCTCCGCACACACCCCCAGGAAAAGCCCCATGAACCGTGAGCTGATCCTGCCTGCAAGGAGTACCCAGGAGGGGCACGACCCCCCCAGCCCGACGAAGCCCCCCGGGTGCTCCCCCAGCTCCTGGCACCTTCAGCACGGAGAGGTCGAAGTCTGGGTGCAGGACGTTGGGGACGGGCCGACCGCCGCGCACGGCCTGGAAGAGCCGCAGCGCCCGCACGCACTCGTTGGCTCGCTGATGAACCTGCAGCGAGAGTTACCCCGGGCAATTAACCCCCTGCTAATTACGGGCGGGGTCCTCACCCTGCTGCTTTCCCCAGTGTCCCCCCCAGGCTCTTCTCTCTAAGCCCGCAGGGCTGCGGTGAATTTTTTGTTTTTTTTTTTCCTTTTTCTCTCTGATTCACTCCGTCTGCTACCACGGATCGCTGGAAATAACCAAAAGCCCCCGAAATCCCTCAGTGCTGAGCCGTGCCGGGGTCACGCTGCCCTTCGGCCGAGCCTCTGCTATATTTATAAAAATAATCATCTCTGCTGGATTTATTGTTCCCTTTCAACGCAGAATTTCAGCATGAGCACGAGCTCATGGGGTCGTTTTTCCAGGGGACTATTTCCCTTGTCCGTGCCCCGTGCTGGGAAATGGGGTGCACGTGAAGCAAACGGGCTGGGAAGCAGCACCCGCAGCCCCCCCCCCAGCCCCCCCAGTACCTGCATGTTCCGAAAATAAAACTCCTTCTGCCCCGGGGGCAGCCGCTGGTGCTGGATCCACTCCTCCTGCCCGCTCTCCGCCGTGCAGAAATACGTGGCCGAGGCTGAGCCGTCCCTGCGGGGGAAAGGCAGGGGGCACATATGGGGCGGGCAGCACCCCCTGCCTTACCCCTGCCCCATATCCAGACCCCCGGTGGGGGCACCAGCGGGGTCGTTTCCCTCCTGGGACTGCTGGACCCGCGAGGCAGCGGGGTCTGGGTGCCAACCTGTGCTCCAGCGCCGCCACCACGAAGCCCCAGGACGCCAGCTCCGAGCAGACGGACGAGTACAGGGTGCTGTGAAGGGTCCCAATGGGGTCAGGGCTCCCACTTGGGGTCCCCGTCCTGGCTCCAGCCCTAAATCCCAGCCCGTCCTCCTACCGAAAAGCCCCCAGGCCGTGGGAGAAGATGACCAGCGGGTAGCCACCGCTGCGGGGTTTGAAGGGCCCCTTCCAGCTCACCGGCACCCTACAGGAGCCTGCGGGGAAGAGAAGGGACCCCAAAAAAAACGGGGGGGACGGGCAGCGGGGTGCTGATCCCACAGCGGGACCCCGCTCGGCCCCGTCACCACCCACAGCACCCTCCCCGCATCCCCTTGGGGATGGGGTTTGTGGCCTCAAATCCCAAAAGGAGTGGGGTCCCAGGGCACGGGTGGCACCCGGGCTGGGGTCGGGGTGCCGGGTGCCCCCTTACCGAAGGCGACGTGGAGCAGGGGAGCGCCCCAGCGGGGGCTGCGGCCGCGGAATTGGGCCAGGCCCCGGCTGTACTCGTAGCGGGGGATCCAGCGGGGCCGCTCGGCCCCCACCCGGGGCTCGCAGGGGTAGAAGAGGCGGAGGAAGAGCCCCTGGGGGACAGAGGGGACAGGGGGGGGGACAGCGTGGGGACACCGGGGGCTGTGCCCTGCGCCCCTCGCAGCCGTGGGACATTGGCGAGCTCAGGCTGCTCGTCCCCGTCCCCATCCCTGTCCCCATCCCTGTCCCCATCCCCGTCCCGTACCTGCCGTGTGTGTCCCACCATGACGTCCACGCAGCCCACGCCGTGGGGTCCCTTCCCCGGGGGCAGCGCCAGCGACTGCTCCCCCCCCATGGCCCCTGGCTGCAGGCAATGGGTCAGGGGCCGTGCCCCGCACCCCAAACCCCGCTCAGCCTCCCCCTTTCCCCCAGCACCTCCCCAACACCGAAACCGCCTGGGTGCTGCTATGGGGGGGTTCTGGCCCCATTCCCAATGGGGCTGAGGGTTTTTAACCCGTCCCCTGCCCCATTTGCCCCCCGCTGTCCCCATCCCCGTCCCCATCCCACCCCACAGCGTGGCCGGGCCCTACAAGGGGAGCGTGAGCAAGAGGGCAGCGCGGGGCTGGGGGGGCTCAGAGCCCCCTGGGGACACCCCTGGGGACATGGGGGGGACATGGGGGGCACAGCCCTGTCCCCATCCCCCCCCCCCGCAGAACTACAGCTCCCAGCATGCCCCTGGCTGGGGACTACAGCTCCCAGCATGCCTTGCAACCCCCCCCTCCTCCCCCCCCCCCCCCCGCATTGCACAGCCCTGCCTGCAGCTCCCAGGGCTCCCCCCAGTGCTCCCAGTTACCAGTGCAAAGCCCAGGGCGCTCCCAGTGCTCCCAGTGCTCCCCCCCCCCCGACAGCTCCCAGTGACCCCCCGATAACTGCCAGTACCCCCCCATAGCTCCCAGTACCCCCCCATTACTCCCAGTGCCCCCCTATAGCTCCCAGTGCCCCCCAGAGCTCCCAGTACTCCCCCATAGTTCCCAGTGCCCCCCCCCCCCATAACTCCCAGTGCTCCCCAGAGCTCCCAGTGCCCTCTTATAGCATCCAGTACCCCCCCATTGCTCCCAGTGCCCCCTCCCCAATAGCTCCCAGTGCCCCCCAGAGCTCCCAGTACTCCCCCATAACTCCCAGTATCCCCCATAGCTCCCAGTACCCTCCCATTGCTCCCACTGCCCCCCCATTGCTCCCAGTGCCCCCCCCCCCCCAATAGCTCCCAGTGCCCTCCTATAGCTCCCAGTATCCCCCCCTGGCTCCCAGTGCCCCCCCATAACTCCCACTGCCCCAGTAACTCCCAGTGACCCCTGTCCCAGTTCCTGCTCTGGCTCCCAGTGCCCCTCCCACAGCCCCCCGAGCTCCCAGTTACCCTCTGTGCCCCCCAGCCCCAGCATCCCCCCCTGCACCAGTATCCCCCAGTACCCCCCCAGCACTCCCCACGGTCACCAGTGCAGGGGAACACAGCTCCCAGCACACACCAGTGCTCCCAGTACTACAGCTCCCAGTGCCACGCGTGGGCGGGGACTACAGCTCCCAGTAGCCACCAGTGCGGGACACAGTGCCCAGTGCTCCCAGTGCAAAACCAGAGCTCCCAGTGCAAAACCAGTGCAAAACCAGAGCTCCCAGTGCAAAACCAGAGCTCCCGGTGCCACCAGTGGAAAACCAGAGCTCCCAGTGCAAAACCGGAGCTCCCAGTGGGAAACCAGTGCAAAACCAGAGCTCCCAGTGCAAAACCGGATCTCCCAGTGGGAAACCAGAACTCCCAGTGCAAACCCAGTGCAAAACCAGAGCTCCCAGTGCAAAACCGGAGCTCCCAGTGCAAAACCAGAACTCCCAGTGTAAATCCAGTGCAAAACCAGAGCTCCCAGTGCAAAACCAGTACAAAAGCATAGCTTCCAGTGCAAAACCGGTACAAAACCAGAACTCCCAGCGCAAAACCAGAGCTCCCAGTACAAAACCAGTACAAAACCAGTGCTCCCAGTGCCCCACTCACCCCCAGTCCCCCCAACCTGTGGGGTTGCCGTGCCCTGCCCGCCCTGCAGCCGGGGCTGGGACGGTCCCCACGGTCTCCACACCCCCCCCCCAGGGTCCCCACGCCCCCCCCACGCCCCCCACGCGTGGGTCCCGCTCCTCCCCCCCCGCTCCGTGCCCTGGCTCCCTCCCCCCTCTCCCCCCCCCGCCGTAATCCCCTGGGGATTAAAACTCCCCGCGGGGCCGAGCTGTGCCCTGGGCCGGGCAAAGAGCCAAAACCTGGGTTAAAAATACCCTAAAACCCCCTAAAACCCCCTAAATCCACCCAAAAGCCCCGCCAAGCTCCTGCCCACGCAGCCCACGCGGGGCTCCCGCTGCGCTCGGTTCCTCCCCGGGGGAAACTGAGGCACGGGTGGGCTCCGGGGGTGTCACCGCGCCTGTCCCCAGGGTCGCCCCCATTGTCCCGCGTGGGAGCCAGCCCCTCTCGGGACCCCCCCCGGGTCCCACGCGTGTCCCTGGGTTTCCATTGAAATGAGTTCACGCTCCCACTCGAGTTTTTTTTGGGTGTTTTTTTTCCAGTTTGCCCAGCAGACGGCTAATTGGGGCGGGGGGGTTAAGGGGGGGTCAAGCCTGATGCTCCCCGTCACGGCAGAGACCCCCCCGAGAGCAAGGACACGCGTGGGGCCACGGGGCGTGGGGATACGGGGCGAGCCGTGGGGTCGGCGCTAGGACCCTGCGGATCCCCGGGCTCCCCCTCCCACCTCGGGGAACCCCCGGCCCACGTGGGCCCCCCGCGGGCTCGGCCAATGGGAGGGCGCCGGGGGAGGAGGGAGCGTCCGAGAGCCACGCCCACTGGGAGGGAACAGCCAATGGGAGAGGAGGGGGCGTGGCCGAGGGCGATGCTGTGACGGTGGGAACGGGGAGGGAGGGGGCGAGGGGAGGGGGGGAACACCGAGGGGAGGGGGCGCGGGGAGGGAGGGAGGGGGGGGACAGACGGACAGAGCCGGGGGGACAAGGACAGACGGACAGGGCACGGGACAGGGACAGACGGACAGCAGGGTGATGGGGGGGGTCACCCGGGGGCAGTGACGGCACCGTGGGTAAGGGGGAGAAAACCGGGACGCCCCTAATCCCAATCCCTAATCCCAATCCCTAATCCTAATCCTGCCCCCAACCCCAATCCTGGTCCCAATCCCAAATCCCAACCCCAAATCCTCACCCTGATCCCAAACCCCATCCCGGTCCTGATCCCCATCCCAAACCCCAAGCCCCAAATCCCCATCCCAAACCCCCCATCCCAACCCTAAACCCCCATCCCAACCCCAAATCCCCAATCCCAATCCCCTCCCCGCAATGGGCTGCAGGCAGCACCGGGGTCCCTTTTGGGGCTGGGGGCCGGGGGGGCTTTGGGACTGACCCGCAGCCTCCCCCCGCTGCTCCTAGGGAGGCTCCGAGCCCCCCGGCGGGGCTGGGATGGGATCGGGGCGGCCGCACGCACCCAGCCACGAGGGCACCGGAGGAGCACCGAAGGTACGGGGATGGGGAGGGGGGGAAAAAAAAGGGGGGGAGAGACGAGGGAAATGGGGAGGGGGTGTCCCAGTGCCCCCCCCCCAGGGCTGACACAGTTGGCAGGGAGGCGATTGTGCGACCTCGCTGCCTCTCCAGGGATTTGAAGCTGGGCCAAGCGGCAGCGGTGGAATTGTCACCGCAGGCAGCCGAGGAAACGCAGCGGGAGGGACACGGGAGGGACACGGGAGGGACGGGAGTGGGACACCGAGGGGACAAAGCAGGACGCCTCGCACCGGCCCCGCTTCTCGCCCCGCAGCCGGAGGCTCCCCAGACCCCGCGGAGCCGGGTGTGGAGAGGGGACCGCGGGTCCTCGGTGTCCCCACACACCGGGGGCCACCCCGGAGCCGTCCCCGTTGCCACCGTCCTCCGTCACCCGTGGGAGCCCGATGAGCCGCCGAGGCCGAGCGTGACCCTATGCAGGCCAGGAAGAAATACCTGCTGCTGGCCTTCCTCGCCTCCTGGCTCGTCCTCCTCCTCCTCCTCCTCGGGGACCGCCTGCGCCGTTCGGCCTTCATGTCCCAGCCCAGAGCCGTGTCCCCCAGGAGCTGGCCCCGCTGGGCCGATCGCTCCCTTCTGGGAAGCTTCGCGGCCCCCCAGGAGCTGCAGGACCTCGGGACGCCCTCGCCGCCCTCATCCCGGCTGAACTCCTCGTCCCGGTGCCGCATGGAGAACTGCTTCGACCTCGGGCGCTGCCGGCGGCACGGCTTCAAGGTCTTCACCTACCCGCGGCAGCGGGGCCAGCCCGTGTCCGACAGCTACGGCAAGATCCTGGCCTCCCTCGAGCGCTCGCGCTACCACACGCGGCGCCCCGAGGAGGCCTGCGTCTTCGTGCTGCCCTTCGACACCCTGGACCGCGACCGCCTCTCGGCCCGCTACGTCCCCGGCCTGGGCCAGCAGCTCGGAGCCTCCCCGCTGTGGAACGGGGGCCGCAACCACCTCGTCTTCAACCTCTACTCGGGCACCTGGCCCCACTACGGCCCGGAGCTGGGTTTTGACGTCGGCCAGGCCATGTTGGCCAAAGCCAGCTTTGATGCTGAGAGTTTTAGGCCTGGGTTTGACGTCTCCATCCCGCTCTTCCCCCGGGACCACCCGCAATGGGGTGGGCAGGAGGGGAGGCTGAGGCACGGCGCGGTGCCCCCCAGGAAAAAATACCTGCTGGCCTTCAAGGGGAAGCGATACCTGACCGGCATCGGGTCCGGCACCAGGAACGCCCTGCACCACATCCACAACGGGAAGGACATCGTCTCCCTCACCACCTGCAAGCACGGCAAGGACTGGGAGAAGCACAAGGACGCGCGCTGTGACAAGGACAACGCGGACTACGAGAAGTGAGCGGGGTGGGGAAGGGGGTGGGAGGGTGAAAGGGGAGAGCCCCGCGGGTTTGGGGGGTGGCACGGCCACGCTGGGTGGGAAATGGGGAGAGGGGAGGGTTTGGGGATGTCCCCCCACATCCCCCGGCCTCGTCTCAGCCCCAAGCTCGCCCTTTGGGGACATCGGGGGAAATGTGCAGTGGCACCCACCCCAAAACGGGATGGGGACACAAAGTTCTGTGAGTTTGTGGGGTCCCGGGACCGGGGAGCTGCACACCGGCTCCTCAGCTCCTTGTCCTGCCCTCAGCCAGGGTGGTTTGGGTGGAAAAAAAGGGATTTGGGGCCAGGATGAGGCGCGAGGATGAGCAGGGAGGTCTCGGTCCTGCCACCTGGGGACATCCCGCGGCCACCCGACCCCGAGAGCAGATGGAAGGGCCGCGTGGGACATCATCCCCAAAGCGTCTTAGGAGGTGCCGGGAGGTAAAAGCGAAGCCAGGGGTGGGGGTATTGGGATTAGCCAGGGCTCCGGGGCCGCTCGGGCATCGCCTGGCCCCGACACGGCCCTGTCAGCCCCCGCCCTGGGGCTGTTTTTTGGGGACGGGGCACGGCAGCAGCTCGGAGGGGGACGTGGTGGGCGCCCGGCGCGGCCCTGAACAAAACAAGGAAGCCCTGACGGCAAAAGTGCCCGGAAACCACAGCGGGGCACGAGCCAAATATTTCCATCGGGAGGTTTCGGCCCCGCAGCCCGGCCGGCGCCAGCCTCCCCGCCACGGCTGCCGGCCAAAAAGGATGCTCGGACCCCCCCCGGGATGCTCGGACCCCCCCCAGGATGCTCAGACCCCCCCCGGGATGTGTCCTGCTGGGTCCCCTCCGAGTGGGTGGCAGTGGGGTGGCCCCAAAAGGTGAGCGCTGGAGGTGCCCGGCCCTAAAGATGTCACCGTCGGGGTTGTCATGGGGTGTCTGGCCAGGATTTGGGGTGTTGGCAAGGCAGGGAGCACCCCCAGGGATTTGGGGGATTTGGTGTCTGTGGGGGATGCAGGGATGATCCCCATAGGGTGGGTTTTGTTCCCAAATCTGCCTGCTGCTTTCCTGCGGGGATGCTCCAGGGTGCCCCAGCACCCACCGAGGGGGGCTCATCCCCACGTCCCCACCACGGCCGGGTCTGGGAGACCTTTCCCTTGGGGCCCAGCCCCAATTTGTCCCCGCAGCCCACCCCGGCCGGGCTCTGTGTGTGTCCCCCATCCTCTCCAGGCAGGAACAGTCGGGGTCTGTCCCAGCTCCGTGTCAATATTGGATTTTCCGGTGCGGTCACCCCTCCCCAGCAGCACAGACGGGGCTTTCATAGCCTGGGGCCCTGCCGGCCCCTCTTCCCCCCCCCAAAAAAAAAAAAAAACAAAAAAAACGCTGCCGGGGCAGGCAGGGCTGCTCCTGCCCTACAAGCCTGGGCACGGCGCAGGAATCACCGCGATTTCGGGCTCGGGGGTTTGGGTGCTGTGTTGTGGGGTGGTGTGGAGGGGGCTGTGCTCCCCCCCGGGTAACGCCGGGGGTCTCCTGACCCCCCTCTTTGGGGTGAATTTGGCTCCTGGCTCTGCCACGGGTTCCCTTGGTGGGCACCCCCCAGGGGGCTGCAGCCCCACCAAGCCCAGCCCCGATCCATCCCAACCCCACAGGATGGGTGCCCGGCCTTGTAGGGTGCCAACAAGACCCCGTGGGGTGCACGGGGGTGTGGGGGGCAGTGCCTGACCCCCCCCACATCCCCCAAAAAGGTTTGACTACCAGGAGCTGCTGCACAACTCCACCTTCTGCATCGTGCCCCGCGGCCGGCGCCTGGGCTCCTTTCGCTTCCTGGAGGCGCTGCAGGTACTGGGGGGCTTTGGGGAGGATGGGGGGGACAAGGGACCCAGCTGTGGGGTCCCCGGGCTCTGTCCCAGCCCCTGTGGGGTCCCTCGCAGGCCGCCTGCATCCCCGTGCTGCTGAGCGATGGCTGGGAGCTGCCCTTCTCCGAGGTGATCGACTGGAGCAAAGCCGCCGTGGTGGGCAGCGAGAGGCTGCTCCTGCAGGTACCGGGGCCGGGTCCTGCCCCGTGCTGGGCACCAGTTTTTTGGGGGGGGGCTGACCCCAGAGGTGACCCCCAGAGTCCCTATTTTTTGAGGGTAAAAGCTCTGCAGTCAACTACCCCGTCCTTCGTGGGGGTGCGGGGGGTCCCGTCCCAACCCTGGGGCATCTCCGCAAACCCTTGGGGGGGTCCCGGGCTTGATCCTGCTCCACAGAGAGGGCTGTGGCCACGGCACCGGCTGTGGGGGACCCCTTGGGACCGTACGGGGGTCTCAGGGGGGTTAAAGCAGCCCTGCTCGCCCCACAGATCCCCTCCGCCGTGCGCTGCATCCACCCGGAGCGCGTGCTGGCCCTGCAGCAGCAGACGCAGTTCCTGTGGGACGCCTACTTCTCCTCCGTCGACAAGATCGTGCACACCACGCTGGAGGTGAGTGCAGCCCCCCGGGGACCCCCCCCATTTGGGTTACGGGAACCCTTTGGGACGCTGACGGCACCTCCCGGCCCCTCGCAGATCATCAAGGACCGGCTGCTCCCGCACCGCTCGCGGCCCCGCTTCCTCTGGAACGAGCCCCCCGGGGGGCTGCTGGCCCTGCCCGACTTCTCCACGCACATCGGGGACTTCCCCTTCTACTACCTGCAGCACGGTAGGACCCCCGTGTTGACCCCAAACCCCCCCGGCTGAGCACCACGGGCTCGGTGCGCGTTCTGACGCCTCTCCTCTGCCCCTGTCCATCCCAAATCGCAGGCTCCAGCCCCTCTGAGAAGTTCACAGCCCTCATCCGCGTCGTCTCGCCGCTGTCCCAGCCCGTCCTCAGGCTCATCCAGGCCGTCTCCAGGTCCCAGTACTGCGCCCAGGTGGGGGGAGATGGGGGACGGGGTAACGGGGGGCACGATGGGGCAGGTTCCCAGGGGCTGGGGGCACAGAGGAAGGGATGAGGCAGGTTCCTGGGGGCTGGGGTGGGATTTGGGTGGGATTTGTGTGGGATTGGGGGGCTGACAGTGCTTGTGTCACCCTTGGGGGCAGAGGTGCCCCCTCCTCGCGGTGCTGGGACCAACCCTGGTTGTATCCTGGTTCCCTCATGGGATGGTTTTGGGGTGGAAGAGGCGCAGCCCTACTGAGAGCTGAGCTGGAGCCGGTCCCGGTGCCGGATCCGGGGGGTGCTCAGCCCTGCGAACCCCAACACGCCCCAGGGGGGCAGCCCCGGGAAACCCCCTTGTGGTGCCCCCCAGCCCTGATTTTCCACCCCGCTGCAGATCCTGGTGCTGTGGAGCTGCGAGGAGCCACCGCCACCGCTCGAGAAGTGGCCCCAAATCACGGTGCCCCTGAGCGTCATCGAGGGCAGGAGGGAGGTACGAGGAGCCGGGACCCGTCTGGAGCCAGGCACCCACCCGGGGGCACATCCCAAATTTAATTTCCCCCCTTTCTGTAGCCCAGCGACCGCTTCTTCCCCTACGCGGCCATCCGGACGGACGCGGTGCTCAGCCTGGACGAGGACAGCAGCCTCTCCACCAGCGAGGTGAGGCCGTGGGCACCGCGATCCCTGACCCCACAGAGCTGGATGAGCCCCGTGCTGAGAAAATGGGATGCTCAGCGGCCACTGTGGGGCTGGCAGGGAGCCGTGCCCACTGTCCCCGTGTCCCCACACCCAGGGGGGCACAGTGGGGACGGCGCTGGGTCCCTGTTGATGCCACCCCCTGTGCCAGGTGGATTTTGCCTTCGTGGTGTGGCGCAGCTTCCCCGAGCGCATCGTGGGCTTCCTGGCCTCCAGCCACTTTTGGGACGCCGAGCAGCAGCGCTGGGGCTACACCTCCCGCTGGACCAACGAGCTCTCCATCGTCCTCACCGCCGCCGCCTTCTACCACAGGTACCGCAGCGCGCCAGGAGGCCGGGGGGAGCCCCACGAGCTTGAAGGGGGGGGGCACGGACACATGCTGCCCCCTCCTCGCCGCCTCCCCCAGGTATTATCACAGCCTCTTCACCGGGTACCTGCCCGCGGGGCTGCGTGAGCTGGCGGGGGGCCTGGCCGCCTGCGAGGACATCCTGATGAACGTCCTGGTGGCCGCCGTCACCAAGCTGCCGCCCATCAAGGTCACCCAGAGGAAGCAGCACAAGGAGGCCGTGCCCCAGCAGCAGGTTAGGGGGCGAGGAGGGGGTGCTGAGACCCTCCCCAAACCGGGAGCAGAGCCCCTGAACCCCGCGCTTTTCCCCCTGCCCAGGTGAAGGGCACGGCGCCGAGCAGCAGCCGGGGTTTCTCGCAGCAGCAGGATTGCCTCAACCAGCTGGCGGAGTGGTTCGGGTACATGCCCCTCGTGTCCTCCCAGCTGCGCCTCGACCCCGTGCTCTTCAAGGACCAGGTCTCCATCCTGCGCAAGAAATATCGCCACTTGGAGAGGCCCTGAGCCCCGCCGGGCACCCCGACCCCACCGCACGGACCTCAGGGGAGCAGCGCATCCCTCCCGGAGCGAGCACTGGGGTGGCTGCCCACGGGGTTTTTATTTGGTATTGGGTTTTACCAGTACGATATAGGGCAGGGCAGGCACGGGGATGGATGCAGGGTGAGCAGAGTCCGGCTGGAGGCTGCAGGATGCGGGATGAGCCAGCTGTGCATGGTGGTGGCACAGCAGGGGACCCCGGTGCCACCGTGCCCAGCACATTGGGGACATCCTTGGGGCTTGGTGGTGGTCGCTGCGTTCCCAGGCACGGTCCCCAGGCAGTGGCAGCGCCCAGGAGGCTGCGTTTGGGGCTGCCCCACACCAGCAGTGTCCCCGCCGGGTGCTGCAGAGGTGCCCATGTCCCTGCGATTGTTTCGTGCACCGTCCCCACCCCGCGAGCAGCAGGGAGGGGACAGCGAGTGCTTGAGCTTCCCAAAAGCAAACAGGGGAGCGATAAGAGGTGAGAGCAGGGCAAGCGTCCTCCCTCCGCCCTCCCTCCCTCCCCAGGCTGGGATGGACCCAAGCACCCAGGGGCTCCTCCCCAGGCACCCTTCCACCCCCTTTTTTTCCCCCAAAGCGAAATAAAAGGGATATTTCAGCTGCTTTTCCTGGCTGCTCTGAAACTGTGAAAACCAAGGTCCCCCCCCCCGTGCCGCCCTTCTCCACAGCCCTGGCCCCGTCCTTGGTCCCGTCGCCCGCAGACCAAACCCCGCAGGCACAAGGTCGCCCGTCGGCGGGGCCGTCCCCTGGTGGGGCACTCGCTTTGCTCTGCTTTATTGCCTCCTGCTAAAAGTTCGTGGGAGCAGGACGGGGGTGCCAGGGCTCAGGGGGCTCAGTCGCGGGGGGGCTGGCACTCGCGGCAGTCCCGCATGTCCTCGGAGTAGCTCTCGATCTGGATGGTGGTGGTGTGGAAGCGGAAGGCGCGCTGCAGCCGCGAGCTGGCCTCCTCCAGCACCTCCTGCGCGTTGGCGCCGGCGTCTGCAAGGAGTTAGAGGGGGTGTCAGGGGGCTGGGTGAACCCCCAAATAATTTTTCCCCCCCACACACACACTCACTGATGGCGATGTGCACCGAGAGCAGTGGCTGCGCTGCCGTCAGCGCCCAGATGTGGAGGCTGTGCACGGCCTCCACGCCGCCCACCGCCAGCAGCGTCTCCCGCACGGCGTTGAAGTCCATGCCCCTGGGGGTGCCTGGGGGGGGGAGCCACAGAATGGGGTGGGTGTCGGGCTCACGGCACCCACGGGTGGTTTTCACCACCCCGCCGGCCCCGGCGGGTCCCTACCCTCCATGAGGACGAGAAGGACGTCGCGGAGGATGGTGAGCGTTGTCCCCAGCACCAGGGCGGAGAAGAGGAAGGTGCAGATGGGATCCACGAACTTGTACTCGGGCTGGGGGAGGCGGCAGAGGCTGAGATCTCCCCCCCCCAGTGCCACCTCCAGCCTCCAAATCCCCATCAGAATCCATCCCATCCATCTCCCCCCCCGTGTGCAGCCAGGGATGGGCAAGCCACCATCCCCGTGTCCCCCTCCCGAGCGTCCCCTTGGCCCCCAGCACCGCCCCCACCTTAAAGAAGATGATGTAGGACGCCACGAGGACGCCGACGCTCTGCAGCAGGTCCCCCACCACGTGGACGAAGGCGGCGCGGACGCTGGCGTTGGGCTGCTCGCCCGGCTCTCCGTGCCCGTGCCCGTGCCCTGTCTGGTGCAGAGCCACCCCCATCCTGCGGGCAGGGTGGCGGTGACATCCCCGGCCACCACCGGGGTGTCCCCCTCCCCAAAAAGGGGCGGCAGCATTGTACGTACACGATGTTGACGGCCACGGCGCAGGCGGAGGTGATGAGCATGACGCCGCCCTCGATCTCGTAGTCGGCCGAGAGCAGGCGCTGGGCCGCCAGGTACACCAGGACCCCCGTCACCACCCAGATGGAGAGCACGGACAGCAGGGCCCCCAGGATCTCTGCGGAGAGCCCCGCGTTGTCACCGCACCCCGGGGTGCCCCTACGGTGCCGGGATGCTTCCCAATGGGGTTGCTGGGGGGGGTTGTGGTGTTACCTGCTCGGTGCCAGCCGAAATTCATGGTTTTGGTGGCGGGGCGGGAGGACACCCAGAGGGCGAAGAGGCTGATCATGACGCTGGCGAAGTCGGTCAGGAGGTGGGCGGCATCCGTCAGGATGGCCAGGCTGTGCGCCAGGTACCCGCCTGCGCTCACACAGAAGGGAAAAAATCAGGGGGAGATCTTCCCCTGCACAGAAGATCCCCACCCCGCACAAAAAGAGGGAAGAGATCAAGGGGAGACCCCCACCCGGACCCCCACACGGACCGGGTCACCCCAAACCCAAACGGGGCGCCCTGCCCGCTCCCAGCTTGCGCCCATTTCACAGATGGGGACAGGAGAGGCCACGCAGCCGCTCAGGGCACGACCACCCCATCCGGACCCCAAACCCGGCACTCACCCACGGCTTCCCCCAGCATGAAGACGAGGCAGATGCCGGCGGCCACGTAGAGCTTCCTGCGCGCCCGCTGCTGCTGCCCGGGGTGGTCGGCAGCCCCCAACGCGTGGCAGTGGCGGTGGCGCCGCGTGCCCAGCTCCAGGGCGGGCGCCTGGCCCCGCAGCGAGCTGTGCCCGTCCTCCTGCACCGTCCCCAGGTAGGACCTGCAGGGGGACGGGTGACAGCGGGGGACAACGGGGCACCAGGAGGTGCTGGCACTGGGCACATCGGGGTGCCCAGATGGGGGAACCGGGGGGAAAAGAGGGGATGCGCCACACTCCCTTTGTGCTCAGCACTGCTCCCCCCAGGTCAAAGGGCTTTTGGGGACGCCACGTGGGACCCCAAAGGGGAATGTGGGGAACACGTGCACGTCCCCAACCCGCAGGGCACCCCCTTACCCCGCTGCGCCCTCGGTCAGCAAGTGCCGCTTCTCCTCGCCGGCTGCCATCGGGGTCGGGGTTGGGGTTGGGGTCAGGATCGGGGCCGGTGACCCCGGTGGGTGCGTGGCGGGCGCTGGTGGCAGCCGGTGGCAGTCGGTGGCCTCGGTGGCGGCCGTGTGAAAGCGCCGGGGACTCGTGTGCAAAGCCAAGCCGGGGGAGGCAGGGCCAGGCCGGCTGCAAAGCGCCCGCCGCCGCCACCGCCTCGCCCCCCCTGGGGGGGCCCTGCCTCACCCTGCACCCTTGGGGGGGTCCCGGTGCCGGGGGGCTGCTCTGAGCTGCCCCCCTCTAAGCACCCCGGGGTGCCCCAGGGGCTGGGGGTGGGTCAGGACCTGGCTGTGGTCACCCCAGGAGGATGGGGAACCCCCCCAGCCCCCAAAGACAGTCTGGTTTGCCCCTATGATAAGCCCTTTCCCCCCCCCCGGGTTTAAATCCAGCTGCATGGGTGAAGCTGGGGCCATGCCCAGGGGGCAGGGTCGGATCTGCTGCCTGCCCCCCTCCGAGAGCAGCGTTAATTGCTCCGGGGCTAATTGCAATCAGGGCACAGCCCAGAGCACCGCTCAAAGCCTCAGTTTCCCCTGGAGCAGGGGCTGAGCTCTGTTTGTGTTTCTGCAGGAGGAGCACGCCCCTGCCACGGCCTCGCAGCTGTGTGAGCTCAGCTGGCAGCTCAGGCTGGCCCCATTTTGGGGCTGGCACAGCCTGAACCCCCCTCACCCCCGCCCCATGTTCCCAAACCCCCGTGAGCACTGGCCCCATGTGCCCCCATCACCAGGGGATAAATCCTGCCGGGTGCTGACCCCTTAAAACCTCCATGAGCACGGCCAGCACGGGATGCCAGCACTGCTGGAGGTGTCAATTAGGTGAAAATTAGGAGCTACACCTGCCCTGGGAAACCCTCTGGCATCCCCAGAGCCCATCCCAGGACCTGTGAGCTGAAAATGAGAGGCGAGAGGGGGCGAAAAAATGCCCAAAGCACTGGTTTTCTTTATAAAATACACAAAATTCAACTCCGTTACAATTATATACAAAACAAGGAACATATAAAACGTGCGGAATAATCCTTTGCACCCGTATAGAAAAGTGTCCTGTGCTGGAGCAGCCATCGCCTCGCCGGGCAGCCAGCCCCCATCGGCGCGTCCCCAGGTCCCGTCGCCGGACATCCTGCGCCCGCCACGGCTACTGGGGGGCTGCGGGAGGGAGAGGGTGGTGGGAGGGTGCTGGGGAGGGATGGGAACCCCAATAAATCCTCCCTGTTCCCCCCTTTGGGTGCTCATGGCAGGGGCTCTGCCGTGACAGCAGCACAGAGGTGGCTGTCCTTACCTGTCACCATCCTCCCGGGCGCTGAGTCCCCTTCTGTCTCTTCCTCCACCTCCTCATAGAACTCCTCATCCTCCTCATCTGCAGAAGGGGCAGCCAAATGTCAGCGAGGGGCAGCTGCGGTGGGGTCCCAGCCGCTGGCTCCCGAGGGGTTTTTTGGGGCTGGATTACCTGCTTCGAAGTCCAAGGCGCGGACGGCGTCGGCGAGGTGGTCCAGGCTCACCGAGAAGGCGTCCATGCTCTCGTAGCCTTGCTCGATTTTCTCCAGCCTGCCGCCCTTCGAGGCCTCCACGATCCTGTGGGGAGAGCACGGCCCTGATCCTACAGCCCCCAAGCATGGGATTCCCCCGGGCAGGCTCGTGGTGCCAGATCCTGGCCTGGGGACAGGGTTGGGGAGCACCAAGGTCTCCAGTTTGGGCACTTACGTTTTAATGAGCTGCTTGGCGTTCTGTGGGAGCAAGAAAAAAGGTGAGGGTGTCAGAGCAGCACCACCTGGGATGTCCCTGTGCCACCAGCATGTCCCCGTGCCACCGGGACCCGGCACGAGAGGCACCCCACGGGCACCAAGGGGCTGTAGGGTCGGGGTCTCACCATGAGGAAGGTGGCCTCCCCGGTCTCCTCCATGGCCTGGATGGCTGTCTCCACCAGCCGGCTGGATTTCTCCAGCTGCTCCTTGTACTTGTGGATGAGGCCCTGCACGAAGCCCGTCTTGTCCTCCTGCTCGCGGCCGATGCGCCCCAGCAGCTCCGTCTTCTTCTCCTCCAGCAGCGCCACGAAGGCGTCGAAACGGGCGCACAGCTCCCGCTTGGCCGCCTCGCTGTTCTCCTGCGGGGACAAGGGACAGCCGTGGCCCTCCAGCCCCTGCGTGTCCCCTCCCCATTGCCTCCTCCATTCGCTCTGGTTCCCCGCAGCACGTCGGGGTCTCGGGGGGCTCCTTTCCCCCGTCCCTCACCTCGGTGCTGCGGCAGGAGTCCTCCAGCTGGGAGATGATGGTCTGGATCCGGTCGTTCCCCGCCACCAGCATGGAGATGCAGTTGTTGAGCTCGCTCTGGGCAGGGACAGATGGACAGAAGCAGCTTGAACCCCGTCCCCCAGGGACAGGGACCGCCGGGATGTCACGGTCCGTCCCCCATCCTGACGTGGGGACGGGCTGGGAGCCGGGGGGAGGCATCGCTGTGTCCACGGCTCTAAATTTAGGGCTGTCTCCTGGCTGAAGTCAGCCTGATGGCTATTAATACCCCATGAGCACGTCCCAGAGCTATTTGTGGCCACACTCAGCACATTGCCCGGAACCTGCCGTGCCCCCCCATGGCCCCAGGTCCCCAACAACCCCCTCCCCGTGGCACCTTCTGGCCCTGGAAGACGCTCTGCAGAGGGGCGACTTCGCAGTCCTTGTGGGCCCCGAAGACCTTGCACATGGAGCAGGTGGGGACCTCGCAGGTGACGCAGTAGATGTTGATCCGCTCGTCCTCGTGCTCCTTGCACATGGGGTGCTCCCCCTTCTTCAGGGGCCTGCTGGAGAGAGCAGAGCAGCTGTGGTGACGTCCCTGTCACACCGATGTCCCCATCACACCGATGTCCCCATCACGGTGACGTCCCCATCGAGGTGATGTTCCCACAGCAGTGACATAACCCATGGATGCTGCAGATCCACCCCACAATCGTCTCCCCTTGCGAGAGGCCAGATCCTGGCCTCTGTGCCTCTACAAGCCCAGTAAGCCCCAGTTTGCACCAGTCTGGCACTGGACACAGCAGCAGTCGGGGGCCACGCTCCAGGGATGCTGCACAAGCGCCTAATTTTAGAGCAGCGCTGCTGGCGTGTATTCTTATCACCCGACGTGTGACCAGAGCGGGGGCTCCAGGGAGGGTGACAGCAGTTGAGTCACCAGTGGGGGGTTTTTCAGCCAATTCCCCCCCCCCCCCCGGGGCCGCAGCCACCTGCCACGTGCCATCCGTCCCCGTCCCCATGGCACTGGAACAATATTGACAGTGACGCAGGGGACCGGGGAGCTGAGCCCCTGCATTTGGGTCCCTCAAAAAGACGTCACCCCCCCTCCCTTTTCCCCCCCCCCCATGCTGTAACCCTGCTGCTGAGCGATGCCTTTACCCAGCAGGGTCCCCCCCTGACTGTCCCCCTGCCCCTTATCAGCTCCCCGCTGTCACCAGCAGAGCCTGGATTTGTCCCTCACGCCCCTTATCTCCAACTGAAAGCCTCAGCTGCAGAGTGCCAGAGGGGGGGTAGGACTTGTTCCTCCACCACCCCCCCAGGGTCCCAGTGCCCCCAGTGAGCCACCAGACCACAGACCCGAACGGCATGGGAGATTTGGGTTAGGAGATGAAGATTTGGGTTGGGAGATAGAGATTTGGGTTGGGGCACAAGGAGGTGGCTCTGGGGATGAAGATGGTGGGGGAGCACCAAGCCGGCCCCCTCATTTTCAGCAGAATCTCCTCCCACACGTTACGCCGGGCTCTGTGGCACTGCTGTCCCTGTGTCCCCGCGGGACCAACCTGGAGCACTCCTGCTTGTAGATGTCGATGATGTTCTCCACCAGCAGGTTCCTCTGCAGCCCGTAGACGCCGTGGCGGTCCAGCAGCACCTCGTGGCGGCATGAGGGGCATCGGAACCGGCCCCCCGGGATGATGCTGCCCCGGCTCTGCCAGCAGGGGTTGGCAGCCTGGAGGGGGACAAGGACAACGGGGGGGTCCTCAGGTGTCCCCACAGAGCATCACGGAGCAGGGGAGGGGGTTTGGGGAGTGGTGGGGGGGTCCCCATCTCACCTGGAAGACGTCGTTGGCGCACTTGCGGCAGAGGTTGTGCTGGCAGGGCAGGATCACCACGGGCTTGCTGAACATCTCCAGGCAGATGGGGCAGAGCAGCTGCTTCTCCAGGCTCTCCATGGGGCTGCCATCCCGCAGGATGCTGGGCTGGAAATCCATCCTATACGGCACCTCGTCGGAACAGCCCCCGCTTCTGCCGCCGGCGCCCCTCGCGCGGCTTTTTATCACTCGCTCGGCGTCACGTGGAGCCCAAAAATCTGCCGGGCGGCTCGGGTGTCCGGCGAGGCGCTGCCACCTGTCACATGGCGGTGACAATCGGGGCGCAAGGCCGGCGGTAAACAAGCCGGGGACAGGCTGTCCGCGTGGCCCGGCCGCCCGTGCTGGGGGGCACTGGGGCCCCGTGGGGGGGTATAAGGGGAAAGCTCGGTCCTACGGGGGGTTTAGGGTGAGGAATGGGCAACACCGAGCTGGCAGAGTGGTTTGTGTGGAGCATCTGTGTTTGTACCCATAAAATGTGAGCGCTTTTGGGGTGCTGAGCGCAAATAGGGTGGGTGGGGGGCTTTCTGGGTGGATGGCAGCACCGTGCTCGGTGTGTGCACACAGGGCTTCTCTGCACCCCAAAATGTACATGGCAGCCCATGGGGAGCTCCCCAAGGCCGGCAGCATGGTGCTGGCACAACCCGCGTGTGGCCTGCCGTGCCCTGTGCTTGTTTGCAAAACCTGACCCAGAAACGCGGCAGGAAAACAGCAGCGGCGTGAACCCCTCCGGAGCTGCCCCAGCTGGGAGCGGCCCCGATCACATTGCCCGGCGGTAAACAGGGTGTTCTTCCAAACCCCAACACCGGTGCACAGGGAAACCTGTAAATATTAGCAGCTGCATGAGGAGAGCGGGTAATTATAGCGCCTTGGCCGCGGGTCACAGGGGACGGGGTGGGACGGGGTGGCTGCTCTGTAGCCCGCAGAGTCCCTGGGCAGGAGGTGCTGCGAGTGCCAGGGCTGCTGCAGGCTGTAGGGATGTGTGTGGGGTGCAGGTACCTGTGTATAGGGTGCACAGGTGCTTGGGTTCAAAGGTACATGGGTTTAGGGGTTCAGGGGTAGCTGGGGGTGTGTGTGGGTGCACAGGTACAGGGGTGCCTGAATATATGGGTGCAAGGACACATGGCCATGAGGTACGGGTGTACATGGGCATGCAGGGTGTGTAGGTACACGGATGCACAGGTACAGGGTGCAGGTGCCCATGGGTGCACAGGTACACGGGCACACTCGTGCACAGAGGTGTAGGGCACACGGGTACACTCGTGCACATAGGTACAGGGGTGCAAGGGGCCCTGTTTTCACCTCAGCCAGCCCCCCTCTCCAGGGGCAGGGCAGCTTCAGGGCTGTTTTGGGTGCTCCTTCCGGACAGGCTCACATGTCAACCAAGTGACCGTGCAGGCACCGGCCAAGCACATCTTGCAAAATTGTCCCCGTTTCGGCACTTGGGGCTCTTCCAGGGAGGTGTGTGCTTGGAAGCAGGGCTGGCCAGGCACACGGCGGGGTTGGCCACCGGACGTGCACCCGTGCCCACGTCCAAAAGCTGGCCCTGCCCAAGGCTGGCATTGATTAACTAATTGCTCCTGGACTCGATTAAGGGGATTCACGGCAGAGGACGGGTTTTAATGCCTTAATCAGCTTCCAAACCCTACAAGGGGCTCGTTGGCCCCTAATTGGCTTGGGGCAGCTTAGGCAGGGCTGTGGGGCACTAATCACCACTGGGCTCGTTACCAATTAACCAGGGAATGATGGGGGAGCTCTGCTCTATGGGAGCACATCCAAAGGGCCCCCAGGGGCTCCTCGCAGGACCCCCACAAGCAGCAGCCCCACCGCACCCCAACACCCTCAAGGGGGCTGCGGGACCCCAACCATAGGGAACCCACAGAGATAGGGGAGAACGGGGCACAGAGAGGGGGGACAACCCCCAGCCAGCAGCTCCACACGCAGCTAGGGTGCTACAAAGGGTGCGGGGGACCCCCGTTATTTATTGATTAACGCCGAGCGATGGGTTAATTAATGACACGACGGATTAATTAATGACGGAGGCGGCCGGGGGCGGTGCGAGGGGCGGGCCCTAAGATGGCCGCCATGGGGGCGGGCCCTAAGATGGCGGCCGGGGGCGGGCCCTATAATGGCGGCCGGGCGGCGGCAGCGCGGCAGCGCTGAGGTAACGCGGGGGCCGCGTCCCTCCTCTGTCATAGAGGGGCATGGCCGCGGGGTTCGGGGCTCCCCGGGTGGGTTTGGAGGCGGCGGTCTCCGCCTCAGGTGTGTGCGTGGAGCCCCGCCGTGAAGGGTTCGGCTACCGGTGCGGCGGGCAGGGCCCTGCGGGGCCGCTTCCCTTCAGGCCCCGGTGCTGGGGGTCGGGGGGACGGGGCCGCTCCGTGGGCAGCCCCGGGGCTGGGGCGTTTTGTGCTCGTTGGGGGTGTCCCCGGGAGGTTTTTGGCCGCTGGTGAGGTCGCAGAGCCCTGAACCCCCCCCCGTGGCAGCGGCCCTGGCTCCCTGCAAGCGCTGGCTGCAGGGCTTTGAGGAGAGCTTGGAGGTGTCCGCGGTAGTGTTGCCCTGAGACTGATGATACCTGTCTTTCTCTCTCTTTTTCTCTTTTTTTTTCTTTGTTTGTTTTGTTTTCCCTCCAAAAAATAGTACCTAAAACACTGGAAATACTTGAAAGATCCCTACTAATAACAGGCTCTTTTGATGTGGTCCTTACTGCCTGGTTTACTGACGTAGCGAATTACACTTATCACTGGCATTCTTGCAAGCCATTTCTGACACCCTAACTGTGATATTTTTTCCTTGCATTTCATTCTGTCCGACCAGTGATACTTGGCCAGGCAATTTTTTTCTGTCTATAGGCAATGTCCCATTTCGGTCTGTTTGTATGGAGGCGGTGCTGGTGTGTTTTGGTTTGTAATCCTCAAGGGAAGCGCGCAGGGAGGCTCATAGACCTGTGGCAGTGTTTGGGGTCTTTTTTCCTCTGTGTGTGTGTCTTGTTTTCCTTACAGAGCAATATACTTGTTTTTGTTGAAATCCTTACCCTGTTGAGCAAAACTGCAAGTTAGGTGCTGGGTACAAGCTTCTGTAATAAGTTGCTCTTTCACTTTTTTTGTAACAATAGAGTTTATGCAGATGAGACCACTTGGAACATCATAGTAATGTTAAAAGTCTGTGAAGTCTCCTCTTATCTTAGAACCAGAGGAAACAAATTATTAAATTCTAACAGAAATATTTATCTATGCAATCATCTTAAAAGACAGCTTTATTTAAATCTGTTACTCTTCAACCACAGCCTTGAGCTAGAACCTCGTCTCTGCTATCCCAGGCATGGATGGAGAGCATGGTAGAGTGCTGTTACTCACCTAGACACTCACAAAGGACACTGAGAGAAAGGAGTAGGAGAGTACGTGATAATCCTGTCTCAGCACAGTACAATTCTAGGCTTGAATTGTTGCCTTCCTGAAAACTGAGCTGTATTTTAAATCTTAACAGTCCCACCAAAATGATGCGCTCTTAGCTAGCCCATAAGAGGTCCAGGTTTACAGAATAACTTCTGAAATATTCTAGCACTCGAACGCAGCGTTACGTTCTGTGTGATGCCCAGAGGTGCTGCCCTGTTAATTGAGGGGTATCGATAGACCTCATATTGCCACACCATATGGGGGAAAATGCAGCTCAGTTCTTGTGCATAAGTTATAGTTCTGTGGGTTTTTCCCCCTTCCCCAGAACCCTTGATCTTGAAGATGGTGAGTAGCCAGCCTAAGTACGATCTAATACGGGAGGTTGGTCGTGGCAGTTATGGTGTGGTGTACGAAGCAGTCGTCAGGAAGACCTCTGCCCGGGTCGCTGTGAAAAAGATTCGGTGCCATGCTCCAGAGAACGTGGAACTAGCTCTGCGTGAGTTCTGGGCACTTAGCAGTATCAAGAGCCAGCATCCCAACGTCATTCATCTGGAGGAGTGCATCTTGCAGAAAGATGGCATGGTGCAGAAGATGTCCCATGGCTCCAGTTCCTCCCTTTACTTACAGGTACATGAAGCTGAGGTAACGGGGTGGAAGTGCTTAATATGGATGTGCAGCTGGGAGGGAAGGAGACGGGTAGCTAAGACTACTTTTGAGGTATTCTTAGGAGAGGGTGTTTCCATGTTGTCGACACCCAAGAACTACTTTACGTCTTCAAAAGAGCATATGTATTGAACAATCACCTGTATCTTTTAATTTGAAGCCATGGCACTCTCAAAGACTCCAGGATGTGCTTTGCTAATTTGAGGAAACACCGCAGATAAAACACAGGGGAGGTGCAGGGAGGTGATGGAAGTCCCGCTGCAGGGTTAACGAGTCGTACTAGTGTCTTGAGACAGAGCTCTGAAGAATTTCTTAACATCGGATGTCCTTGGAGGGGAAGTAGCTGTCTGATTTCTTAAAGAATTTTAAGTGTTGGCTTCCTAAATAATAAGCAATTGCTGCAGTACATGGAGCTGTTTAAAATTCTCTTCGGTAAATAACTCCATCTCTTCAAAGAGAAACAAAGGTACAGTAAATAGTGGAGTAGAGGAATAAATATTGCTTTTCCCCTGTGTGGCTATTAAAAGCTGAGTTGCCTTAGAGTTTGAAGGCACGTGCTTCAGGAAGAAGTACTCCAGTATATTTCAAGGGAGAACCTTGAAATCTCATCTGATTCATTCCCTTGTCAGGGATCTGCCCCAAACTTTAAGTCAACCCCTGTCAGAAACTTGTCTGCTTGGTTTAAAAAGTCAGTAGTAGCCTGCTACATGTGTTATCCATAGTTGGCTTTTATCGTTTTGGTTTTTATTGTTGTTCTTGCATGCCTGGCACAGGGCCTTTTGTTACTGGACATTCATTTGACAGCACTTCACGGCTGTCCAGATCCTGTTGTGCTGGGTGCTGTACGAGCCTGAGAAAGGATTCTTGCCTTTGTCAACTTGCCATAGCTCAGTTGTTGTTACTGGCTGGCTTTCACCAAGGGATTAGGGTAAAATAACGCTGCTCAGAGAGGAGAAATCAGTGCCTTAGTGCCTAGCTGGTAGTGGATCCCTGAGATACTACATGAAACTTGCAGACAGCTGAACAGGGGGAGCTTAAAAAAGGGGGTTTTGAGGGGAAGGCTGCAGGGTGGAGCTGCGAGGTGGGGGAGAGCTTCCAGGGCACCTGCAGCACTGGTTTCTGCTGGTGGTAATGCAGGGTGTAGAGCTCGTGTGTGCATGGGGTACAAGTGCTGCAGATTGTTTTCCTCTCCAGAGAGCAGAGAAGGGCAAAGGGCAGGGCTGAGCCGGGCTCACTTTATAATAGCATGTGCTAAAATAGAGAACCCCAGATCTCCTGCAGCGTGCCCTCTCCTCTCCCTGCCCCAGGTGCTATTACATTACAGAGCTGGGCCCCTGCAGTGGGCAGGGGGTGTCGGTGTCCCCTGCAGTGCTCCAGGGCAGGTCCTAAATGGGTGTCAGCTCGGCCAAATGGATTTAGTGAGACCTGGGGACTAGCTCGGTGTCCCTGTGCTGCCAGGTCTGGAGTGGGTTTTGTTGTCCTGATGCTCTGAGCCAAAATTCAAGTACTTCTGTGAGCCCACGTGGAGGGAGGAGCTGGGTGTTGGTGTGCTCCTGGCAAGGAGGCTCCTGTGCTGTGGTTCCTCAACCTCCCTGTTACAGACTGAGCCCTGAATGCACAGTTTTTGAGTTTTAACATGAAGTTACTCCTCAGTTAGTCTGGTTTGAGTACTAGCCATGCTTGTAATTAAAGATAGCTATAATTTGCTACTAATTTTGCTCTTGAATGGAAAACACTCCTTTTAGAGACATTTTAGAATCCTTTTTCTAAATATTAATAGCTACCTTAATTTTTTGGAAGCCCGTAGCAGCTGCATTTGTTTTAGTAAGCATTGGTTTGCTCCTAACAAATAATGGCAAGTCTGACAGCCACCTCGGAGGAGCTGGGAAGGCAAATGTGTAGCTGTATAAACAGGGTTAGCAGAAGTGATTGCTGGTTTACTCCTAGAAGTAGCTGCTGGAGTCATTCAGTGCTTGTGTCCTAGGAGCTAGCTGGTGAGTAGTGGTGGTGAGGAAGGTGTTACTTGCAGCAGCTGTTTGGTTGTGCCTGTAGGTCAGTGTTCTCCTGAGCTATCAGATCCTTTACCAACACTTTGTAGAATGCATTCATGTGTAAGGGATGGAGAGCAGGCTTTAAAAACCTATCGTGGTGCTGCAGGGGACAAACAGAGCCCGCTGGTGCTGTGCAGGGGTTACTCGGAGCTGTGTTTGTGCACGAGGCTGTTAGCAAAATGGGTGGGACAGGCTTCGTAGGGGTGGGACGCTGCCCAGCTGGAACAGATGGGAGTGAAATAGCTGCTTGGTATCTCTCAAAATACTCTTATCGGGGTCTAGCTCCAGTTTCTGGGCAGCAGGGAGAGCTTGATATGCTTGGTGCACACACAAATAAAGAGGCTGTCAAATACTTTGTGATTTTTTTCTTTTAAAATCATAAGCTTCGCATCCACTTTTATTTTTACCAGTCGCGGTATCTTACTCTCTGGATTGCTGAGAGGAAGATCCAAAACTCACGCATTATTTTTCCATCATATCTTTGCATTCTGGTGCTCATCAGGTAGTTATGACGCTTCTCTTCCTTGTTGCAGCTTGTAGAGACCTCGTTAAAAGGGGAGATAGTCTTTGACCCCAGGAGCGCTTATTACCTATGGTTTGTGATGGATTTCTGTGATGGAGGGGATATGAACGAGTACCTGTTGTCCCGAAAGCCGAACCGCAAGACCAACACCAGTTTCATGCTTCAGCTCAGCAGCGCCCTGGCTTTCCTGCACAAAAACCAAATCATTCATCGCGATCTCAAACCTGACAATATTCTGATATCCCAGAGCAGGATGGATGCTAGCGACTTGGAGCCCACGCTGAAAGTGGCTGATTTTGGGCTGAGCAAGGTGTGTTCGGCTTCGGGCCAGAACCCCGAGGAACCAGTCAATGTAAATAAGTGTTTCCTATCAACCGCCTGTGGGACTGACTTCTATATGGCCCCCGAAGTCTGGGAAGGACACTACACTGCCAAAGCAGACATTTTTGCCTTGGGAATCATAATCTGGGCAATGCTAGAAAGAATCACGTTCATAGACACCGAAACAAAGAAAGAACTCCTGGGGAGTTACGTCAAGCAGGGGACAGCGATCGTGCCTGTTGGGGAGGCGCTTCTAGAGAACCCTAAAATGGAGCTGCTCATCCCTGTAAAGAAAAAATCCATGAACGCTCGCATGAAACAGCTGATTAAGGAGATGCTGGCTGCCAACCCGCAGGACCGTCCTGATGCTTTCGAGCTGGAGCTGCGATTAGTCAACATAGCTTTTAAAGACAGCAGCTGGGAGACGTGACCCGCCGAGCAGCCCCGTCTCCTGGTAGAGCTGCTGCTGGCCTAACCCACGGTGCGACTTGGTGGCAGTAAAAGAAACGAGCCTGGTCTGAAACCTGTGGGTTTAGTTCTGACAATTTGGGGTTTCGTAAACTATCAGAATGCGGGTCGGCCCTTGTGTTAGCGCCGCGTCGATGTGTATATTGCCAGGATGTCATACGGAGTGTGAGATGTGACCATGTTCGTTTGTGTACGTTGGCAGTGGGATGTCTTAAGAGCTGAGAGTTGGTTTCCAGCCATATCTCCGAGTATTTCCTACATTCCAGTTTCCTACGTCAGTATTAGGAACTCTCATGGGAGAAGAGGTTTGCATGCTGGCAGTGCAAATCCTCAGGCTTTGTAAAGTGACTCTGTGTATATATTTATGTCCACGAGTGACTGGGAGCGTGTGCCTGTAAGCGTGTTGTTGCATTCCATGGAGAAATGGCACTTCTCTTAAATTATTTGCTGTGGGTCTGAATGATTGGGGTCTGCTAGGAAACCGGCTGAGGAAGGTGGGTGAGAAGCATCCCTTCTTCTCCAGTCCTGGGTAACTTTATTATTTATTTTTGTTAAAGGTAGGGTCTGAGACTTGACTTTGTAGACAAAATACAATGCAAGGGTATCAGCAGCTTTAAAAGTGCTGAGGTGGTCGCGTTTAGCACTTCCAGCCTAATGAGCTCATCACTGCGGGAGTCAAATTACAAGTGTATGCAATCAGGTGCTGGCATGGCAGCGAGTTCATTAATCATTCAATTCTGCTTTCCCCTACTAATCAAATACTTTATTAATCCATTAATCTACAGCTTCACGACGTGCTCCCTCCTTTAAACTAGAACCCAGTAGCAAACTGAGTAGTTCCAATAGAGCTTAGATGTGAAAAGGCAAATCCCTGATGAGGGAATGCAGCAGCATAAAGCAGTGCTCTGAAGATTCTCCAAAATAATGGTTATGGCACAGTTTCCTTGTTAATTGGATCTGTTACTGGTCGTGGTCTCCCTTCCTGGTGCTGCCTGTAACGTGGCAGTGACGAGGAGATGAAGGGGTGGCTGTCTGGAACACCCCAAATACAGGAGAAAACCCTGAGTGATCAGTGCAAGGCATCTCAGCTTTGTGCAGCAACCTTGGCCAGTCTTTAAGAGGAGGACAACAAATCCAAAAAAGTAATATTTAAAGCCACAGCCAGTAGGATAGGAGGCTTTGGAGCAGCTGGAAGGCTGCTTATCCCCTCTCGTACTGCACAGGAGCATATTCACGTGCTCAGATGTTTCATTTACACTACCTGACACTGCAGGCCAGACAGAAGCTGCTTTGTGCTGGTACAAGACCTTTTTCTTTTGGCTGCGGGAACATGACCTTTCCCATCAATCTGACCTTTTGAAAATGTAGTCTTAAAAAAAAAAAAAGCAGTTTTCACTAAAGCTGCAGCAAAGGTTGTTTTTTCCTAGTAAAATCAATTTAAAGCTTTTTTTTTTTTTTATTAAACCTTACCTGAAAACTGCCATGAAAACTGGAACTCTGCCCAGGGTGAGTAAGCAGCAAAACCAACACATTGATGGGAAAAGCAAAGGTTTCTGATTCTGCCAGACCTCTGAGGCCTGACAGACTGCAGCAGGGAGTTCTTACCTGCGGGTCTTGCCTGCTGCTCGTAGTCCTGGTGGCAGCAGTTACCTCAGGGTCCTTAGAGGTTAATTCTTCTTGGTTTGCATCACTGAACAGTGATGCTCAGACAAATTTTCACTGTCTTGAAGCAAAACAATATTTATTTAGGGTCTGGATGAGCTTTCTGACATGACTTTGGGAGGATGGTGCTGTGTCACAGCGAGGTGTTTGGGGCCAGCAGAGTGCCTCGTGCCTGAGCAGGCAGGGATGGAGGTGAGTGCATCGTGCTGAGGGTACGGCCTCCTGCCTGCACAGATGTCCCTGCAGGGAGCTTTGTGTGTAAAGGAAGACTGGAAGCCTCCCTGAGTGATGGGTGATGAGGAGAGCTCTGTTCCCGTGTTCTAGAAGTGGAGGTCTGCTCATTCTCCTTATTAAATGGGTTTGGTGCAGCTGGAGGCAGCTTGTTAGGAGGAAAGCAAACCCCTTGCTCTCTGTGCTAACACCTCTACAGCACTCACATCCCAGCACAGTCATTCAGGGAGGCTGTGTAAAGCTGAGGGTGGACAACAGACACAGCATTTCATGGCAAACTTCTGAAAATGCATCAACTTCCTCCTCTCTCCTGCCCACCCGACAGAATCAGCTCAGTTAATTCAGCTCTGTTAATCTCAGTATGAATCTACTCCAGAGTACTAGTACTTACCTGTAAGGCGCTTTGCAAATCATTTGATTCTCCTCGAGCACTTCAAAGGATGAGCACCGAGCGTGCTGCCTGCCTGCGGTGCAGAAATGAGTGCTAACAAATGCACAAAAAATTTGTTTTTTGACTCCCAAAGGATGTGTTTGCACTGATTGCCACTTTAAAGGGTGGGGGTACCTGAAATCCCTCTCATGGTGCTTAGCCTTGCTGTTGGGTGACCCTGAGCGTTTCCTTGGCTCATCGAATGGAAGTCCCTGAGGTTTGTGTTCTGTTTTTTTGTTGTCTGAGGTCTTTGTTTTTGAACCTTTGGTACAGCAAACTGTTGTAGCAGCTACAGAACTACTCACCAGCGTGACACAAAGTCAAGATACTCTTCGGCACTCAGAAAAGGTTTTTTTTTCAAATCTTTCTTTAAAAATTGTAAAATATATTTTGTGCAGAATTTATAATGGGGGAGATGATTGTGTAATTTATTAAGTTCCTGACTTTTTTTTGAATAAAACCTGGATTTCGATGACGCTTTTGAACTCTCTACCGAGAAATGGCTTTCCTTTCGGTCAGCACCACGTCACCTAGCTGCCAGGTGACAGAAAGGTTTACTTGCTCTGCTAGAATCCTAGTGAGCTGTAGGAGTACTCGAGGTGACTTCAGGGTGGAAAAGATGCTGGGCTGGCCAGGAGCTGTGCTCGGTGTGTGGGTAGCGGGGCTCTGGCAGGTAGGTGATGTGCTGCTGGAGGAATTGTTGGAGCCCAGCCCTGCTGGAAGTGCCAGCAGCTGGCTCCTGGACCAGCTGAGATGAGCCCTGGCCACGTGGAGCCTTCTGCTGAGCCTCCTAAGAATCAAAGCGCTGCTCCTCTGGGTGTGCTGCTGCCTTTTATAAGATGGGATTAAAGAGAGAAGTCTTGCAGCCGCTGCGTGCTTGGAGCTGTTACCACAAGCAGAGTGAGTACCACCCTGGGCCCTATGGAAATCTCGGGCAGGCTCTGGCTGCCCTGTTACTGGTATGACTGGATTTGAGGCTGTGAATAGAGGCTGCTGCTTTCCTGGGTGCTGCTGCTGCTCCTCCCTCTGAAGCAAGTTTCCCCCTGCAGGGAATGGGGGCTGGAATAGGAAACCCTCACCCAGAAAACCCCGAGCTGTTCCTTGGTGGGTGAGCCCCATTCCCTCCTCCCCAGCATGCTGCAAACCCCGTGCAGAGAGCTGAGGGCTGGTAAAAGTGTCCCCTGGCACGTTTTCCTCCTGTGTGCGGGGTCTGGACTGTTTCACCCAGCCTGGTTTTGTTGGGAGCTGGTGCCAGGGCTGTGCGGGTGCCTGCTGGGGCTGACCCAGCTGTAAACGGTGTCCTGAAGACCACAAGGTGCTGGCATCCCGCTGGTCTCACCTGCCCTGAGAAACCTTAGAAATAAAGGTGAGGAAATGCGATTCCTTATACATGATACAAGAGGCTGAGGTCGTTTGCATGCTTTTAATTAGAAGTGCTCCAGAACAAAGGGCTGTGCAGGCTGGGAGTGGGACTAGCACAAACTGGAGCTGCTGTAAATCATCCTGTCCTCCTGTTTTTACCCCTCCAGTAGCCTCGTGGATGCCGCTGTGCTTGCACCGTCGCCTGGAGTTTTGTGTTCCCTGGTGCTGCAGCCAGGCAGGTCCCCGCCTGGCCAGGAGCTGTGGTTAAATCTGTAAGTCAGCACAGGCATTGCAAAAGAGAGAGGGTTTGGGATTTACATTTTCTTTCCCATTAAAGGATAAGCACCTTAAAGGATCAGCACCTTAATTAAAGGAGAGAGCTGCACCTCTGGTTAGCTGTAAGACCGGTGACTTTAAATACAGACACAAGCTAAATCCCTCCCCTGTGAAATGGAGAAAAGCAAACCTACACACTTGAAATATGCCTAGCGCATGGAAAACAGAAATTAAAATCTCTGAAGAAATGCTGTTACAGACCCTGGAAGTTAAATAAAGCTGTGTGTCGGTTAAATAACCCACCCCCTGCTTTATTTTGCTCGTTTTGCAGAGTGCAGAGTCCTCGGGCAGGGTTTGGCCGGGAGCTCCCCGCTCCGTAGCGAGCTGCTGTTTGTGTTTGGTGCCCTGTGCTCGTTCAAACACCGCTGTCCTTCGTGCCAGCCAACTGCAGCCCCCGCCGTAGCTCCAGCGTTGTGTTGTGGCGGAGATAAGGCCCTGCCTGCCCCTTGGCAGGATGCCCTCGCTCTGAAGCAACATCTCTCTCCTTCGTGCAGTGCCTGAGCAGACACACTTGGGTGGACTCTGGACTGCAGGCAGCACAGGGAGAACCTCTGCAGGGCTTTGCCCCTCGCTGTCCCGTGTCACCCGAATCCTCTCTGGGATCCATTGTGAAGTGTTCTCAGTCCTCACTGCAGCCTGTGCTGTGAGCCCCAGAAGCAGAGCCCCTCAGAGGGCTCGTTACAAGTTTTTAAATGTAAATTGTTGTTTGTTAGCAGCTCAGGAACTGCAGAGCACTGGCCGGGTTTCGCTTCCTTTTTGCTCAGGAGCAGTTCATGCAAAGTGCTGGCTATTCTTACACGCAGTTAAGGAAGAGGGATCTGTCACAAGCTGTCCGGGGTGCCTGCACTGTGTTTGGGGAAGGTTGGGAGGTCAAAATCGCAGCCCGAGCTGCTGCTGCTTCTCCCCTCTGACCACCAGGTCTAAGATTTGGGGGCATGGAGGAGCTGAGCGACCCCAGAGATCAGCCAACAGCCACAGTGCCTCGCTGCAAGAGGAGCCAGGGCCCAGGTGATGTTCTCCTCTTTGAGTCCGTTTGTTCCCAGATTATCTGGGTGCCTGGAGCAGGAACAGTTCCTGAGGGATCTGGGCCCCGTGGGCTGAACTTGGAGGTGGCGAATTGGGGCTGTGGCTGCCACGGGCCTGGGGAGGAGGAGGAGGAAGGCAACCTCCCTTTGGTGCCTCCCATAAATCCTGCTCCTCTCAAATGTTTCAACCAGGTAATGCATGCTGGGTTTGGGTGCTAGAGGCCATGGCTGATGTGCTTTGCATTTCTTGAAGTGGGTGAAGGGAGCAGCAGCGTTAGAATTGGAAGTGCTCCGGGGTTTGAAATGAAAACAACACAAAAACATCCATGGGTCCTTTGCAGCACGTGGAAGATTCAGCCCAGACACTCAGATTTTGGAGACCTCTCCATCAGTGGTAACTTTCCCTCTCTCAACCTGCATCCATGGCCCAAATACTGACTTTTTTTTTGCTTCCCAGGCTGGCACAGGCACTCCGAGGCAGCGAGGCCAGCCTCTCCCTGCAGCCTGGTTTGGAGCCCTGCCCGTCAGCAGGGCACGAACATCTGCGTGAGGCTCCGTGTCCCCTCCTGCGCCCGCCTGCTCTCCAGTTCCTACTTGCACGAACTTGTGGGTGGCTGCCTTAGACGAGGTGTTGGTTTCAGATTTATTTATGCCCGTTTGAGCCCTTGATATTTTTAAACTCGTATAACAGGCCTTCCACTCCTGCTCCGTCCCAAAGACACGTTTGTGCATCTCCAGCCCTCTGGCTCGCGGCCATACAGCCTTGAGCCTGCCAGCTCCTTGGGGCTGCTCTCCCCTCTGGTATTTACATGGGCCTCAGCCCAGAAAGGGCTTCTGCGGGCTGGGAAAGTGAACTGGCAAGTAGCAACAGATGGCGATGGTATCAGCTCCCTCAGCCACGTCTGCACCTGGTCCCAGCGGTGGCGAAGTGATTTGCAAAGGAGAAACGCATCTGGAGAGGTGACTGAGGGCACCTCGAGCCCTGACCTCCATCCCGTGGGCAGGCTGAGCTCCAGAGGAGTGGATCTCCTTATTTACCATTTGTTTGCAGACTGGGTTGTTATTTTTCTCATTTTCTGTTATATCCTGGTGTGTGCTGGGCATTTTGGGACCTTCCCTGGGAAGCCCAGCGGTGCTGAGGGGTCAGCCCTGCCTCCACATCTCCGTGCCCCAGGCAGACCTGTGGGACAAGGGGACTCCCTCCACCTCCTGTCCCATCGCAGCCTGAAAGCATCCTACAGCTGCACCCAAATCTGTGACTCTGACCCTCCCCTCATCACGGGCCGGTCAGTGCTGAAGCCATAAGACAATCAGGCTTAATTAAATAACGAGAAGCTTTAAGGGTCCGTGGGGCTAAGAAATGGCACCCAGTGCCTTTCCAAGAGGCTGATTAATTGGGAAAATCACTGAAATCACAACCTAGAAATTGAGGTGACAGCCCCCACACCCAGGGCTTGAACTGCCTGGCCTCCTGATGCTGGGGAGCACCCCTCAAGCCCCCCCTCTGCATCCCCCGAGGAATTTGGCTCGTGCAAATTTAGTTCAGCGCTAAGTGCCTGCTGCCTGTGCCCCCCCCCCTTCTGTCTGTCTGTCTGTCCGTCCTGTTCCCAGGGCAGGGGAAGCGGAGGCGCTGGGTGGAAGTGCATCACGGGGACACGCCACAGAAAAAGGGAATCGGAGCTGCTCTTACTCACGGCTGTCGTTACCAGAAGGGCCGCCTGAATTCCGGCTCGGAAAATAAACCTGTCTCCAGAAACAGCCGCTCCTGTCGCTTGGTGTTAAAACCGAGGTGGGTGGGGAGCAGATCCCAGTCCTGGCACGGGTTTCTCAGCCTCTTGTCCCCGTCCCCTTCCCGTTTTCCTCTGGAGCATCCCGTGCTGTCTGGGTGCCGCTGGGAGCACAGCTCGGGGTGTTCCTCCTCCCCGGCTCTGTCCCTATTTTTGCTTTTGCTGGGGTTCTGCCTGTGCCAGCAGAGCCCAGCAAGCCCTGCTGCCTCAGATTTTGCTCCAGCCTCACCTTCAGGCTTGATTTTTCCAGCCCTGGGGGTGCTGGCCCTGACCCAGCCCCGTTCCCAGCACTGGCAGTGACACCAGCAGTGACACTGGTGCTGCGGGAAGGAACTGGTGTGGGGCAGGCAGGCTCATGGCCATGTCCCCCTCCTTAAGGGAACCTGCAGGTCCCGTGCCAAATTTCGTGGCTTTGTCCCTGGTTCAGCCTCCTGGATGTCCGAAGGATGCAGGGAGCTGGTGCAGGTCCCTGGGGTTGCTCGGGCTCCTCAGCACAATATTTTGGGGAGCCCGGGTCCCATTTAGGGTGGGCTGTAGGGGCCCGGGGGATGCTCGGCCCTCCGGGAAGGGGAGAGGGCAGAGGTAAAAATAACCCCCTGGGCTGGCTCCGGTCCTTGTGGCTTCCTGCAATTTACAGCCCTTCCCGGGGGAAGAGGAGGCAGGAACCTGCCTGGCTCCGAGCTGGCTTTGACCCTTTCGACACCGACAGAGGAGGCTCCGGGACCTTTCCTCGCTGCGGGGACCCTGGGGAAGGGGGGATCGCGGGGGGCTCCTGCTCTGGAGCTGGGCTCAGCAGTCTCCAGGGCAGGTGGAAGGGGAAAAGGCTGGTGGGGTGGGTGAGCTTCCACCCTCCTGCTCCTCATACAAAGGGTGTGAGGGGTGGACAGGGTGGGCACCATCCTAAAAGGAGGCAGAGATTGCTGCTACCAGCCCCCGAGGGGCAGAGGGTGGTGGGGAGCCCGGCCCTAAATCAGGATCCCATAGGGAGGCAAAAAGGGCTGGAGAGGAGCTGGGGCTGCAGGAGGAGAGGGGTTAATGCCGGCTGTGCGGGGTTTGGGGTGCACAGGCTGTGGGAACAGGGACCCCAACGCCAGCGGGGTGCTGGCACGCGGCCGTGCTGACGGGGCTGGGCCGGGAGGGGTTAATGGGGTGGCTCTTCCTCCCCCTCTATATGAGGCTCCTGCGGCTCTGGGCTCAGTTTGCTGCTGGCGGCTGCGGGGACAGGAGCAGCGGAGACCAACACGGAGCCACCCCTGACCCCTGCGAGGGCCCAGGTGAGCGAGAGCATCCTCTGCATCCTCTGCTGCTGGGTATGGGGCTGGGGGTATGGGGACGCTGGCACCCTGTGCCCCGTGAAGGGTGACGGGACCACGTGTGGGGGCAGCATCCCTTGAACCGCCCCAGAGCTCATCCCGAAACCCGGGGAGTTTTGGGAGTTTGCAGCAGGACAGCTCCGTGCCTCAGTTTACCCGGCTGTAATATGGGGGGGCTGCGTGTCGGGGCCGAGGGCTCCCGGCTCTTTGCTCTCTGTTAGTTCTGCCCGTCCTCACCACGTCCCCACAGCGGGCTCCTCACGGCCATTTGGGTTTCTGCTGAGGGCCACCATCTGCTTCGGGCATTTACAGCCCCCGGCCAGGCCCCACCTCCACCGCCCGATTTATGGCCCTGGCCCCGCACTGCTGCCTCCGAACCGTCCCCATCCTCTGCTGATGCTCGGGTAAAGCTGAGCAGGAGCCGTGCCCGCAGGGCTCACAGGAGCCCTCTGCTCCTTGAACCCCACAAACGGAGGTAGGAGAGGCTCAGAGGATCTCTTATCCCAGCGCTCGGGATCCCCGTGCTGCGGAGGGACCGGGGAGGCCGGGCTGACCCCACTGCCCCCACTGCCGCCCGTCTGCCGCAAGCAGCCTCCGCTTAAAATAAACCTGCCCCGAGCTCTTTTGTTTTCCTTCCCCAAAAGGGAAACGGGGCCAGGACCCAGCCCAGGCCAGCGCCGCGGGGAGCCGCGATGCCCGCACGGCACACGGAAACCCCGCTGGCCAAAACGGCCCCGGCCAACACGGCCCCGCTGCCGGGAGGTAGGGCCAGGGCCGCTCGCTGGCTTCCCCGGCGCTGCCTTTGTTCTGCTGTCCCTGGGCTCATAAAGATAAGGCGGTGGCTGCCGTATTTTTTCCTGTTTGAAGCCGCTCTTGGGATCTGGGTGAAGCCGGCGGATGCTCGGCGCTTCGCTCTTCCTGCCCGTGATTGTTCCTGCAGCGGCTCGCGGGGCAGGGGACGGCCCCGGTCCCCTCTTCGCTCCCGGTCCTTCTGCCAGTGGTGCCCACCCCATCCGTGCCCCTAACCCCATCCGTGGCCCTAACCCCGTCTCTCCTCTCTCCCCCCAGGGCCGTAGCTGAATCCAGGAGCCCAGCAGCCTTTTGGGGTCCCCGTCCCACCCGGAGCCAACTGGGGGCCACCAGGCGATGGTCCCCCTGGGCAGCTCCCCCCGAGCACCGTGCTCCCCCGGCGTCTCCCCCCTGCGCCTGCTGAACCGGGGCCCCGAATACCTGCGGGAGCAGGTGGCGGGGGGCAGCGGGGGCCGCACGCCCAGCGCCGTGGAGCGGCTGGAGGCCGACAAAGCCAAATACGTCAAATCGCAGCAGGTCATCAACAGCCGGCAGGAGCCGGCGCTGCGGGGCTGCTCGCCTCGCTTCTCCCCCCGTGGCCGGCGCCTGCTCGCCCTCCACGAGCTCTGCCAGGGCTCGGAGCTGAGCCGCGACGGCCCCCGCAAGCCGCCGTGCCCCCAATCCCCCGTGCTGAGGAGGGGAGGAAGCGGCAAGCGCCTGCTGAGGCCCGACTCGCTCATCATTTACCGGCAGAAACGGGACTGCCCGGTCACCAACAAGGAGAACAAGGGCTACGGGCTGGTCAGGCGCCTCTTCCAGGGGCCGCTCAGGGACAAGCCCCCCAGCTCCCCCCCAGCCCGAGGGCTCCCCGACAGCCCCATGCTGTGGGTGCCCACGGAGCGAGAGGAGCCGAGGACGCCGGGCACCGCCACCACCACCAGCAGAAACAGCAGTGGCAGTAACAGCTTCCAGCTGCCCGGCAGCCCCGTGGCGCAGCCCCCCGAAGCCCCCAGCCCGGCCCAGACCCCCGCTTCTTCCCCCGGCCCTACAAAGCCAACACTGGGGCTGCGCCTGTCACTGCCGCTGTCGGAGCAGGAGCGCTTCTTCAACTACTGCGGGCTGGACCGGGCGCTGGTGGAGGGCCTGGGGCAGGAGCGCTTCGTGCCGGCGGGCTGGGACAACGCCTCCTCGGCCAAATTCCCCGGTTCCTGCGAGTGGGAGCCCAGCCAGGCCTCGGGGGGCAGCGGGGAGGACGCTGGGGCCGGGCGAGGAGGAGCAGGACGCCCGGCTCTGCTCCGCCGTGTCGGTGGTGGAGCGCAACGCCCGCGTCATCAAGTGGCTCTACGGCTGCCAGCGAGCCTGGGCGGCCGCCAAGGAGTCCATGGTGTGAAATCAGGAGCCCCCCCAAAGGGGGTCGGGGTGGCAGGACGCGGCCCCTTGCCCGGGCTGGAGGAGGCCAGCACCCCGCGGGTGTCCTCGGCCCCAGCACTGTGGGGCTGCTGCTGGCCGGCAGGGACAGCGGGGCTGCCCCTTGGGGGATGGATTTTGGGGTGTGGGTGCAGGGCTGAGGGTGGGGGGTGCCCCGGGGGCTCCCCTGGGTGAGTTCGGCCCCAAACCCAGGGGTTTGCAGGGTGCTGTCCCCCGCTGGGTCCCCTCCTCTCGGTCCTCGCTGTTCCTGGATGTGGGGTGGGGTGGGGGGCACAGCCCGAGCCCCCTCCTCAACGCCGTCCTCACCAGGAAAGGGGCCGTCGGGCCGGGAGGAGGGCTCAATAAACCTGTATTATTTTTTTTTAGCCTGTCTGTGTGTGGTTTCTGCCTGAGGGCGATGCTTTGGGGCTCGGGGTGGTGCCCCCCAAATCCCTCCGGAGGGTCTGGGGCAGCTCTGAGGCCTTGGGGACACGATGACCGGGCTGCTGGGGGGGGCGGGGGGCACGAAGGCAAAGAAAGCACCACAAACACCACAAACACTCCGGGAAAAGGCACTTTGGGGTTTTTAGCCTCCTCTTGCTCCTCTAGTTGCCCTTGGGGGCGTTTTTATTTCGGATCTCAGCCAGCTTGCAGGCCAGGAAGCCCCACCTGAAGGCCCCTTCCTCCGGCTCCCTCAGATCGTCGGGGCCCTCGTCCCCCGGGGGCTCCCCGGGGCTGTCCCCCGGCTCCATCGTTATCGGGGGCTCCTCCGGCTCAGGGGCCGCCGCCTGCTGCCACTTGGTAGCCAAAAGATCCCAAAAACCGGGGGGTTTCGGGGCGGGGGGCGGCTCTGCCGGCGAAGCAGCCAGCGGGCTGGGGGGCAGAACGGGGTGGGGGGCGTCACCGCGGGGCCCTTCTCACCCAACCCACCCCATCCCCAATACACCAGGGGGTGTCCGAGCCCCCCCAGGTGACTGGGGTGGGGGTGATATTGGGGGTACGGAGCCCTTGGGGGGGAGTGTTTTTGGGCACCCCCCCCTCAATGAGCCACCACTTACTGGTCGGGGCTGAGCAGCCGGTGCTCGTCCTCGCGGGCGAAGAGGGCCGAGAGGCTCCGCCAGCCCCTGGCGCCCACCCCCTGCACCTGGGGATCGAGCATTTTTTTGGGGGGGGTCACTGGGGCTCCCCCGGCACCACAGCAGCCCCCCCTCAACCCCGTTGCCTCCTCCTCATCCTCACCTTCCTCGCCAGCTGCGCCACGGGGCCGGGACCCTCCTCCGCTGGCACGGGGGGCTCGGCTGCCTCCATCAGCTCGGGGGGGTCTCCCTGTAACGAAACCCCCCCCCAGTGAGGGCAGGGGGTGGCCAGGGGGCTCTGCCCACCCGTGCCCCCCCCCCAAATTACCTCCTCGCCCAGGGCCTGCAGCACCCTGGCCTTGTAGAGCCCCCAAAAACCCTGGGTCATGGCGAGGGGCCGCGGGATGGAGCCGATGGGTGCCGGGGAGCAGGAGGGGGGGGTATGGGGGCCCCCCCCCGGTGCCACCCACCGATCCGGTGTCCTCATTAAAGTTTTAGGGCCCAATGCACAAAGGGGAACCTGAGCCCGAGCTGGGGGCACAGCGGGGGCGGCTGCTGCGGGCACCCCAAAGCCCCCCCCCCGCCTCGGTCCCCAGTGACCCTCACCCCGGGGGGGGCAATGGGGGTGCATGGAGAGCATGGGGGGGGCTGGTGTTGGGGTCACTGCTGACCCCCCACCCCCTCCCCGTGTCCCCAGTGTGTAACTGATCAGCCAGGAGGAAACGTGATCGGTGGCCTTGGGGCACTGGGGGGGCACTGGGGGGGCACTGGGGGCACTGGGGGGACACTGGGCCTGAGCTTGGGACCCTGGGGGCAGGATGGGGGGGGGCAGCCGTGGGGGGGCAGGGATGTGCTTGGGGTAGTGTGGGGATGGGGGGTGGGCAGGGCTGGGGGGTGACATGGGGGGTGACACCAGGGGGTGACACCAGGGGGGGTGACATTGTGCAGTGGGGGACACACTGAAGGGTGACATGGGGGGGGTGACATGGGGGAGATGACACCGGGGGGGGTGACACTGGGGGGGTGACACCAGGGGGGTGACAGTTGGGGGTGGCATTTGGGGGGGAGCACAGGGGGACACTGGGAGGGTGACATCGAGAGGTGGCACTGGGGGGGTGACAGAGGGGGATGACGCCAGAGGGGGACAATGGGGGGTGACACTGGGGGGGGGACACTGGGAGGGGGGGACACACTGAAGGGTGACATGGGGGGGGGTGACAGCAGGGGGTGACACTGGGAGGGGGACACTGGGGAGGTGACACTTGGGGGAGGACACTGGGGGTGACACTAGGGGGGGAGATGCTGGGGGGGGCAATGTTGGGGGGGTGACACTGGGAGGGTGACACCAGGGGGTGACACTGGGGGGGGGGGACTGAAAGGTGACATGGGGGGGGGTGACACCAGGGGGTGACACTGGCGGGGAGGTGACACTGAGCTGGGTGCTGCTATGGGGGTCACACTGACGGGTGACCCCGAGAGGTGACACAGGGGGGGTGACACAAGTGGGGGGGGCGCTGCCCCCCCAGCACGGACCAGGGGGCGGAGCCTATCCCCTAGGGGGCGTGGCCACACGGTGAAAGGGGGCGTGGCTAACCAAAGGGGGCGTGGCTAAACCAAAGGGGGCGTGGCTTCATCCTCCTGCGCCTGCGCAGTGAGTCCCCCGCGGCCCCACGCCGCCGCCATGGCCCCGCGCTGCAGCCGGCGCACGGGCGCGCACCGGGCCCGCTCCGAGGGGCGCCGGGCCAAGACCAAGCGGCGCCGCCGGGACCTGGACGAGATCCACGCGGACCTCAGCCCCGGCCGGGCACAGCGGCTGCTGCGCCAGGAGCCGGATCCCGACCTGCCGGGCTGCGCGCAGTTCTACTGCCTGCACTGCGCGTACGGGAAAAGGGGGGCGAGAATGGGGGGGGGCAGTGGGTTTTGGGGGGGCGACAGGACCGGGGGGGGGGAGACAGGACCCAGGGGGTGACAGGTTTTTGGGGGGCGACAGGTCTGGGAGGGTGGTGATGGGTTTTGGGGGGGGCAGAAGGTTTTGGGGTGGGACACCAGATTTTGGGGGGTGACAGCAGGTTTTGGGGGGGCACAGGTCTGGAGGGGCGATAGGGTTTTGGGGGGGTGACAGGACCCAGGGGGCGAAAGGTTTTGGGGGGGGTTACAGGTTTTTGGGGAGCAACAGGTCTGGGAGGGTGGTGACAGGTTTTGGAGGAGCCATAGGGTTTTTGGGGGGATGACAGGTTTTTGGGGGTGACAGGTCTGGGAGGGTGGTGATAGGTTTTGGGAGAGGGCAGCAAGTTTTGGGGGAGCACAGGTTTTTGGAGGGGGGTGACAAATTTGGGAGGGGGGTGACAGGGTTTTGGGGAGGTGACAGGTCTTGTGGGGGGCAACAGGCTTTGGGGGGGAGGTGATAGGTTTTGGGGGTGGTGACACATCCAGGAGGATGGTGACAAGTTTTGGGGGGACAACAGGACCCAGGGGGCAACAAATCCGGGGATCCTGGGTTGGCCTGGGGGGGGGTTCTGACTCCTTGGGGGTTTATCCTACATTGGGGGGGGGATCCTAATCCCTGGGGAGTTGGTTCTGGAGGTGTGGGGACCCCAAAACCCCCCCTGACCCCATCCCCTCTCTGCCCCCAGCCGTTACTTCGTGGACCTGACCAGCATGAAGGAGCACTTCAGGTCCAAGGTGCACAAGAAGAGGTAAGGAGGGGGGGAAGGTCCTGAGCCCCCCAAAAACCCTAAGGGCTGATCCCCGAGGGGGCTGCGGTGGGGATTCACCGTGCTTTAGGGCACCGTGGACGGTCCCAACACCTCTCTGCTCACCCGCAGGCTGAAGCAGCTGAGCGAGGAGCCCTACACGCAGGAGGAGGCCGAGCGCGCGGCGGGGATGGGCTCCTACATCCCCCCGAAAAAGGTCCAGGTGCAGACCCAGCCGCTGGACGAAGCGCTCGAGATGGAGGCGTCCTCCTGAGCCCCCCGGGGCCGGGCTGCTCCCGTCAAAGGACGTCTTTGTCCCCAACCCCGTGACAAAGCCACTCTCCGGGACAGGCACAGCGCTGCTCCTCCTCGCCGGGCACTAACGAGGAGAAGGAGCCAACGAGACTCCGCGTGCCCCCGCGTGTCCCCGTTGTGGGGACAGGACAGGCGACAGGCAGCTCCTTGCGCTGTGCGCTCCTCTCTTGGCTTTTGGGGTGGTTTTAGGGCTCTCCGCGAGTCAGAGACCCCTGTTAGTCACCCATTAAAATGTGTCACCCACCAGGCTGGTGTTGGGAGCTGTCTGTGAGCATCTGATTTTTGGCATGGGGGGAGCCAAGTGGGTGAATGAAGCCTCCGTTGAGCGCTCGGGTTCATAGGTAAGCAGCTATTTGTGGGGTGGGGGTGAGCTGGTGTCCTCCCCAGCAGGTTTTGGGCTTCTGGAAACAACACCACTGAGTTTCGGTGCCTTAAAACTCACTGCACGGGGGTGATTTCATGCTCCCAGAGGGCTGGGGCTGTGTGTGTGGCATGATTCATCCCCCTCGCTGCATCCCCATCCCGGGGGTGACGTGGCCCCGGTGCCACCGCCTGCGAGTTCCCACAGGGGGGGCTGAGCCGAGCAGCTGGAGGAGGCACAACAACACCACAGCTCTGCGGGGAGGGAAAGGATTTATTTCCACACAAGCTGCCCGGATTTGTCCTCCCCCTGCCCCGGGGGAATCAGGGCAGCTGCAGGCAGCAGCCAGCCTGTGTGGGGAAGGGGAAAGCTGCGGCTGCTGGTCCCGGAGCTGCCCCCTGCTCTTCGCCTCGAGGCCCCCCCAGGAAGCTGGCCCTATATCCCCTGGGTTCAGGAGGCTGATCCCGGCCCCAGCCCTCCCCGCCGCGTTACCTAACGCCGCTCAGCGCTGACCTCCTTTCCTCCAGCAGGGCTGGCAGCAGGCACGGCGCGTCCCCTGTGCTGCTTGTAGGGTCAGTGAGCAGGGTGTGAGGGACCCCAAACCCCTCTAACAGCGGGGTCTGTCCGTCTGCTCAGCCCCCCGGTCTTGTGGCCTCATCCTGCTGCCTGCTGGGGACTCGACATCACGGCAACCAGTCCCGGGGCTGTGCTGGTGGCCCTGGAACCTGTTGGCTGCATCCTTTTAGGGTCTGGAGTCGATTTATCCGTTTCCCAAAGCCAGGACAGGCGCGTGTGTGTGTCCCCAGCTCCGTGGCATCGAGGTGTGGTGGGGTCGCATCCAGCAGCAGCTCCTCTTTCAGGGGAAAAAGGGTGTGGGGGGGATGCCAGGGCCTGCCTGGGGACCTGGGGACCGTCCCCATGGCCCCCGCTCAGGGCTCAGGGGGGGTCTTGCTGGGTCCGGCAATCCTACAGGCGCTGTAGAGGGAGAGGCAGAGCCCGGCGGCCGCCAGCAGCAGGGCCAGGGGGGGCAGCGCCCGGTCCTTGGGCTCAGTGCCCCGTCCTGCCGCCAGCTGCATCTGGGGGGGGAGAGGAAAGGGAAAAAAGGGGAAGAAGGGGAAAAAAAGGGGGTGACGCCACCCCCAGACCCCCCTCAGGGGACAGCCTCAGCCCACAGCCTGCCCTGAGCGACCCCAATGCACGCACAGCTGGGATATGGGGACAAAAGGGGGGGGCTTTTTCCAGCGGGGTGCCCCCACCGCAGCACCCACGGCGATTTTGGGGTGCCCCCAACCCCAGCCCTGCCCCAGTGCCCCCACCACCAGCAGGGAGCCGGGACACAGCTCCAGCATCCAGCAGGCCTCGTGGGGAGGGTCGGGGGGTCCCTGCTCGTCGCGCCCCCCCCCAATTTTTGCTCGCCCCTTACCTGGAGCAGGCGAAAATACCCCGGGGTGAGGCGTCGGGGCCGGATGATCATGGTGCGAGGGGGGGCAGTAAGATCAGGCCCCGCGGCCCCTCCGAAACCGGCGGCGAGCGCGGCGCTGCTGTCAGCAGTGATCAGCGCCCGCTGCTCCCCCAAGCGCACACAGCACAGCGGGGGGGGGGCACAGGAGGCGTTTCGGGGGGAACCGGGGCGGGTTTGGGGCTGGGGAGAGCCGGGTGCTGAGGGGAGGCAGCCCCAGGCCTGCTGTAGGGGAAGGGGTGGCGGTGGGGTTGGGATCGGGGGGCAAAATCCTCGTGGCGGGGAGCGGGGTGGTGGTGGGGGGGGTGCATTGGTGTCAGGAGTTGTGCTGGGGCTCAGCCCTCGCTGTATGGCCAGGGGGGGTCCTCGTTGTGTCCCCCTCGCCTCCTCCTCATCTCCTCCTCAGTCTCCTCATCTCGTGGCCTTCAGAAAATGGAGTTTGGGGCCCCCCCAAGCCGGGTCCCGCCATCGTTCCCCGCAGGGCGTTTCGACGGCCGCTCGGGGTTGTGAGTCACGCAGGGCGCGTCGTGGCTGCCTCGCCCCTGCTGGGCCGTACTGGGGCTGTACTGGGCCGTACTGGGAGAGAGGGAGCGGAGGGAGGGAGGGAGGGAGGCCTCGGTGAGCGGCACCCGGGCGCGCCAATGGGGCCGGCCTGACCTGGTGCAGGTTTGTGGCGGGGCCGTGAGCTGGTTCCGGCCCTGCCGCCGCCATGGAGCCCGTGGGCGCCTGGGGCCCTGCACAGGTGGCGGCCTGGCTGCGAGGTGAGACCCCAAAACCCTAAAACCCACCCCCCACAGCCAGCTTGGGGTGCCCCAAACCCCATGGGGGGGACCCCAGTGGGGTGGGTGAGGAGGAGGAGGGGGGTGGCTCTGCTTTGGGGACAGTGCTGTGGTCGTGGTGGGCAGAGATTCCCCCAAAAATGATCCCTGGGGGGTTGATATTTGGGGTGGGGAGGGTGGGGAAGGGGCTGTGTGTGTGTGTCCCACCAAGGTCCATGGTGCTGAGACCTGGCGGGCTCATTGCACGGATAGGCACCCTCCCTATAGCCAGGCGTCACCCCCAAATGAGTGACACGGGGGTCACCGAGCCAGGGGCTCAGAGCCCCCCATGGTCCCCCCCCCACCCCATCCGCCTGGCTCTAGGGGTGTTTTTTTTTGGGCAGGGCTGGACGCGGCGGTGCAGGGGTACCCCTTCGAGGCCTGGGGGCTGGCGGGCACCGAGCTGCTGGGGCTGTCGGCGGGGGGCCTGGAGGCGCTGGGCGTGCGGCGCGTGGGGCACCAGGAGCTGCTGCTGGACGCCGTGGAGCAGCTTCGAGCCCTGGTGAGCACGGGGCACCCATGGGTGCTGCTGGGGTGAGGGCTGGGTGAAAGGGAGGGGGGGTGGGGGTAAGCTGGGGGGGTGGAGGGGGGACACGGGGGAACCCTGGGGGGATGGAGGGGGGGTTTGGGGTTATCCTGGGGAGATTTGGGGCACCTGCAGGGAGGATGGAGGGGGGATTTGGGGTTACTCTGGAGGGGATGGGGGGGAGATTTGGGGTTATCCTGGGGGGGATGGAGGGGGGACATGGGGACACCCTGGGGGGAATGGAGGGGGGATTTGGGGTTACTCTGGGGGGATATGGGGGGAGTTTTGGGGTTACCCTGGGGGGCATGGAGGGGGGATATGGGGGGAGTTTTGGGGTTACCCTGGGGGGCATGGAGGGGGGACATGGGGACACCCTGGGCTGGATGGAGGTTTTTTGGGGGGACACGTGGAGACACCCTAGGCTGGATGAGACACAAGGGGGTTATCCAGGGCTGAACGGAGAGGGGGACGTGGGGTCTTGGAGCCCCCTGATCTGCATCCTGCCCCCCCATTCCCCATCCCGGCCACGTCCCCACTCCCCTCTGCAGGACACGGAGCTGGCGAGCACCAGCCTGCGGACGCTGACGGAGGGGCTGCGGGACCTGGCGCTGCGCACCCAGACCCTGGTGCTGGAGGGGCCGTCCGGGGGTGTCACCCCCCAGCCGCCCCCCTTCTCCCTGCTGGCCTGCGTGGTGGAGCTGATCCGGGCCGCCAAGGGGCTCTTCTCCTGGCTCAACAGGTGCGGGGCGGGCAAGGGGGGCACCCATGGGTGCTGGGCGCACCCCCTGGCTGGCGCTGAGCTCTCCGCCCTGCTCCCCAGGTACCTTTTCTCCACCCTGAACGACTTTTCGGCCAGCAGGGACATCGTCCTGCTCTGCGCCCGGCTGGCGGAGGTGCTGCAGGCGGTGGGTGCTCGGGGTGCACTGTCCCGTGCCCCCAAACCTCTGTGCGATGTTGGGGGGGGGAGGAGAAATGGGGTGAGGGGGAGCTCCCTTTGGGGTCCCCCCTGGCTGGAAAAGGGGGGGCTGATCCATCCCGCTCAGCCCTGTGCTTTGTTCCCCCCCCCAGGACTGCTCGGCAGTGGAGAGGACTGGCCAGATCCTGCTGATCGTAAGTGTGGGGTGAGGAGGGGGCTGCAAATGGGGGGGGTCCTGGTGGTCCTGCCCTCCCACCCCCCCATCCCCGTGTTTTTACCCGCAGTGCCAGCACATCGTGGGCATCTGCGAGAGCATCCTGGGCTGCAGCCCCCCGGCTCTGCTGGACCGCAGAGCTGTGCTGGAGCGCGTGGGGCTGTTGCCCCCCCCCGAGTCGTGGGGCAGCCCCCCAGAATCCCCCAGCACCCCCACGCTGCCCCCCAAACCATGGGGCAGCCCTCCAGCATCCCCCAGCACCCCCACGCTGCACTCCAACCCACTGGTGAGTCCCCTGGTGCCCCCCACCTTCCCTTTCCCAGTGTCCCCCCCCTCATACCACCCCCCTTTTTAGGGTCCTGGACATCATCTCTACCAGCTCCTGCCTGCACTTCGTGACCTGCGAACAACCTGGAGGTGAGCTGGGGGCGGCCCCCCCACTGCCTGCTACCACCCCTGCTGTCCCCCGCTGTCCCCCTGTCCCCATTTTAGCCCCAGGCCGTGGGAGATGCTGCCCCCCCCCACCCCGCTGCAGCCCATGGGGCCGGATCTGGGAGCCCCTCCAGGCCCTAACCCACCCCCCACGTCCCCAAATTCGTGGGTGGCTGCAGTGTGGCTGAGACCAGGCAGCTCATCACAGGGGTGGGCCCTGCTCTGCGCCCCCATCCCACCAGCCCCTCGCCCCCCTGTGGCTGCCTGGCCCCGATCAGGGTCAGGCCCACAGGGTTAATAATTAACCCCCCCTCGTTAACCACCCTCCTCCCACCGTCCCGTCACCCCCTGCCCTGGGTTTCCCAGGCTGGGAAACTTCCTGAAAGCCCCCTGCCCTGCCTCTGCCCCAGGCCCTGGCTGTGCAGGGGGGACGCATCCTGCCCGGAGATGAGATCGTGCAGGTCAACGAGCAGGTGGTGGTGAGTCGGGAATGGATATGGGGTTTTGGGGTGCATGGGGGCGTGGGTATGGCCGGGAGGTTGTGGTTGGGGAACCCGGCACAGCTCAGGGCCTGCAGGGCTCCCCTGGGCTGCAGGATGCTCACCTCTGGCTGGGGGAGGATTTGGGGGAGGCAGGAAGCCGGGGTCAAGGGGGATTTGGGGTCCGGGAGGGTGCAGTGGGGCCGGGTTTTGTCCCGCAGTCAGCAGGGTGCTGTGGCAGGTGGGCTGGACACGCAGCAACCTGGCGAAGAAGCTGCTGGAGAAGGCGAGCGGGGTGACGCTGGTGCTGAAGAAGGTCCCGCTCAGCCCGCCTGGCTCCCCCCTGTCCCCCCGGCAGCAGGTGAGCAATCCCAGTGCTCCCAGTGCCAAACTGGGCTGTGCTGGGAATCGGGCAGAGCCGGGCACCTCCAGTACTGGCGGTACCTACAGCCCAGGGGTTGTGGGGGTGTCACCCCAAAACAAGGTGACGCTGCGGGACGCAGGCGCTGAGGCTCCATCCCCAGGTGCCAGGAGCCTTTTTGGATGCTGCGGATCCTCCCGGCGCCAAAAGCAGCGAGTGCCCCGGCAGCCCCGTGTCCCTGACGTCCAGGTGAGCCCCAGCCTCGTGCCCCATGGCCCCAAACCCTAAAACCCAAACCCCACGGCCCCATCCCCAGTGGGACCGGCGGCGTCGCGGCGGCCGAGCGCAGCCTGGGTCAGCTGCCGGCAGTCTTAAGCAACGATGACAACGGCAACAGCCCCAAAGTGCCTCTGTTTGTAATTAATTTGCTTGGTAACGTTTTAATGGGGCAGAAACTATATTTAGAAATGACCCTTCTCCTCTCCCGGAATGGAAAGGCGTCCGCCCAGCCGTTGGCGCCGCGGGCCGGGCTGAGCTCGGTGCCGCCGGGAGATTTTCGGGGTGGGGAGCGAGGCTGGTGCCCGGGCTGGGAACCCCGCAGGGGATATTTTTGCAGCTCCTTTCTACCCCCAGCGTGGCCGCCGACGTGGATTCGGGTCCAGACTCTGCACCGGACCCCGGCACCGACGAGGAGGACGAGCGTGACACGCGGCTGCCGGGGGAGGATTTGAGCGAGCTCCCCCCGGCACCGCTTGGCCGCGGTAGGAGGGGAGAGGAGGGGAAGGAGCTGCTGCTCCCCACGGGACGGGAGGCTGCAGGGAGGCTGCAGGGAGGCTGCAGCCCCGCTCACTCTTCCCAGGTGCCGTGGAGGACACGGTGTGGGAGGCCAGCACCCCGCCGGGCACCCCGTGCTCGCCACGCACCCCTGCTGGGGCTCAGGGCGCAGAGCCCAGCCAGATCCCTGGGGAGGTGAGAGCTTCTGGGGGCAGCTGCAGGGGAAAAGGGATTTTTTATGTCCTGCCTGTTCCCAGAGGGGACAAGCTGCCGGGCTTGCTGCTGCAGGGGGGTTGAGGTGGGGTTCTTGGCAGTGCCTGGGCTCGCAGCGCTGCCCTCGCCTGCCTGCATCATCCCTAATTACTCATCCATCCCCTTCTAGGGCAGCCCCGAAACTGGACGCAAGCCCAAAGGTGAGCATGGTGCTGCTGGGACTGGTGCCAGCAGGGTGGGGAGAGCCGGGCTGGGGGCTTTCCTGCGGCTTGTCCCCCCCCTTCATGCTGATGTGCCCCCAAACCCTGCGCCCGCAGGAGTGGCCACCAGGCTGAGCCGCCGGCGGGTCTCGTGCCGGGACCTGGGCCAGGTGGACTGCGATGGCTGGCTCCTGAAGAAGAAGGACCACGTGGGCTTCATGGCCCAGAAGTGGAAACGGTGCTGGTTCGTGCTGAAGGGCCACACACTCTACTGGTACCACCACCCCAACGTGAGTGGGGACGCCCTCACACCCCCCCGCTGTGGGGCTCTGAATGCCGAGGCGGGCGCTGGACGCAGCCGTGTCTCCCCTGCAGGATGAGAAGGCTGCGGGTCTCCTCAACCTGGCCAGCTACAACCTGGAGAGCACGAGGGAGCAGAAAAAGAAATAGTGAGTGGGCACCACGGTGCCAGTGGGGTCCCCACGGTGCTGAAGATGCTGAGGATGGGGGCTCGGGGCTGGCTCCGGTCCCCGGGGAGCCCCAGCAGCACGGGCAGCCGCCCGCTTGTCCTTCCCCCAGCGTCTTCCAGCTCTCCCATGAGAAGTACAAACCCTTCATCTTCGCCGCAGAAACGCTGGCGGATTTAAGCATGTGAGTAACGCGGCAGCGCCTGACAGTCCTGCCACACCGGGATGGCGATGACCCTCTGTCTGTCTGTCCATCTGTCTGTCTGTCCGTCTGTCCATCCTTTTTTCCCCCAGGTGGGTCAGCCACCTGATAACGGCCAAGACGAAGCACGCGCTGGCCGACCAGCCCGTGCCACACAGGGAGGAAGGTAACAGGGGACATATAAGATGGGGACATATATTATATATGGGGACATATAATATATATAATGTATAATATATATGGGACATATAATATGGGGATGGCTGGGAGCTGTGGGTGGGAGCACCAGGAGCTTTGCCCACGGTTTGGGGAAAAAGTGAGAAATGTTCTTCGAGAGGAGGAGAGCTGGGGTGATGCTCGGCCCCTGGGGGTGCTGGGGGTCCCTGCCCCGCTGCTGGGACCACCCCAGGACCTTCTGATCCCTCTGCTCCCTCCGTCCTCCCCCGTGGCCTCCAGACTGCTACAGCGAGACAGAAGCCGAGGACCCCGATGACGAAGCTCCCCGGCAGGGCTGTGACTCGGTGAGTGGCCCTAAGGGACATCCCAGGGAGGGGATGGGAGGTCCTCGCCTCACCTCCCGCCCTGTCTCTCCTGCAGCCAAAGAAAAGGCTGCAAAACACCCCAGAGAAAGGCCAGCTCTTCCCGGCCAGCAGCGAACCCAGCAGCACAGCCAGCAGCCCCCAGGGCAGCCCCCGGCCCTGGTCACCCGAGGGTAGGTGCTGGGGGATGTGGGGGCTCCGTGCCCTGTGCTAAATGGGGTCCCCATTCCCTGTCACCCTGTGACCGACCTCCTCACAGCCACCCTTTTGCACGTGTGTGTGCAAGGGGGGAGTAAATCGAGCCCTTGCAGTGTTGTTGTTCTGCATTTTGTGCCTTCACCCCCATTTCGATCTCAGTCCCGGTCCCCCCTTTGGATGTGGGGTGTTCTCACAGGCAGGGGCGACCCCACAGGGTTTCAGGGCTGCCCCAAGCTCTGGTGCCCGTCTGCTCACCCAGAGCCCGGCGAGGAGGACCTGGAGAGCCTGATGCAGTGCCTGAAGCAGGGGGGGGTGTCCCTCATCGGGCGGCAGCGCTTCCTGACGCAGGAGCAGTGCCGCAGGTCCTTCGTCCGGCGCAACAAGAACCCCCACATCAACGAGAAAGTGCACGCCGTGCGGGCCCTGCAGAGCACGCTCAAGGTGGGAGCCCCCAGCCCTTGGCCCTACCCCGGTCCTTGCATGGCCGCCCCAAAAAACGACCTTTTTCCTTGGCAGGCGAAGCTGGCGGAGCTGCAGGCCCTCGAGCAGCTGCTGGACGATGCCACGCTCACCTCAGAGAAGTTCACGCGCTGGAAGGAAGAGCACCAGGACCTGTACCAGGAGCTGCAGGAGTGCTGGGCACAGCGGCAGGGCCAGGATGGCAGCGGGGAGCCGAAAGCCGAGCAGAGCCCCCCAGGAAGAGGCAGCCAAACCCTGACACCCCCCCCCCCCCCCCAGGATCTCTGGCATCTCCATAAAACTCATGGTGCTGGTGGGTGCCTGGCAGGATTTGGGGCAGATCTGAAGGCTCAGACCCCTCCTGCTACATCGCCCACGGGAGCGGGACGTTGCAGGGATGCTCTTGCTTTTTTCCCAAGGACGTTTTGCCTCGGCCACATGTTTGCAATTTGGGGCCTTTTCCTGGAGGACCACGCTCCCACCGTGTGCCAGCGTGGTGCCTCCGCCTGGGCTCTCTTCTGTAAATAAAAACCGTGTCGTTTTTTGAGGGCTGGTGGTGCTTTGGTTTTCCTGGTGCTGAAGTGTCCCCGCAGAGACAGCCAGCCCCCACTCACGCCATGTGGCAAGGAAGCGTCGACGCCAGCTTCGTTTCAAGCGAAAAACTACCAGCCAGGAGGTAAAGATGGGGAATGGACCCACCTCTCCCACCCAGTGACAACCCTGGGGGTGTCCAGGGGTCCCATAGTGGGAGGCTGAGGAGCCACTGGGACCCCATGGCGAGCAGCGTGGCCCCCACAAGACCCTTGGTGGGACCCACTGTGTCCCAGCACCTCAGTAATCCACCTCGTAAGGGTCCAGTCCGGTGACAAACCCACTCTTTTTGCAGAAATTGCCCCAACAACCGCTGGGCCAGCTCCCTCCAGCGAGGGGTGGCCGTGGTGGCCGACCTGCCCGGCCGAGCAGGGGAAGGGTTGTGCTGGGGGAAGCTGCCCCCAGCAGTGGTTTTTGGGGTTTTGTGGGGATATGGGGGTCCTGAGGAGGTGGTGGGACCCATGAGGCTGCGGGTGGGGGGCAACGTGGGGGCAAAGGGGTCGGGGGAAAGGAAGCTTGAGGAGCGTTTGGGCAGCGCTGGGAGCCATAGGGTCGGGTGCTGGGGGACTGGGACTTGGGGACACTGTGGGGGGGCATGGTTGGAGCAGGCGAGCTTGGAGGCGTCCTCCAGCTTTAATGGCTTTAGGGGGTTCCTTCACCAAACTTAATGATTTTAGGGTTCCTACTCCAGATTTAATGACTTTAGGGTTAATAACCATAGGAGGTCATTAGGGCCTAGGCAGGCCGGGGGAGGGCTGCGGCCCCGTTGCTAGGCAACTCCTCCCCTCCGCCTCAACACTGCGCATGCGCAGCAGCACAGCCGGCGCCCCGCCCTACGGGTGGGCACTGCGGGCACTTCCCTTCCGCTACCCGCCGGCGGGGCGGGGAATGGGCGTCGGGGACAGCCAATGAGCGACGGGAGGGGGCGGAGCCATCGCGTTTGATAGGCTGCGAGGGAGGACGCCGCGTTTTGGCCCCGCCCCCCCGCCGGGGCTCTAACGGTCGCGGCGCGCGGGCAGCGCGGGCGCCGCCGCGGAGCCAGGTGAGGGCCGGGTCCGGCCCGGAGGGGGCAGCGCGGCCCCGTGAGGTGATTTTGGGGCTCCGTGAGGTGAAACCGGGCCCGTGAGGTTTATTGGAGACCCCCTGAGGTGATTTGGGGCCCCCCTGAGGTGATTTGGGGCCCCCCGAGGTGACACCGGGCCCCCCCCTGAGGTGAAACCGGCCCCCCCCGGGCCTCAGCCCCTCAGGCCGGGCGCTGCCGCCTTCCCCTCACGGCCCGGGCCCGTCCCTGGCTGCGGGAGCGGCCCCGAGCCCGCTGCTGGATCTTGGGACGCGGCCGGGGGCTCCCCTGCGAGGGCAGGGCCGGGCTGTGTTGGATTTCGGGCTTTTAAAGGGAAATTTCCAGTCGCTGTGAGAGCCGGTGTGGAGATCCCACGGTGACTGCTGCTCTGTAAATAACTACAATGGGTTTAACACATGCCCCGGCTGAAAGGCGCTGCTGAGCAGCTGTGTACCTGGGGAATGCTGCAGACAGGAACTTTCCTCAGTTCTCAGGCACGAAGAAATCCTGCAGTAAGTGCTCGCTTTTAAGAACTGCCTCTGTTGCTGCAGAGATGAAACGGTGATGCCCTGGGGGGATGCTAATTAAATCCGCAGTGCTGCGTTACTCTGGATGAAGGGTGGCCAGTGTGTGTGTGTACGCTGTGCTTGGTCAGTGGGAGCAGGGTTTGGTTTGTACTCGTTTAAAGGATGGTTTTTATTTATTGCCTTGTAGTTGACTGGAACAGATAAGATGGCTGCTCTTGAGAAACACCCAGACCTGAGGCTCCAGCAGAACAGTCCCTCGGGTAAGGGCAGTCTTTCCTTTAAAGCTGTGCTGCTGTGGGATCCTGTTTCAGGTTCCCTGAGGAGACGTGACCCTGAGAAGAGTTATTTACCAAAAGCTTTTTATTAGAAGACAACGTCCTGTTCCTGCCAAGTTAAATCATTGCATGGGTATCCAAGGGTGGACACCATCATTTGATAATGGACCTTTCCTGGAATGATAACCAATAAATTGGGAAGAGTTCTTAACAACAGACACAAGGAGTTCTTAACAACTAGCACAAGAATGTATCTGTACCATTAATAGTATTGCCACGTGCTGACACTGCTCCTAATTATCAGAGTGTCAGTTTAGTGCAGTATCACCAAACTTATCAGTGGGAGTATAATTTATTGCTGGTGATTCTGACTTCCTTAACAAGATTGATTTGTTTTTTTATATATATCTGTTGATATTATTTGACCTCCTTGTGCTCACAAAAGAAATTTCTTTAGCGACAATAGTAAGGGTAATTAAGCATGGCTTATTAAATGATATAGTAAAAAGCTTTTCAGTCTGTTGGCTAATACATAAACTTTGCTGCCTTTTTCTCTCCAGCTCCCAGCCCCACTCAGAAGAGTCATTTCTCAGAGACTGACTGGAAGACGCCGATGTTGTCTGTGAAGTTCCAGAGCCGCATCAGTCGCTGCTCGAGTGTGGCCGACAGCGGGGATGCGGGCATTGGGACCTCCTGCTCAGACAGCACGGAAGGTAATTGTCAGCATGGGATCACACAGTAACAGTCCCAGATTTTTGGTTTTTCTTAAGACCAACAAGCATTAAACAGCCCAGTATTACTGAACCCCAGAGAATGTAGAAGTTGGAGGGAGCAGAATCTGTCATGATGTTTAGAGACATTTCCAAATCAGTGCTGAACTGCACAGATATGCTGCCTAAAATACAGATAAGTAATTAAGGAAATCACTTTTTCTGCAAGCTAGCCTTTTAACTGCAATAAGCATTTTTAATTGCCTAGAGAGCCATATCAGTGACTTGCTGTTTAATACTGGTGTACAGGTGATTTAGTCTTGTGTGCTTTTTTTAACAAATCATTCATAGCTGCCTCTAGAGACTTTAGGTCAGTGTGCCTTTGTGTGTAAGTTCTGTCAGTGTTGAAGTTGTGTGCTTCTTCCTGGAGAGTGCTGGAGTCTTGCACTCAGCTAAAGCACTGGTGAGTGGCACTGCTTGACCTGGTGTTCCCTCGTGCTTGTATTTTCGTCTTCGTTCATGAGAGGCATAAAACACTATTGATTCACTGCTTCTTCCAGCAGTGAGGAAGCTTGTGTTATTTAAAGCAAGATGCTTCACCCATTTATACAAGCTGCCCTGTGTCTTTTGAGGGAGCTACAGATCTTAATATCCAGTGAGGTGAGACGAAGGCTTTTAAAAACATATGGCCTGTGGAAATATTGCTAAAGGGTGTGTTTAAGAGTCTCCTCTAGCCTTTCTCAAAATAATAAAGCTCCCAGTTGTATGCTGAGGGCACAGGAGGTGATGTTTCTTTGGGGAATCGCCCTTCTGAATATTGTAGAGCAATAGCCTTGTTTCTTAGAGCTTAGGCTGTATTGCAGCACCGAAAGCTGGCTGAGCCACGCTGACTTTCAGGTCAGTTCATCGCTCAGAAATGTTGTTGTGACGACCCTTAGCACATTCAGGGAAGCAGTTCCAGCATCCGCACGTGGCGTGCTAGTCAGTGAACTCGGGTTCCTGATAGTGACACTGGGGGATAAATTTAGGGGCTGTAAGAGGAAACTGTACTGTCTCTCCGCTGTTTGCCAAGGTGAATGTACTTGGGACTGCTCAGTAGCACAGTGTTCTCTGGAGTTCCTGGGCACAGCCCAGCAGTGTCTGAAGAGATTTGTTTTCTGCTCATTTTTGAGGAAAGGGTCTTGTTCCTTTATCGTGATAGTTTCCTGTGGTTTGGTGATGGTCTCTTCAGAACCTGATTTCAGTCATCTTCAGGTTGTTACCTTTTATTCCTCCTTGTAGCAGTGCTTTGAGGTTATAGCTGCCCGGGGGGTGACCTTGCAGTCCTGACCTTGGATGAAAGAAACATCATATGGGGATGGGCCTTTAGCCAAACCCATGAGGAAAACAAGCTTGTGTATCTGGGAGAAACCCGAAATTAGTGTGATACACGATGTGTCGGGACGAGGAGAGGAAACAGGCGTTTGGGTGTTTGCCTTTCTCAGCTCTTGCTGTTGCTGTATTGAAATCTGAGAGCTGCTAAGAATAACCCTACACAGCCAGGTTTGGTGTCTGTCTGACAGGACAGGCTCACGTTGGGGTGCGTTTGCTGTATCTCGTTTCCTGTGGCAATATTGGAGAGCCATTCCTGTAGCCTCTGGAAAAAGCTCTTTTCCTGCTGCGTCCTGGAGGAGTTCGAAGGTCAGCTACTTGGTGATGTAGCGTTCAGCTGTGTTTGAAGCTCACCATGGGCTTAGTGGAGTCTCCAGTTAGCTTTGGTTACAAGTCAGAGCCGCTGAGCTGAGGGACGGGCAGGGCAGAATCAAGGTCTCAGTGTTCAGCTGTGTAAGTTTCAGCCTTTTTATTCGATTTAAGGGACTTGGTTTCTGTGTGTGTTGAAAGGTAACCTTATTAACTTGAGATTATGTTTGAGTGGCTGGTGTATTAGCTAGCTAGAGTCAGTTAACAATGTGTACTGAGCTAAATGTGGATTCTACCTGTGGTTCTACTGTGGTAAGAAAATGTCAACAGGCCTGAAACCTGTAGTGAGGGGGAACACAGATGTGCCTTGGTTGTGCTTTTGTATGGGGGAATGTTCGCTTTTTTAGATTCTTTAGGAAAGGTGTCCAGCTGTTCGTGCAGACTATTTCCAGGATTGTAATTAAAGCCTTGCTCTTCTTTCCCTAGATTTCTGCAATTCCAGTAACGGTTCCTCATTCCAGCCCATCAAAACCCAAGTGACCATCCCGACAGCCCATGTTATGCCATCCACGTTGGGTGCCTCACCCTCCAAGCTGGGCTTGGCAGGAGAGCAGAGCTGTTCGCAGAGTGCTTCCAAAACTGCTCTGCCAGGTTCGGCTTCTGAACACGCAGGACTCATGAGAAACGGAGACTTCAATGCCGGGAAGTCATCTCAGGTGCCGCCCAGGGATCTCTTGCGTCTCTACGGGACTTCAGGGGAAAATGGTTTTGAGCAATCCTGGCATCCTGTTTCTGATCACATGAGAACAGAAGATACTTGGAAGTTTGACACCCCTGCCATTGAGCGCACCCTTAACCAGTCTGTCTTGCTGGATAGTTTGTGCGCTGACCCTCTCCACAGGTTTCAGAAGTTCAATCCAAACCCCGGGGCAGCTGAAGCAGGGAAGGAACATTATAAGGTGCTGCCAGAGAGCAAGCAGGCTGCAGGGGCTAATGGAGCCTGCGAAACCCAGGATGGAACGTGGCCAAGTGGCAGCAGGCTGATGCCAACGGGACTCCAGGCTAACAATTTCTTTTCAAAACCAGTAACTCCTGCATCTCGGGCATGGATGCAAGACACCTGCACGCTACATCCACATGAGAGGGTCTGCGAGCTCAGTGCTTGGAAACAACAGCTGGAGAATGTGCGGTTGCAAATAGAGCAAATGCAGGTAGGGGACATGGGGTGTGAATGTACTGGTTTGAAACCCTTCCTCTCTTCAGTTGTGAATAATTGGTTTGGACTCGTGAAGCAAGAGAGAAAATGTCTCCTGCTTCTCCCCATCTTGCATTAAAAGTGTCCTAATTACCTGTTTTTACATCATGGGGGGTATCACAGGTGTCACTTGACGTGCTGCTTATGCTGAGCAGTCCTTTATTATGTTGCAGCACTGCACAACACTTCAGTTCAGGTCAAGAGGTGAATATTGCGTCCACCAGAAACAGCAAAGAAAACTCATCAGTTTCCAGAAGTTTTTAGCAGTTTATGGAATAATTTTATTCTGTATCTAGGAGTTAGGAAGCAGATTGTCTCGAAAGATGCATTAAACTGCCGTTAGTTTTTTAGAGGGGAAGTTTGTTTATTGCCTCCTACCAGCTGTACCCTAATGGAGACAAATTGTTTCCAGTGAGCTAGCACAGTGATCTAAAATTATTTGTTAATCTCCAGTTGTGCTTGGGCAAAGTTACTCGTTCTTGGACATCAACAGAGACTGAAATAGCTGTGTCCTGGCATGCAGATGAGCACACTGTGTGCAAAATAGCTCTAGCAATGTTGCAATTACCTCTGTGGAGCATAAACCTCTTCCTTGTTGTTTTGTCTCCTCTTTCAGTTGCAAAATGGAGGTGCCTGCCACCACCCCGCGATGTTTTCTCCTTCGCTACCTACTCCCGATCCAGCCCAGTGGATCAATATCCTGAACTCCAATGAAAACCTGCTCAAGGAGAAAGAGCTCCTCATTGACAGGTGAGAGCTTGATGCTGCTGTGTAGCGTAAGGACTTGAATATTTCCGTTTGGAAAGGGACAGTTTTGAAAAGACCAAAGAAAGTTCATGTCTCCGAGTCCCTTTAACCTGAATGATCTTTCTTGTTCTGTAAAGAACACAGTGACCTTTGAGAACAGTCTGCTATTCTCACATGCTCTCCTGCCCTTTGTGGAAGTGGGATGGTGATCCATGAGGGTTCAAATAAAGCAGTTTCAGTTATAATTTTATGTTTTGTAACGAATAAAGGTTTTTGTTTACATCACAGTTACGTAGAATGTCGAAACTACTACCTCTTTCCTTGAGGAGCTTCTGGGAGCTCTTGGAGATAGTTATTTAAAATTTGTTCCTTGTGAGTTTGGGCTGGCAAGGAACACTTCTAGCTAATGCTCTGTATGCTTTCTGAAAAAGTTTTAAAGAAAATTGCCTTCAGCATTTGGGCTGTAAATACCTCTTCTGCTTGCTCATTTTGAGTCCTCTGTTCATTTCACTCAAAGATCCACAGTCAAGCGGGATTCTCCAGGACGTGCAGGGCTTGCGTGTTTTATGTACGACTGCTGCTGTGGGGGGCGGTGCAGGAATTTTTTTTAAGGGAAGAGACAGAAGAAAAGTTTAAGTAAATTGTGAAGAGGTCAAAAATGAGCTTTCAGATTACTTCTCTGCAGGTTAGTTCTGAGCTGTAGGGCTGTCTTTCCTCTGAGCTTGTCACTATATCAAGCGTTAGAGTTACTGTGGCCTCATTTATGTTTTAAAAAGAAGGTGTATGTTTGAGAACAGTGTATTATCTGCTTTGGTTGGTTTTGTTTCTCTACAGGCAAAGACAGCACATATCCCAGCTGGAGCAGAAGGTCCGGGAAAGTGAACTGCAGGTTCATAGTGCCCTGCTTGGCTGTGCAGCGCCCTATGGAGATGTCTACATGTTGAGAATGCAGGTAGTTAGGTGCAACAGGCTGTCAGGGGGAAATATGTATTGAATCCCCCGGTCCTACCACTTCTCATTAGGTATTTTCTGAGTAGGAGGGCTATGCAGAGTATAATTACCCTTTGTGTGTGGTCCTGATTATCTGACATCTCTGAGAGTGGCTGTGACTCTAGAGATTTCAAGCCCTGAAGCACTGAGGTTTGTTTAGAAGCTGTGCTAGTGATGCAAGTGCCTGGCAGCACTATGACAAGTGTTATTTCTTGCTATGTATAAGGTGGGCTGAGTGATGCTTGGATGTTAGGAGGGCTTAGCCACAGCTCTGAGACAAGCTGGCTGCTTAGTGCCAGTTCATAACTGTTAGCTCTGACAGACAGAATTCACAGGCTGCTTGCGTTCGCAGGAGCTGCAACGGGAGAACACGTTTCTCCGAGCACAGTTCACAGAGAAGACTGAATCCCTCAGTAAGGAAAAGATTGAATTGGAGAGAAAACTGGCTGCTGCAGAGGTGGATGCAAAGCTGATCCGGGAAACACTGAAGGAAACTATGCAGAAACATGCAGAGGAGTTAAAGAAGCAGGAGGAAAGGGTATGATCCCATCGCTCTAGGATTGAGATGTCTTTTGTTTAAGAAGCCAAAATTCATTCTAATGCCTTGGTGGATGAAAGCTTTCCATGGCAATGTAGTATTGTAGGTATTTTCTGATCTCAGTGTAGAGTACTTTGGTTTATAAGCCAAACCCCTTCCTCCGGTAGTTAGAATTATTTCAGCACCTATTCTTTTAACCGGAGAAGAAGGCTGTCTTTCTCTAAGTGAGAGAGATGCTGCTGAGGTAAGGTGGTCTTGCATTTTGAGGTTGAGTGCTGTGCAAACAGGTAAATAAGTGGACATATAGAGGACTAATGAATGGACAAGAAATTATATGAACTAATCTTGTATATAACCATCCCTGCAGATAAAGGGGAGAGACAAACACATTAATAATCTTAAAAAGAAATGCCAGAAGGAATCGGAACAAAACAAGGAGAGGCAACAGAGAATTGAGACCCTGGAACGATACCTGGCTGATCTGCCAACTCTTGAGGACCACCAGAAGCAGAATCAGAAGGTAAAACCTTCTCTAAGTCGTGATGTTGTCTTCCTACTTTTCTGAGTGTCTCTTCAGATACTTGCTCAGGCTGGCTTTTCTAGATCCACAAATAATCCCTTGTGTAGCTGCCCAAGTTAAGTTTAAGTCTACACCTCTGAACATTTGTCCTCCAAAAAGGGCAATGAGGAATGGCCACACAAGTAGTAAAAAAAAATCTGCCTCATGAGTGTGGTTGAAGCATGTTGTGTGGTGAAATTCCTGGGAGACCTCTAGAGTGTTGTGATTGCCTTTGCAGCTAAAGGAATGTGAGCTGAAGAGTACTGCTCTGCAAGAAACAGTGCTGGCACTGGAAACAGAGCTTGGAGATGTCCGGGCTGCATTCAGGGAGCAAGAGGTGCAGCTGGAAACCCAAAAACACAAGGAACTGGAACTTCTTTCTACTGTGCGCAGGTAAAAATCTGGAGGATTAGGATGAGCTTCATCTTAGGACTGAAGTAATAGCTGCACAAGGACAGTGAGAATTCAGCACAGCCATTGTCCCACCTCTCAGAACCGTGTCAACAAGGATTCATGATGATTGTGACCACTCACCAAAGCCCTGTGCAAATTCTGCATGCCAAGAGTGGAGGGTGGGAGCAGAACAAAATAGCTGAAGGAAGCAGCAACTCCTCTTCATCACATGAGTTTCTCTCTTGGTTATTGGTCTCAGTGTAACTTCCTGGAAAGCAGACCTGTGGCCTTCAGTCGTTAGGTCTCTGAATGTTATGCCCAGGGCTGTGTCCAGGGAGTGGGGCTCCTCTCACAGCTCTTGCAGTCTGCAAGCTGGGCTGCAAACAGGTTGACACTGCCATCTGCTATGAAAAGCATTTGCTTCCTCATGTTGTCTAGAGAGGGAAACACCCCAAATAAAGCTGTTTCTCCCATGGTGTTCTAATTTCAGCTTGCAGGACAAGGTGCAGCAGTGTGTAAAGAATGTGGAGAGAGGACCTGCACAGGATGGGGACAAACAACAGAAGATAGAAAATGACTCTCTGAAGAAAGAATGTGACTGTCTCAAGAAGGTAACAGGCCCTCCCAACCAGGAACCACACTTTTTTTTTCCTTCCACTGAGTCACTAGGCACAAAAAATGAATCAGGGACTTCAGCATTAGTAGGCAGTTACAGTTACACTAAACCAGCAGTTTCTGGAGTTCCAAACAGAAAAGTTTTAAGAGCTGTTCTTGGTGTGAAAACGATGCACTCGTGGGATAACCCTAGAGAGAAGTTGCAGAATACAGAGAAAGACAGAGGAAAACCACAAGAATGCAACTTCACCAGTCTTTTTATAGCTGATATATCTTTCATCGGGTGCATTTTATCAGGGAATCTAAGTCCTCTACTAACAGAGGCAGTAATTAAAGCAGTAAGTGGATAGGAATGAGGAGGAGTGGGGACGCTGTCCTACTGGAGGAGAAGTCGGTGTTATTACTGGAAGTCTGTGTGGCCAGTTCTTATGTCTCTGCTTTTGATTCCAGATTGTGGACAAACAGCAGAAAAAGATGGAGCAGTTGTCTTTGAAAGTAAAGGTGAGAGGTGACTGGAGGCAACTAGAAATTGAATCTGCTATAAAGCAAGTTAGATTTACTGTTTTCCCGTGCTCTGTTCCAGAACCTGGAAGAACAGGTGGCCCAGGAAGAGGGGACAAGCCAAGCTCTGAAAGAGGAGGCAATGAGAAGGGAAAATGCACTGCAGCAGCTCCGGACTGCTGTGAAAGAGGTCAGAGTGGTGTAGAGTACCTGAGCATAGCAGTTGAGTGAAAAGTGGGTTATGTGTTCTAGGAGTGCTTTTAATTTGCAGTCAACAGCACAGCCTCTCCTGCTTCTGTCACTTGTTCTCTCAGTGCTCTGAAGAGTCCCTTGCTGTTCTGAAATAGGAAGAAGTTTCAGCTGGGGCTGCGGGTTGTGCTGGAGAGCACTGAACCAGCCAGCTGGGGGCAGCAAGGCAGTGAGCAGGACTCAAATTCACTGCAGCGCTGGCTGAAGGGCAGGGCTGAGCCCCAGTCTCAAGCCTAAAAGGAACCTAAGCATGGTGGCAGCCCTTGCGGGAAGGGAAGGTCAATTTTGCGGTGAGAGGCTGATGCACAACTTCCTGAAAGGCTCTCTGCTGCTTCACACCTCAGCAGGGATGGTGCAGCGCTGCGGTGCTGCTGTCTGAACCAGGAAAGCAGACTGCTCACACCCTGTAGGACTGCCACTTGCTCTCTCTCATCTAGTGAGAGTCTGGAGGGCTTGATATGGAAACCTGCTCCTCCTGTCCTCAGTGTTCCCATCGTGGAGCAGTTGTTCTGTTGCTGTGAAGTGCTCTTGTTCTGTACTAAGTGATCACTAATCTGCTGTGGCCACTTGTTCAGCTTTCAGTGCAGAACCAGGACCTCATTGAGAAGAACCTGACCCTTCAGGAGCGACTGAGGCAGGCAGAGCTAACGGCTCAGCCCCTGCCTGCTGAGACAGCCCACCTTGCCCAGGAGCTGCACACTGAGCTGGCCAGCTGCCTGCAGGATTTGCAGTCTGTCTACAGCATTGTCACTCAGAGGGCGCAGGGCAAGGATCCCAATCTCTCCCTGCTCCTGGGTATTCGATGTAAGTATGCGGAGTGGTGGCATAGCAAACCCTTTGGCTCATGTGCTGCAGTAGAATTAAGTACCTCACATAAAGCATGGAAGGTTCTCATCTTCCTGGGCTTCTGAACCTTCCTTCTGTAGTTAGCACGCTGTGAAGATGCGTGCTATAACAACTAAACGATAAGTAGTACCTCTGTTGCAAACACGCGTTGTTTTTCTGTGTCGTTTGCTAATGACCCTTGGTCAGAATTGCATGTCTGAGGTAACTCCTCTCTCTGACTCCCCAGCTGCACAGTACTCAGCCAAGGAGAAGGATGACCTGCTGAGTCCCGATGTGCTTGCGAAAAAACTGGTGGAGGTAAAACAGCTTCACAAAGAGGTGGAGGACTTAAGGACGGCGATATCTGACAGATATGCTCAGGACATGGGAGACAACTGCATCACTCAGTAAAGAACTCTCCCCAAAGTAAGACAGGAAATGAAGACTTGAAACTCTCGGGAGACTAGAGCTCCTGCAACCGAAAACCTATTCAGCACTTTACCATCCCTATGCTTGGGTACAAGACGTGGCTTATCCATGAGAAATCAGGGGGGTTGTTGCCAGAAGTGTTGAGCTGCTGACTGGCCAACTGGAATCATTCAGGGCTTCGGTGTCGGGCTTTGCAGTAGCTTTGATCTTGTGGAATGTGTTTGTGCTGTATTTGCTGGAGCTGGTGTGGTCTCTGACTCTGGGAGATGAGTTCTGAATAGCCTTCCAGGCATGTCAAACGCTGAACATGCAAATGTGACAGTTAAAACCAACACTAAAAGGAAACAGATGCCCTGGTCTTTCTGATAAATTCTCTGTGCAGATCCTGTGCAACTTGTAAGACCGGAGTATTATCAGGGTGTTTGGGGGAATTCTGGATTTCGTAGGCAGGCAGGTGTGCTAGTTATACCACTGCTAATTACACCAAGGTGCTACAGGCTTCTCAGATGCTCTGTGTGCAGTTCTGGCTCGGATACTTGTGTAGCCACGCGTGGAACAGGACCTGCTTTGCTCAGGTAGATGCAACCAGAGTCTTCTGGTAGCCAGCAGAAGTTAGGGAATAAAGCAACACTACAAAAAGACTCCAAATGCTCCCCCCAAGCCCTGTTACCCCCAGAAGCCTTAAGCCTTTTATCCCCTTGAGATGGCACTCTTGAGTGTGAGTATGATTCAGCCTGAGGAAGCAGATTGATGCTGAAGTGCCTTAATGTGCTGGAGAAACTTCCTGTCCACGCGCTGCCCTGTGCCTAATGCATCTGCTGGCAGGGCAAGGAGTGGCTGTTCCTGAAAGCAGCCTTCAGAGCCATCACAAACCATCCTGCAGAGCCTTGAATGTACACAGCCCCTGCCGGGGGGCCCTGCTGCAGGCCAGTGGGGAGACACCTCTGCTTGGGTCTCTGCTCGTTAGGGAGAAAGCCATTCCGGTCCTGAGAGGCAGCAGGATTGTACAGCTGGGTCTGAGAGCTCTTCCTGATCCTGGAGAGGCTCTGACTTTGTTCTAGTGCCCCTGGTTCTCTGGTTGCTCCCCACTCCCCTCCTAAATAATTGGATTTCTAAATAAATCAGCGTGGGCTGCGGCTCACTTTGTCACAGCCTCCTGAATCCGAGTGGCAACTTCTCAGTACTGAGTGTTGGCTGAGGCAACGCTGCGGTGCTGAGGGTGAAACTTGGTTTGGTTGCCACCTCACTCTTGACTCAGAAGCTAAGAGACAGTGATAAAACAGGGGAAAAATGTTGCTGAAACTTCTGCCCACTCAGATGTTCTTGGTTCCTGTTGGGGCTCTGAGCCCCACCTTTAGGAGAAATGTTGTTGTTATTCCTTTGAGTTAAAAGTTGAGACCAAATCTGTTTTGTTCTTGGAGCTGGGCCACCGGGGGTGATGAATTGGTGGGTATGCCATCCCGCAGCACAGCTTGGGGAGCTTCCAGCAGCTGATGCGTTACACTTCTGGCTGTGTCTGTCCCCAGGCTGCTGATGCCACGTCCTGAGCTAACTGGGGGCCAAGGCTGGTTCCTGAAGTCACTTGTCCTGGCTGCTGGGAGCTCTGGAGGCACAGGAGGCAGAGCAGTGCCAGCTCTGCAGCCTACACTGTGCTCATGTTCTTGGGGTGCAGGCAGGAGATTTAATTCCCAAGTGCTGCAACTGGGATCACAGCACAGGAACCTCATCTCAGCCCCTGCTCGCAGCCTCACATCAGGCCCTGTGGCTGGGCTGGCTGCATCAGCTCAGGCCCCTTCCCCAAGCCCTGGCTTTTGTGTCGCTCAGGTCGTGTTATTCCCTTTGGGGATAAGAGATGCCCGTGTCGTTACCCTGCAAAACTGGACTGTGGCTTAAAACGGTGATTCCTGTTCATGTCTGTGTGCCTGCCAGCCCTCAGGTGGGGGAAATGTTGGATTTGCACAGCACCCAGGGCCGGGGCAGCAGGACCACGTCCCTCACCTTACCCCGTTGCCTGTGCGTTGCGGTGGTGTCGGGTCGAGCACGGGCATGTTTATACGAGCATTTGTCTTACCCACTTGTTTGTATTTTTGTGTCTAAAATAAAGCTGCTCTGCTCCACTCGTGCAAAGCAGTCCTGTGTGAGCAAAGCAACGATTTGGGGGGGGGGGGGAGGAAGGGGGCTCCGCTCGGTGCTGCGCTCGCTGGGGAGCGTCGGGGCGGTGGCGGCGGCTCCCGGGCAGGGTTGGTGCTGGACCGGGCCCGCAAACACCGCATGCCCGGGCCCGCCGGCCCCATTGGTCCCCGCAGTCACATGCAGGGCGGTGGAGGGGCCGCCCGCACCCGCCTTCCGAGCCTCCCTCCTCCGGGCTGAGCGCAGGGAGCGGCCGCGATCGCAGCATGAGCACCCTCAAGGTCTACAGCACCTCGGTCACCGGCTCCCGGGAGGTGAGCGGGGCGTGGGGCGGCGGTGGGGCAGGGCTGGGCGCCCCGGGGGTCCCTTTGCTGGGTGGTTGTCGCCTCCCCACTGCCGGGTGTGCCTTCTGCAGCTTCCCACCGTGCATCATCCGCTGCGTGGTTCCCGTCTGCTCGGGTTTTGGCTCTCTGTGCTGCGTGTCTCACCCCCCAAAAAAAGGGGTGAGCCCCCTGGCTGGGTGTAGGGTGGACTGCGGCCCGTAAGGAGCGGTAGCTCTGTTTGCTACTGGCACCCTGGGTGTGTGTTTATCCTTTGAGCTCCTCCCCGGTTCTTGATAACCTGCTTCTTTCACCCCGGGGTTCCCAGATCAAATCCCAACAGAGCGAAGTGACCAGAATCCTCGATGGGAAAAACATCAAGTACGAGCTGGTGGATATCTCCCAGGACAACGCTCTGCGGGAGGAGATGAGGGCAAAGGCAGGCAACCCCAAAGCCATCCCGCCCCAGATCGTCAACGGAGACCACTACTGCGGGGTAAGGCTCCTGCCCTGTCCTGGGGACTGGTACCCTGACAGCCGGGTGCTGTGGAATAACGCTCTGCCCTTGTTTGTGCTCTAAGTGGTGTCAAAACGCCTTCTAAGAGGCATTCCCCATGAGGCACGCTGACCAGGAGTGGGCTGGGTTAACGGTGGCCTGCAAAAATGGGACCTGTGCTGGGAGTTGGGGACCCCTGGGCAGTGGGGCTGCGGCTGTAGGGCTGGCCCTGCCCTGCCCTGCCCCGTTATTCTCCCTCCAACTGGCACCAGTTTGGGCTGTGCTGCCTGATGGGCGGGAGCGTGCAGTGCTTGGGCTGCGTGCCTCTTGTTTGCGAGCAACCCCGTGGCTTGTCCCCGCAGGATTACGAGCTCTTTGTGGAAGCGGTGGAACAAAACACCCTGCAGGAATTCCTGAAGCTGGCCTGAGCCCCGGGCTCCCCTCCCGTCCTGGACTCTACCTGCATTCCTGAGCACCCTCATCTCTGACCACATCCAGTTCCAGGTTGTCAGCGCTGTCCTGGCACCATGACCTGTATCCCAGCACAGGGAAACCCACGACCAAAACTCCTCCTCGCAGCTGCCTACGACTCCCTCCTGCCTGACCCCGGAATCATCTCAGAGGGATCCAAAGAAAGTCTGACGCTCGCTGCGCATGGCCTCTGAACAGAGCTGGGCCTGGCTCACTCCGCAGCTTCCAGTGCCTCTGTAAACAGCAAAGCCTCTCGGGCTGTGCGAAGTGCGGCTGTCCCTCAGCCCTCTCCTCTGCAGGGAGAGCTTCTGCTTCAGGAGGGAAGGGCTTAAGGTTGCATGTTACTTCCCACTTCCCCCAGTTGCTGTTACAATTGTAAATCCTGCTGCCTCACTTCCTTTCTTTTCTTTTTTTTTTTTAATCCCAACTGCACAGATTACGGTGACTAACTTTTTTTGTTTTGTTTTAATTTAACGCAGAAATACTGCACAGAGCTGGGTCCGACCGCCCACCACGGAGCGGGCTGGGGCTGAGGCGTAAGGCTCGTGTCCCTTGGCAGGCTGCGTGAGGGGGGATGGATAGGCCCAAAACTGGGACCCCTGCTGCTCCCTCGTGAGCATTAATGGCTCAGGGCTGCTCCGGAGCAGCTGCTGCTCCAGCTGTCTTACCTTTCCTTTCTCAGTTGGCTTTTTGCAACCTGGACCAAGTGCATTTTGTTTTCCTGCCAAAAAGCAAGTTTATAACCAGTGTTGTCTTCCGAGATGCTATTAAATGTTACTGTACCTTTCGTGGTGGCACTCGTGGGTTTCTTTTTAAATTGGTTTTATCTCGACTACAGGTTAAACATCCTCCTCCACAACGATTCCGAGTCAGTTCCAGCTCAGAGGAGCTGAGTCAGTTGTGCTTGCTGCTGCAGCTTGACACAAAGACCTGAACACCTCAGATTGCTGCCACTAATCAAAGGCTCGAGGGGCTTGTCTGAATCCCCTGCAGTGCAGTAGTGACAGGTACCTCTCCAGCAGCCCTCTCCTGCATGGGGTAAGAACGACAGCCTGGGGGAGGGACAGCTTCAGACAGACCCACGGGGACAAAAACGAACCTGTAGCGTAAAAATTCCTGGTGGTTTGTAGACTGGCTGACAGCAGAGGGGCGGTGGAAAAGGCTGCTCTATAGGAGGGTCCCTGGTACACTCCTGGAGGTGGAAAAAGAAGGAAGCTCGCTCACAGCTGTGGGGACTGAGTCACTGGTCAGGGTGCTGGTGGTGTTTCCCGTACGAGCAGCGCGTGGCCAAGCTCCAGCCAGAGGGGCCTGGGGAAGGCAGAGCAGTTCCAGGGAGTGCTCAGGGGATCCTGCCCCCGTCTGTAGGTAATTTGGAGTTTACAGAAGTGGAAATTACAGCTCAATAAATGCCAGGAGCCTTTGATGAGGGCTGGGTGGCAGCATGTGCTGGGCCTCTGTGAAAAGGGAACCTGCCTGCAGATGCTGCATTGCGCAGTGGGGGTGTTGTCAGCTGGGAGGCAAGTGGGAACTTGTCAGAGCTGAAATGGGAAGAATGTCTTGGGAAAGGGGCCTGCAGAGCACGGCCCCAGCCCGCAGGAGAGGAAGATGCTTTACTCTCAGGTTGAAGAGGGAAGAACCCAAGGGCTTGTGCTCTTCTCCGGTGACATGGTGTCCTGTTGCAGCGGGCTGGGAGGGAGGGAGGAAGGAAGGCCAGCAGCTCAGGGCCGCGGCGGGCTGGTTTGGTGTAGCTGTGAACCTCAGCCCCTCTGGAGCTGGGGGCTGTCCAAGGGAAGAAGCCGTTCACGTACAGGAAACCCAGCAGCAGGATCTGGCTGCGCTGGGTCTGGCTCAGTCCCAGCAGTGCAGTGGCCCAAGGCCATTGCTGGAGACCATATAACTGAGCCTGTTCCTCTCGGGGGTGTAAATGCAGATGAAATCTCGGGGGAGCAGCGGTGTGGAAAGCTGCTACAGAGCCCCTGAGCCCAGCTAGCGCCTGCCCCAGTACTGGCGTAAAGCTGCCAGTCTTCCTGAGCAGGGATCAGCCTGTGTAACCTTCAGCAGAGGTGAGAAACCAGGTCTCTGAGCTGCCAGAAATCCCCTGGGGGAGGTAGGAACCCACCCACGAGGCAGCAGGAGGCTGGGGCTGCCCTGTGGCACCCCACACTGAAGAGAGAAGCCAAAGCAGGAGCCCTCCTCTCCGTCCCAGGTAACGGCACAATGAAACTGGATCTGGAAGGACAACTCTTGCTCTTGCCAACGCAGGGGGAGGTTAAAACACAGCTCACGGTGCGAGGGCAGCAGCTCTAGGAGCTGTTGTGCTGCGTGCAGCCCTGCCCCTCTCGTGGGAGGGGGTCTCTTCTCCGCAGCAAGCAAGGAGGCACTGGGGATCAGGCCGCACTCCTGCAGGCTCCTGGCGTTGTCTGCGTACACCCTCTGGGGAAAGGTGCTGAGGATTTCATACGAGCCGGAGTCTCCACCCCTAGGAAAGAACAGCACAATCTTTCCTATGCACAAGATCCCCCAAGGTTTTGCTGCGATGCTCTGGCTAATCCAGTTGCAGTTACATAAGAGCAGAGGGAGAGGCGGCTTCTCGAGCGCAGGCCAAGCAGAACAAGGCTTCCTGCCCTCGCTGCACGCAGCCAGGCTGTTCCAGGCTCCCCAGCTGCAGGGAGGCCCTTACATCCCAGCAGTGAGCTCATTGTGGGCTCAGACAGAGGCCAGGGCTGTGGCCTGTGACGGGAGGGGAGAGCAAAGGGATCCCCACAGCCATCTGGAATGGTCCCCAAGGGGATGCGTGAGCCTCTGGGCAGCGTTAAGGGCGTTGGGACATGGAGCTGGCTGAGAAAGGGACAGCGTTTGTCCAGCAGCTGATCCATCGGCTGGCCTGAAGCAGCAGCTCAGCTTCCAGTCTGCACCAACACCCTGGGAATGGTGGCGATGGGCCAGTGAGTGCTGCTGAGCAGCTGGAAGGAAGCAAGGGCAGCGATGGACCTGGGCAGGATGGCGATTCTGAGCGGACAAGAGGCATCGCTTCTGATGCGTCAGCTTCTTGTCAAAGGTGGGTATTAAAAAGGAGCTGGAGTTCCAGGAGTTGGACCCTGATCCTCATGGGTCCCTTCCAACTTGGATATTCTGTGATTCTCTGAAATACTCTAAGCTGAAACCCTGGCAATGGTGTTAGAGAGCACATCTGGTGCTGGGAGAAGCCAAAGCAGCAGCAGAGGGTGCCCAGGACCTGGGGTCTGGGACTGAGCCCTTCAGCTCAGTGCAGGCTGCTCTGTTTGAAGCACAGCTCCAGAGCCTTGAGCTGCAGCTGCAAAACCTTCCCTGGGGCGTGACGGAGCAGGGTGGGGAGCAAGGAGGGAGGAAGTTCTCACCCTACCTGGCACGGGCGAGGTGCTGGCGCAGGTCCCCTATGGTCTCTGAGAACAGCATCCTCACAATGTACGTCTGCTCCCTGCTCTCAGACTTTATGCGGAGAGTGCAGACTTCAGGGGCAGGAGCCCCAGCCTCTTCGGTTGTCTTTAACCTGGAGGTCAGAAAGCCTCTTCAGCTGAGGAGCCAGGGCTCTGCCAGCAGCACAGATCACGAGCTCTTAACAGGCAGAGCCCCTGGTGTGCCGGGGTAATTGAATTGGGGAGGGGGGCTTCTCATTTAGGAGCATCACTGAGATGAACAAGGCATGGCCTGGCTCTGGGCGAGCAGACTGACCCACAGAACAAACCACTGCTTTGCTTTCACTGCTGAAATGTGCCTGGAAAAGAGGGTTGCTGACCTTTTTTTGCTTTTTTATTTTAGATCAAGATTGTCTGGTAAGATCTTTGCCCTACTTTTTTGATTAAAAATAATCTGCTTGGGGTTTTTTCATCAGCTATTTGGGTCTTGTCTTGCCTGGACGACTAGGAGTGGAAAAAGTGCTGTTAGTGTGACCTCCTGCTTGCACATCGGTTTCCTGGAGGGATTCTCCCATTTAGCAAGAAACTTTTTTGGATGGTTTTAAATATTTAAGCCTTGGCTTGCTGTCAGGAAAAGTATTTTGCTGCAATAAGTAAATAATGCTTTAAACAATAGAAGCTTTTGTTAGAGATGTGAAAGAAGGAAGGTTCTTCCCAAAAGACCAAACTTGGCCTTTTTTTTTTTTTTTTAATGATTTTCAAGGTATCAGATAAATGAGGAAGTAAATGGACTTGCCCAACAGAACCCCCTGAAAAAACCTGCAGTGACTAAACAGGAGGAAGATGAGAGTGTGGCGAGGTGGGGATGGAGGGGCTGTGCCTGTACCTCTTCAGGGCAGACAGTCGGGGTGTCTCCACCACGATCTCTCTGCTGCTCCACGTCCCACCAGAGCCCTGAAACCAAACCGAGCGTCACCAGCGCCAGAAAAAAAAAAAACAGGAGCAGGTGCCAAAGTGCCACGTGTGCTCTGGTGGAGCCTCTTTGGGAGGAGAAGGTTACACAGAGCTGAGAGGCCTGAGGAAGGGGCACACGATACCGTGCAGGGCGCTGAGCCCAAGGAATCGCTGCCAGCCTTGTCTGGGTGGTGCTGGGGCCCGCTCATACCTGCTGCCTTGCTCCAACTGAGTCTTGGATGTTGATTGCTTCTCCTCCAGGGGCTGAGGACTCTGAAAGGTTGTTCAGAAACTGCTTCGAGGAGGGTTTGGGACCTGCCAGAGCAGAAGGGAGATGTGTGTGTGCAGTCCTTTTGATGATTCTCCACCAGAATAGACTGATTTGGTGAAAAGAGACCAGATCAGCCAACAGAGAGAGCTCTAACCTCCCTTAGCTAGGCACAGGCTGGCTCTTGGTCTACCTGGCAGCAGCTTGTCTCGCTTTCTGGCCCACTAAATGTTTGATTGTCAACGTAACCAGGGAGTGACTGCAGCCTGTTGAGCTCACACCTGTGATGTGCAACAGGCAGACTCCTGGTTAGCCCTGCTGTGAACAGAAAAAAACTGAAACTATGACTTTATAAGCTTGGAAATGGTTTTCATCGTGTGAGGGTGTATTTGTAGGAGTGAGTTCATCTTTCTGTGGTGTCACTGGGCAATTTTATTTTTTTTTCCCACTGCATTTGGCTTTCCAGCCAGTGATGGTATCTAACAGGTATTGCTCTGCTTTGCTGCTAGAAACCAGAAGCAAAATGAGCAATGTGAGGCCTGACCTCAAGTCTCATATCCTCTTGTGAAAGTCTGAAGAGGAATCATTCATTCAGAACAGCCAAGATTGATCTAGCTGAAGATGTCCCCCTTTATGGGACGAGCTTGTAGGAGAACTGGAGCGTTTGCAAGTTACTCTTGCCCAGGTACGCACGGTTCCCTTGACATCCTTTGGTGGTAAGGGTGAAGCTAGAAGCAGCTTGGGCTTTCAGAGAGGTGGGAGCCTGACATGTTTTGGGAAACTTACTGATCTTCTAGTCTATCATTCATTGTCTTGTTTCATTCTTTAAGACTTAATGGTGAGAAGACACCATGTGCTGGCTGGCTCCTAGTTTTTGAAGCAATACTGGGGCTACTGGTGCAGGGTTTTGACCCAGAAGTGTTGCCTTCTTCTCTGAGACCCCACACCTTCACTTCTTGCTAGCTGGCCTGCCCTGGTGAGGTTTAGATTCTCCTCTTTGGGAGCTGCATTTTCAAGGCAGGTTTAGGAATTTACCTGGGATCTCGTCGGTTTCCTGCACTTTGCTTGATTCTGAATGGCCGACAGCTTGGCCGTGGCCAGGGAAACTCCCTGGAAGGTCTCCCTCCTGAAATACCACATCCCTTTTGTCGGTGACCTGTTGAATTAAGGCCGACTGCTGTAAGCAAATCTGACTGCTGCAGTTCTCACTGTAGCAGAAGACAATACATTTTAGCAACAATCTGGAGCTGTAAGCCCCAAATGAAACAGATGTTTCCTTGGAAGCTGCTCCAGCTGCCCAAACTCAGTGAAATGGGCCATTAACTCCTGGAGGCTAAGAAAGCAAATCCTGGCTGATCACTTGGGGTCCTAAGGTGGCCCGTGAAGTTGTTCATCCATCTCAACAGGCACTGGACAGCTGCCCCCTTTCCACAAGTTGTAAGAAATGTGCTGGGACTTGATTTTTCCTCTATTTCCACACTTAATCATGCTCTTAGGGCGGGAAGGGATGTGAAACCAGCAGGCTGGAGAGGGATTTACTGTCAGACTTGTATTGCTCTGCCTGACAGTAGAAGAAGCTGCAGTGGGGACTGACAGGTGGCTCTAAGAAATCAAGGGGGTGGAGAGTGCCAGCCTGAGGCCCCCAGCACTGGGGACAGCTGTATAAATAGGGGCAGTCTTCCTGTCTGAGTTAAGATACCGCCCTGTGGTTTCCAGATGTAGTCAGCTATGAAGGTATTACAAGGAACCACAGACCCATGAGCCTTGCACAGACCTTCCTTGTCCATTTGATGTTCTAACCACCCCACCTACCAGCTCGTGCTAGCTGTTCTGGCCTTCCACTTCCTTGCACAGGTGTGCCCCGCTTCCTTCATGGTGGTGGGCAGGTGTGCCACCCCTTTGGCCTGCCTGCTTATGTTTCAGATGCACTTGAAGACCTAACTTAGAGTCTTTTAAAAAAAAAAAAGACCCAAAAGAACCTCAGGTGGCTAAATGTATTTAAGTTATGGCAAAATAAACTCTCCCTACAACCTCCTTGAGAGACGCTTGTTCAATTTGTTTTTAAAGGCTCTTGCAGGTGAACTAGTTGAGGTTTTTTTGTTGTTGCACAGCTCTTCAGATGCTGCATTTGCTACTTCTCTTCTGCAACGCCTGTTATGTTCTCAGAAGTCTTGATCAGAGCCGAGATTCACCAAGACACAGAAACCGGTCCTGATGCAGAAATGCTCATTTCCTCTAACGGCTCAGACAGGTGTGTTCCTAGCCACCCGCTCCCCAAGACACACATGCAGAGAACTTAGCTGCTTGCATGCTGTGTTTAGAAGCCTTAAACTCAGTTTGTTGTGTGAAACATCCAGAAGATTGGTGGAAGTGAAAGGAACTGGAACTGTTTTCTTAGGAAGCAGACCAATTTCTTTCAAAAATGTGACGAGAGCAGGGCTTTGCACTCCATACCTGAAAAGGGATGCCATCAGGGTAGCGCATCTGCAACTCTGAAGGGAAATAGCCATCCATAATATCCTGCAGGCATTGCTGAAATGAAACAAGAGCTCATGGTCATACCTCAGATTTTCTCACTATCTGATGACTAATATTTACATCCTGGGCTGCTCCTGTTTGTGTTGTTACTGCTGTGCAAAATGTCTGCGCCTATGACCCAGATTGTTCATCTCTTAATAAAGCGTGACACAGTTGCATACTAGACTGGTATGCAGGTAGGAACACGGGTGAGAGGCTGGAGGTCTCTGTAGCTGCTCATTTTTAGGATGAGCTCTCACACCCTCTTCTTACATATTCCCTTTCCTGAGACTTAGGCTTAGAGTCACCCTGCTATGATTCACTAATTCCTCTGCAACCATTTCCATACCTGTGTTGATGGTTCCTCGTAGGACCGAAAGGGGCCATCGAACATGACGATCCCATTCTGATACAGAGTAAGAGGGAGGGGTTCCTGCTGTCTCAGCCGGGCACCCTGAGGCGTGTGCTCAATTTGAGAAATGCCTTCTCCAGCCAGCATGTTCAAATCTTTCACATTTTCCAAGATTAAATCAAAATCAATCTCATGTTTGGAAACAACTGCCTCACCTGTGGCAGAAGGAGCAGAGTTATGGGGGGAAGGAGATGCTAGCGAAATCACTTTCACCTCTGGGTGGATGTGTGACTTGCCTTTGAGTGCTAACATACTGGGGCTGCCAGCGCTGCCTCCATTTTTCACCTTTCATACCTTTTGCAAAGTGTGGCGCAACAATCCTGCTGTGGTGTGGGGCTGCCAGGTTTACATGGGCGTGTGCAAAACCACAAAGGCACAGTAGCAGAGAAACAACTCTCTTGCCTACAAGCTAGTTTAACTCTGCTGCTAACGAAGGCGCAGCCAGCTGTTTAGCAATCACATTCAGCAGCTTGTGTTTGGTTGTGATTTCATAAGTGTTGTCCCTTAATTGTGGTGCTACAAAACGCACGGAGGGAGGAACTAGGTGTCTAGGCTGGATAAATGGAATAGGGCAGACTCGATGAAAAAATGTCAGTGTAAACACAGCTGGCTGCATGCTCCCAGTCACCAGCAGATTTCCCCCTCTAAAGCAGATTTCTCTCCTGCTAGGACGCTGCTGAAGACGTTTATTTGAGTGTTTGAGGAGGGCAGCAGGGTAAAGTGGTAGAAGCATTATAATGGGCAGGAGAGTGAGATAAGAAGAGGAAACGAAAGGCAGAGTGTATGGCCTTTGTTTTTCTGTTCCGCTTTTCTAAGATCTGAGAAAGGTGAGGGAAAAAAGCTGCCTTAAATAAGAGAGGGGAAATGCTCTCGTAAAAAGGGTAAGTAAACTGAAAATCATGAAAACATTTCTACTGCTTTCCCAGTCTGCATCCAAGGGAGGGATGGATTAGTTAGCTAATATTTGCGCAGCAGTTAGGAAGCAGTATTGGCTGTATAGCCCAAGTATTTTTCTATTTTGTTTTTTCTCTGTTACCACTTCCTAAGAAGCCTCTGCCAAATATGCTTGGACCCTACACAGCACAATCAGGTCCCAATTAAACCACTCACATAGGGGCTGGGAGGAAAGGCAAACAATACTCTCTGATGGAGCCAGACAATATGGCTAAGTTGCTACAGCTACATATATACAAAGCATCTGATTCCATTTTCCACCCATTTTACGTCAGTGTTATTAGAGCAATCAAGCTTCAAACGTTTAGCATATGTGAACTCTCCAGGAAGCAGCTGCTGCAAGGGTATTCTTCCAAATGGCTGAGCCACCAGGTTCTCTCCTCCTTCCTCAGATGGGGCTTGTAAAATATGGGTATATAAAATACCAGTGTTCTGCCTGGCCTAGCTCCTGTTAAATTGTTTCATGTCTCTGTCCCAGAGATGGACTGATGTGAAGACCCAGCACAGGATCACAAATTCTGATGGTCTGCTTATCTACTCTGAGGAGTATCCTACCTTCTCCAAGCACACAGTGGGAGCTAGGATGGCTCACCATGCTTTACCTGGCTTCCAGAGGCTCTTTGCTGGCAGCTCTTCATTTTTGAGTGATTGTAAATCTTCCAGCTGTTCGTGCCTCTCTCCAACCCAGATCAGACCATAGTCATTTAAGAACCGCTGTAAGAGGAAAATATGAGCCAGTGTTGTAGAGCAACAGAAAACCAGACCTTCAGAAAACTGGAAATGGAAGCCTGAGAGTATTTGGCTGCCATTGTGAGCACCAGAAGCAGAATTGAAAGAGAAAGTTTCTCTGAAGTTTATGTTGCTTTGGCAGACAGATAAACTCTGACAGAATAGAAGTACCAGGCTAAATGGAGAATGAAACTATCTGTAGTGATACAGTAGTCTCCCAAGTATCTAATAGCTACATAGACTATTTCTGCAGTCCTGGAAATCCAAATGAAGAGGCTTGGAGGAGACTTAAATGTCTGTGTATAAAATAAACATAATAACATACTACCTTGTAGTTCACATCCAACCTGTTCTTTCTTTTCAGAGGGGTGAGGTGAAGATTTGTGATTATCAAAGTGGCAGCTTGAAAAGAACCAAGCAGGCTGGGGCTGCAGCAATCTCAAACCAAAGACAGATGGCTTGGAGCAAGTGAAGCAGGCATCTCACCTCCATCTCCCAGACCTGGGTCTGCAGCTGAAGGCACCTCATTTCCAGATCCTCTGCTGTGGACGAGTCAGGAGCATCTGAAAGGGAAGATTTGTTTTTTCTATGCACAGCCTTAAAGAAGAGCTACAGGTAATGCATGTCCCACAGGGCAGATGTCCCAGCAGTCTGCCTGTACCATAAATGAACTCAAGCCTGTAAGATACAGGAACTGAATGTGAGTTCTGCATGCTGATCCCTGACAACTTGACTTGCGGCACTTTTAGCCTGTTTGTATCTTTCTCAAAAGTACTTATGAATGAGGCTGGTGAAGTTTTATGCTGCAGGAAGCTGATGTGAGCAGTGCTGTTCATAATTATACAATGAGAATTGCTTGGCTTAGTCATAAGAAACTTCTCCGAACATCAGCAGATGTCCACTAAAGCTGGGTCCAGAAACCTAGGCTTAATAGCTGGAACAATGTACGATGAGGTAAAAAAGGTGTTTGTGGTTTGATAGGCGTATGTTTCTCTGCTCAGGAAATAGAGAATTCACCACTGCTTTGTGCTAAGAAGATAGTTCAGCCATTGTAGGAAACGTGTCTGGGATCAGCTGGAAAGTTACTGGATTCCAAGGAAGAACTCCAGTGACTCACTCAAAGCTGGGCTCAATTTAGAGGTAGGCTGCCTTACAGGACAAGTGAGCCTGGACCTGCAACTGCAAGCAGATTTTTGGTTTTGCTTAGCTGTGAATTGTCTTTTTTTTTTTTTTTCCTTCCCAGCCTCTTTGAACTCTGCAGTGGTTAGTGGTTTTTTTTTTCTTTTTTTTTTTCCTGACCATCCTCAGGTACCTTTGTGGTTGTTTTTTGCTCATGGAAACTTAGTAAGCCATAGAAAATAGGTCAGGAAATAATGTTTGCACTGCACCAGAAAAGCAGAGTAACTGATGAAGTGAGAATCTACCTTGGCAAACAGCACCACGTGTGTAACTGATCTCGCTCACTGAAGAGGCTCTTGGGCTTTTAAGGCAAGGATGGCTCAGAGGGAAGGTCTCCAAGCCTGTTCTGGTGCAGTACCAGGAGACCTGTAACTCTCCCACAGCTGCCAAGGGTAGAAGAATTTTTTTTACCTTCTCCTTTCTGAAGAGTCTTCATTTTCTCTTCAAGTTCAGCAATCCTCCTGTCCTTCAGGACCAGAATGAATAATGACCTTGTTAAGCTCCTCTGCTTTCAGGACCTTGAGGCAGTCTGCATAATTAGTCCTGGCTGGGTGAGTCAGTGCTGCACATACTCTCTCAGATGGGCAAAATCAGGGTTGGAAAGGCTGTATCGCCTCACAAATGTCTTCATCAGACTCAACTGAGGGCTGGGATATAACACAGTGTCTCAAAACTAGGTGAGGGACATTGAGAACCTATTTTCCTCGCCGCCATCTGCATAAGAGATGTGGTCTCATGTCTCCCTGCTTGGGCACAGCTTGTACCCTGAGCTGTAAGTGGCTGATCTAGAAGCCAAACCAACATCTTCACAGCCTCGTCTTTCTAAAAACAAATAACAAAAAACAAAACACCCACCCACCTCCCAAAAGAAAACCAACAAAAAAACAAACCACCAACAAAAAACCACAGCTATCTATTCTGAACTCAGCATTACAAAGAGGCCTGTTCGAAGGCGACTTCAGTCTCTAAGCAAAGGGAAGGAAAGAAAGGTCCGAAGTCAAACAGATAATGATATTAGTGCAAGGATGCAGCGAGTCATTAATTCTTAAAGTTACAGCAGGGTCAGCACAGCAAGGACTGTTCAGTCTCAATGTCAAGGACTGATATGATTGCTCTGTTGCTTTGCAGAGGATTATTTGTCTAATTAACAGAGCAGGCTATGTCTGAGCAAGTGCATCGCTACCTTGGCTTGAACAGTTAGAGCAGGACGCAGAACAGGCCTGGTAAAAGCCAGGGATTTTACCTTCAGTTGAATTTCTCGTGCTTGTTTATCTATTTTCTGTTCCAACAGGCTGATTTTTTGCATTATGGATGACGTGAGGTCCATGTCAGTGGGAGCTGCACCTGAAAGCACAAACACAGCGCGTTACCTCTCTAAAAGGGCAATTGGTACTGGAGGCAAGTCTGCACCACAGGGGACCCCATCCGAGGACTCCAGTTCTGCCACAGCAGGTGGGACAAGGGGACCTCTGGTGGGTACTGGGTGGAAATCCCTTGGGGGGTAGGGGGATGGCTGCATCACTGACAGCGTGCTGTGTGTGAGAGGGGGAGAGCACACAAATTAGCCCTGACCTGGGGTACTGAGTCCCCAAGACTGTCACTGAGAAGCTGTGATGGCCCGAAACCCCCTAATCATTGAGGGACTTGACCCTGTGTGTTCTTTTCCAGTGTTGTCCCCCTTGAGCAGGAGGGGAGACTGCCTTGCTCTGGGTTCTTTGACCGAGGCGACAGGCTGTCACCTGAGAAGAGGCACAAAGAGCACGGAAGAAAGAAAACAGGTCAGCATTTTGCATGTGACTTCTCCAAAACGAGGTGAAGAAACATGATGGGAACGAGAAGGGAGCAGAAAGCAGAACAACCCAAGTCTGTGCACTCTCAAAATAATAAGAGTACGAGGGCACCCGTTATGGCACAGGACCCAAGGGAACACACGATCTCAGCAGCCAAAAGGAGCGATCACAAAACGGGGCTAGCAGAAGGAGACCGTGACGCCAACACCGAGCATCCTGTGCTGCGCTGCGGGGCTGAAAGCGGTGGCACCGAGCTGAGCCACCAAAAAACTCAGCCTGGGAGGAACAGAAGCCGAAACCCTCGCTGGCAGGGGAGAGGCGGCTTCTGCTCTGAGATCTAACAGAAGGATGTGACCAAAAATGGAACTGTAAAAGGCGATGAAGCTCTAACGCCTGGGGGCTGCTGAGGATGTGGAAACCCTTTGTTATCTGATGTTGGACACGTAGGAGAAAGAGCCACGATCTCTGCAAAACACGCACGGTGGTTAGAATAGCCACACCAGAAGACGCAAACAACTTAGCTCTGCCCTTTTTCTAAAAAAAAGGAGAGAATATGTGGAATCAAAGGATAAGTTAGTTAATTTGGAGGAGATTTGCTCGCCAGGCAAACTTCTTAAACAGGACCGAGCAGGCTGCCAAGCCCGCAGCCCTTTTCCTCACAGCCCACCTTCCCGCTGCATACTTCGTGCACCCAGGGCTCGGCCTGGCCCCGAGCAGCAGCGGCTTGGGCCGGGTCCCCCTCAGGGTGCAGCCTCCTCGGTGCTACCCGGGCCTCCCTCAGCGCCCCGCCGCCATCTTGTGTACCGCGCGTTGCCGCGGCGACGCCGCGCCGCTGCCATTGGCTCGGCGCCGGTCACGTGGGGGCAGAGAGGCCGCTCGGGGACTACAAGTCCCGGCATGCACCGCTCCGCCCCCCCCACCTGACCAGCCCTGCACGCCAGCCCCATTATGGCCATTTTTAAACTTATTTTTTTTTTGCTTAGGGGTTTCTTCAACGCTTCGTGGCGCAGCGAAGGGCAGCTGAGCTGACATTTCCTCTACCTAACCCCTTCCTGTGCACCCCTCCCAGTCCACAGACACAGTCTGCATCCTCAAGCTGGCCCATAGGCATCACACCCCACACAAACTTTATGTTTTTTGACACAAATTTACCCTATTTTTGGCTCAAAGCTGGGGTCGGCCGAGCCAGCACCTGTGCCTGCAGCCGTGGCTCTTCCAGAGGGCCCTTCACCTGCATGTCACCATCCCACTGCCATGTCCCTCTGCTCTGTGCAGAGCTCGGCCTCGCTTCCTGGAGAGGAGCCGCACTTTTTTATGGCACATTTGCTGTCTGCAGACTTCCATTTTGCCGATTCTGTACCATGCAAAGATGAACTAAATAAAGCGAAGTTGTGCTGCTGCACTCAGGCGCTGTCGGCACTGGGTGGGCTAGGCTCACAACTGCATGTGCTACACAACTGCAAAACCAAGACAAGTGCATTTCACACCCATGCTTGTCACATTTTGTCAGCTTTACGTATTTCAACCTGTCTTAAAATAACCCTCTTAGTTTCCTGCTTCTGCAGTCAGACGGGTGCTGGAGCTCAGAGACATGCTGTGAGCAGTGGGGTGTCAGGGCTGGAACGAAGCCTCATCCCCATGCATTGCCTCGCTCAGACCTCCCTGTCACTGTGTGACCGAAATTCAGAGCAACAGCTTGAGCCCAGCTCCTGTCCTGAGCTGCAGGGGAGGAGGTTTGTTATGAGGTGCGATGTTTGCAAACTCTCCTGGTGCAGCGGGAGGTTTTAACCTGTAACAAGCACTGGCATGGGGCTCATGACAAGAAACCCCCCTGGGGGCAGACCTCAGCCCAGGTTTGTTGTGCTGCAGGCAGTGTTAGATGGTGTGGGAAACAGGAGAGCGAGGGGCTCGCTGCCTTTAATGGAGACAGTGCCTGGGACATCCCACTCAGGGCATCATCCCCACCTGCATGTCCCTCATGTCATCCCGTGAACATTCTCCCTTGCAGCATCAGCAGTCATCCTGGTGCCTTGCCCGAATCACCATGGGTTCAATTCTGGCTGCCCTTCTGGGTGGCAAGGCATGCTCAGCAGCGGCAGCATAGGGAAGGAAGGTGTGATTGGTGAGATGGGGCCAGGGCTGCACTTTAAAGCCTCTGACTGCAATCCCCGTGAGCAGATGAGGAAGCGTCACAGCAAACTGCACTGAGCACCGACCATGCAGCCCCTCCAGCGTGCCCACCTGATCCTCCTGCTTGCCCTGGTCGCCCTCTGCTTGGTAAGAGAAACTCCACAGCCCAGGGCGGCTCAGGCACCCCAAAAGCTGGGGGGCAGCCAGATCGGTCCCTTGGGTGTGGAAGCAGTTGGGGGGGGGTTAGCCTTGGGGGTTAACCAGTTATCTGGTGGGAGAATTTCTGCCTTTAGCAGGAAAACAGCGTTGTGTTTCCTATTGGAATTTAACCCTGGCTGTCTTACTAGGAGCTTTCCACTGTAGTCTGCAAAGTTTAAATACTACTGTACGTTGCTTTTTTAAGTGTTTTTTTGTTTAAGGGCGTGGTATGTATCTATTATCTTGTTACTTCTTAGCTCTCTACCCTACCTGGCAGCCTCTCTTTCGCATGCTAGCCCCATCCCTCTCCCCATCCCATGCCTCGTTCAGGGATGCTGAGCATGGCTGTGGGGGGATACCAGGCATGGCCATGGAGACTTCTGGCACAACCATGGGGCTGCGGGGATGCTGGGCACACATAGAGGGTTCCCTCATCTCCTCTACCCTCTGTAGGTTGTTTTCTTTCCAGTGAGGAGGAGAGAACCTCATGGCACTGCAGGCTGTCCCCATCCTCAGCATTGTTCCAGCTCCAGAGGGACCCAGTGGGGCTGAGAAACAGCGAAACGCACTGCTGCTTGCTTGCACCAACCCCCCCAAAAAAGTGGTTCTGTGCAGCCAGGGCAGGAGGAATTCAAGCAAATACCCTAATTTGAAGGGAGGGTCTCTTCAGAGAGGGAAGGAAACTGCCCTGAAATTTCCACCCCAGCTGCGTTACCGTTTCACGCAATGACTGCAATGCCACTGCTTGCGACAGCCTGTGGTGCCAAGAGGAAGGGGTTCTCTCCTCCTCATCGCTGGTTCCAGCACGGGGCTTTCCCAGCTCCGTTTCTGTGCCCCACATCCTCCACCCCAGGGCTCGCAGACCCCATGTCCCCAGCCGCTTCTTCAGAGTGGCGCGGACAGGAGGAGCCCACCCCCTCACTCCTGCTCCCCCACTCCCAATTTCTAACAGCCCCGGGCTAGAAATGTGGTAACGGCGTGGCGAGGGCTTGTTTCGGGCTTTGTGTTTGGGCTTCTTCATGCATATCTTGCTTCATGCAGAGGGAAAGCCCAGAAGCTGACTGATCTGTGTGTGGCTGGGCAGAGAGGAGACCACGCGTCCTGTCTGGCATCGGGGCACCACCTGATGGGTCCCAGGCGGGGATTTCCCCCCCGAGGTGCTGAGCCATTCCTGACTGTCCCCTTTTCTCTTCCAGCCCTTCATCCAGGCGCAGGACAAGGCGGGCAGCGGTGGCCCCAACAACAACAGCACCATGCCTCAGAGCAGCCTGAGCCCGCCGGGCAGCACCCCCGCCATCCTCCTCCTCGCGCTGGGGCTGGCTGCAGCCTTCCTCCAGCAGCTGCCCTGAAGGGGAAACTCCCTCCCTGCCCTCCCCGTGTCCCCCCATGAAGACGCCCCCAGGACGTTGTCCCCCTGCCCCGCCATGCCTGTGGTGCCCCACCATGGCCGCAGCCTCTGGCAGCCCCGAAGCTGCTTGGCCCTGGAGTGGGAGCGCTGCAAGACTTTGAGAAATAAAATGTGGAGGCTTTGAGGTATGTGTGGAGGCTTTGTGGTATTTCTTTATGGCGTTATTGTGCTGCGGTGGGTGTTTATTTTGATGTTTACACTGAGGCCGGGCTCGCTGAGGGGCCCCACGCCTCGCAGAGCCCTGAGGCGCGGGGCAGGAGCGCAGCGCCCCCCTCAGGCCTGACGGATCCGCCCCCAGGCCGAGTGCTGGCCTATCGCAAGGCGGCCCGCGCCGTGCGGACCAATGGGACGACAGGGCTCGTGCTCCTGACCAATCCGGCGCGGCTTGTCCCGGCCCGGCGGGCTATATAAGGGCGGGCCGAGGCGGCGGCCATTTCCTGAGGGCGCCGCGGGCGGAGCCGCGCGGTGGCAGCTCCCGGGTCTGGCTGCTGGTGCCGTCCGAACGGGGAAGGGTCCACGGGGGGCTCCGCCATGGGGGGTCCACAGTGTCCGGGGCTTGGGGGGCCTCCGGGCTCGGCCAGACCCCGCTGTCTGCCCAGTGACATCAGGACACGTCCCCAGGGCACCTCCCAGCGCTTGGGGTCCTCACCCTGCTGCGCCCCTATAGAAGCGGTGGGGGGGAGGGATGCAGAGCCCCTTCCCCTTCACAGCACCCGGACACGCCGCGGTGTCACCTCGCTTCTCCCAACCCAGATTTGGGCGCTGCGTGGGGCCCTCGGACACTAGAGGGCACCCAGGGAGCAGGATCGGGCCCCAAGCATGGGGATGGGGGCGAGGGAGCAGCTCCCTGGTGTGGGGGGAGCCGGGCAGCGGCCAACACCAGGACGAGGAAACCAAACTCAGGCAGGGCTGGCCCCCTGAGGGCCGTATCTTACACACGTACATAAATACAGTTCACAGGGATTGGGGTGGGGAAGGGGTCTGCCCTCCAGGGCGTCCCGTGGGGTCGGCAGCGTGTCCTGGAGGGCTCCTGGTGATGGAGGTGGTTGCGGGCGTCCTTCACAGCAGCAGCCGGGGCTGAGGGGTGTCCGGGGGGACAGGGGCAGCCCCCCTACTGCTGTGGGGACGCTGATGGTGTCCCCGTCCTGCCCCGTGGCACTTCTCGACACCGGGGCCTCGCCGCCCCTCATAGCACCTGTACATCCCAAATCTGCGTGGGTCGCTCCTCGGCCGCGTCCCAAATGATGGCGTGGTCCCGGTCGTACGATCGGCCGCCTGCGGAGAGGAGAGGGTTGGGGAGGGCAGAGCAGCTCGGTGCCCCGTTTCCACGGGGTCCCGGCGCCACGGCCTCACCCTTGATGTCGAGGATCATGTCCTCAAACATCTGGCTGCGGATCCGTCCCTGGGCATCGATGCTCCAGGTCTGACGCGGCATCCGTGTCTCGGACCAGAGCACGGCCTTGGAGCCCTTCGCAGCCGGCCCGATCACCTGCAGGCTCATGGTGGGGGCCACCTGCGGGGACCAGCGGTGGCCACGTCAGCCCCATCCCCTCCAAGCCTGGAGGGGTCCCTGTCAAACGCAGCTGGGGTGGGGTGGGACGCGGGAAAGGCAGGAAAGCAAACGAGGGGTGGGGATGATTGGGGTGATTATAGCCCTCAGGTGGGGCTGAAATGCCTTCCTGGCTCCAGGGGGAGAGCAAATCAAGGCGTCTTTGGTGGCGAGGCTGAGGTTAGCCCAGGAGAAAGCTGCTGTGAGCCCTAAAAGATCACTTTGGGGTGCGGCACCCGGGTCCCCTCCGGCTCCGCGGCGCGGCTGTCATGCAGCGAGCCCTGACCTGGTTTTTGAGCAGCCCGTCCTCGTAGTACCAGACCGAGCTGCTCTGCTCGCTCAGGCTGGAGACCACCACGCGCCCGGCTTTCATATCCTCCACATCGTCAGGGACGGACAGGTAGAGCTCCAGCTCCTTGCTCCTGATGCGGAAATAAATCCGTCTCTGCCAGGAGAGAAACCAATTTTATTCGGGTTCTGCGCACCGGGGTCCCCACAGCACCCAAAACCCGCTCTGTGCCGTGTCCCCGCGCTGCTGGGGTGACGGATGTGGCCCTGGCTTGGCTCTTGCAGCTTTTTTGGGCACGGCAACCCCTGCCACGACGCCGGGACGTTGTGCAAGGCGTTTGTCCCCGGGGAGGGTTTCGCCACGGCGGCAGCCGCTCCCAGGGCAGGGAGCCGGGTGCCAAGGACGGGCTGGCACCGAGGGGGACCCCAAGGTCACGTCCCACTGCCTCATCCAAGCCCCTTGCGTCAGGGCTGGTGACTCGAGCTCCTTGCGAGCCGCCTGCCCCCCGGGGCTGCTTTTGGGGCTCCCTGGGTGCTCACCTGGCGGATGGGGTAGAGGGACCCCACGTGCTGCAGCCCGCTGTATGTCAGCCAGTTGGTGATTTCGGTGCAGTCCAGCAGCCACTGGCGGCCTCGGAAGTCGCCGTGCTCGCACAGCACCCAGCTTTTAGGAAAACCTTGGTCAGCCCGGGCACCCCCCAGAGCCCCCCATGTGGGGCAAGGGGAGAGCGGGGCCGGGGCTCACTTACATCCCGCCCTTGACCCGCACCGACAGCACGTGGTTGTTGAAGCCCTCCGCCTGGAGGCTCCGCACCTCGCTGTTCAGCTCGATCTCCTTCCCCTCGAAGCACTCCAGCCCGTGCAGGAAGATGGAGGGCTCCGAGAAAAACTGCGGGATGGGGGCAGGAGGTGAGGGGAGAGGGGGGGAAAGCAGGGGGAGAGAGCACCCGTGGGTGCAGGAGGGATCCGAGGATGGAGAGCCAGCACTGGGGTAGGCACGGGAGGGGAAGGAGGAGGTTCTTGGGGGTTTCTGCCCCAGCAAAGGGAGAATTGTAGGATTATAGGATATCCCCAGTTGGAAGGGACCCACAGGGATCAAGTCCTGGCACCACACAGGGCTACCCAAAAAATTCAGACCGACACTCACCACCGGGACCTTCTTCAGGGAGCAGATGGTGGCCGAGGACAGGCAGCCCATGGCGCCCAGCGTCGGGTACTCGCCCTCGGACAGCACGTGCTGCTCCCCGGAGAACTCCCGGCCATCGAACAGGATCCAGCTGGCGGAGAGGATGAGCCCGGGCTGACGTGGCCACCGGGCCAGGTGGGTGTCCCCTGCCCTCCCAGAGAGCCCCCGCGGGTGCCAACCCCATTCCCGGTTCTCCCTGACACCCGTGGGTGGTGGGGCACCCTCTGTCCCAGTCCTTGTCCAAGGCAGCAAGTTCTGGGGTGTCCTACCTGCCCCCACGGACCCTGCAGGAGCGGGGCACGAAGCCGTCGGGCAGGGAGCCCTGCTCCTCCTCGAAGGCGAGGTGCTCCCCCAGGAAATCAGGCTCTGAGAAGAGCAGGATCTGGGGAGGGGGGCACACAGGGGCTCGGTGACGGGGGCGATCCCACAACGGCTGGCATCGCACCGAGGGCCCCCGTGCACCACACCCGTACCTTGGAGACGAAGTGCAGGTTGCGCTCCCCAACCTGGAAGCAAACAGAGCGGGGTTGGTCGGGGTCTCACCCACCCGGGGGGCACCCATGGGTGCTGGGGGGGGGTGGGGTGTCTGGGTGCTCTCACCTGCAGGATGGGCTGCGCTGAGGCGATGCGGCAGTCGGCAGCGCCCCAGTCCTCGCAGTTGCGGTACACCCCCTTCTCCAGGATGTACTGCTCGCCCGAAAAGTTGGGGCCCTCGTAGGCCACCCACCTGCCGGGGGGGACGCGGGTGCAGGCTCAGGCTCGGTCCCTTTGTCCCCTCTGTCCCCCCCGGTCCCCCCGTGCCCGCACTCACACGCCGCTCAGCACGTGGATGGACTGCGTGACGGTGCCGTAGCCGGCCAGCTGCGTGTCGGGGAGCGCCTCGCTCAGCTCCACGCTGGGACCCTCCTCGAAGTCCATGGCCTCGAAGAGCACCAGCGCCGGGTCGGAGAAGTCCTGCGGGGACAGAGGAACCCCCCCAAAAGTCCTTGGTTTGTCGTGGGGAAGGGGCTGTGGGCTGGGTGCTCTCCATCCCCACATCCCCTAACATAACCCACATGGGGTTAGGGGGTGGTGGGAGCAGCTCTCTGCCCCCAGCCCCCCGCGTGCAATGAGCCTGGGGGCTCTCAGCCCGTGCCCAGATGGGGGACGAGGACAGGACAGGGCGGGTGTCTCCATCCCCACGCGGTGCCCTCACCGTCCGTATGAGCCGTAAGGACACCAGCTCCTTGTTGTAGCCGCCCCACTGCCTCCAGTCGTGGTACTCCCCTTCCTCCAGCAGGTACTGGTGGCCTCGGAAGCCCTCCTTCTCGTAGCCAACCCAGCTGCGTGCAGACACGGGGGCAGTGAGGTCCCCCCATCCCCAGGACACAGGGAAACTGCCCCAGCGCCACCCTCCTTGCCATGGGGACACTGCTCCCGATCATCCCCCAGCCCCGGGAAGCTCCGTCCCCTTCCAGCTCTGCCTTCCCACGCCTCTCACCAGCCGCCCAGGACGCGCAGGGAGCCCAGGGTGGGCAGCGCCAGCCCGGGCAGGTTCCTCAGGTCGTAGATATCTCGGTTGACGGCGGAGCTGCGGCCCTGGAAGCCCGCGGCCTCGTAGATCAGCACCTGCGGCTCGCCGGGACGCTCCACCACGGGGCAGCCCTGGAAAGAGGAGAGGAGCCCCGGTGAGGAGGAGGTGGCAGGGGGGGAGATATTTGGGATGCAGCCCCCCCGGCAGGCAGCGCTCACCAGCCGGATGGGGTGCAGGGAGCAGATGGCCGGATCCTTCGCTCCCCACGCCTTTAAGTTGGGGTACCCGCCCGGCTCCAGGACGTAGGGGTCGTCGTCGAAGAAGGGCTTGGAGTAAACCAGCCAGCTGGGGAAGAAGCACCCAAAGGCTCGAGGGCGGTCGCCGGCACCCCGGGGTGGCGGCACCCCGGGGGTGGAAGCTCCCCGATCCCAAATCACCCCGCTCACAGGCCCGAGTGGACGATGATGGAGGAGGCGGCGAGCGCCTGGCCGCCCGCGCGCGTGTCCTCGGCCGAGTCGGTGAACTTCAGCCGGGCGCCCTCGCCGTTCTCCTCCGCAAACAGGCTGATCTCAGGGGTGCGGTAGTCCTAACGGGGGGAGTGGGAGCAGCATGAGGGGGACCCCCAGCACCCCCCTCGATTTTTTGGGTGCTGAGGGAAGGGGCCGTGCGCTCACCCGCACCACCCTCTTGAAGGAGCCGATGCGGAAGGGGCGGCCGCCGCGGGGCTCCGTGCCCTGCCCGTAGGCTGTCCAGGGGTTGTCGATCTCCACGTCCCCCTCCGCCAGCACGCACTTGCGCCCATGGAACCGCGGCTTCTCGTACATCACCCACCTGCCAGCAGGGTGGGAGCGGGAGGGGAGCACCCCCCACACACCCCCGGGGAATTTGGTTACCCCGTGCGCCCGGCCCTGGGTAATGGCAGGGTGCGGGACGCGGCCGGCGCGGCCACCGGGAGCCTCCGGCAGCACAGCGGGGTGGGGACATCAGCCAGCACCGTGCTGGCTCGTGGCCACGGTCGTTAGCAGCAGCAGGACGGCCACTGATGAACCCCGGGTGGCAACCTGGGGGCCCCCACCCCGGCCACGGGCAGCGCTGCCCCAGCCCAGCTCTCCCTCCGCATCCCCGCGCCGCCACCGGCCCCTACCCGCCGCGGATGACCCTGATGGAGATGGTGTGCGAGAGCTCCCAGGACGTGGCATCGGGGACATCACCCCAAATCTCCCTCCTGTGTCCCGTGAAGCTGGCCTCGGAGAAGAGGATGATCTGGGAGAGGTGACAGCAGAGGTGCTGCGGCACCGCGGCACCAGGACCCCCAGCCCGGCCCCCGGCCCCGTGCCCCATACCCCATACCTTGCCGGGTCTCGTGTTGATCTTCTCGAAGCTCTCCTCGTCCTCCTGCTGCCAACGCCCGAGGACAGCGACCCGTGAGGGGCGCGGGGCGATGTCGCCCACACCAGCCATCGCCGCAGCCCCAGCCAGCAGCAGCCGCGGCCGCACGTCTGCAGCCTGCGGATCCCTCCCAGCGCCCCGAGCAGCCACACCTCGAGCATTCCTGCACCTCCGGGACCGGCCTCTCCGCCCAGACCCTGCCCTCCATCACCTGGCCCAGTACCTCCCATCGCCAGTACCTTACCATCCCAGTGCCCTCCTGTCACCTGTCCCAGTGCCCTCCTGTCCCAGTACCCTCCTGTCACCCATCCCAGTACCCTCTCATCCCAATCCCTTCCCATCCCAGTACCCTCCCCTCGCACCGGGACCTTTCCCAGCCTGACCATTCCTCTGGGAATCACCAGCCGTGGGCTGGAGGCAGGGGAGAAGCTGCTTGGGGGATTCAGACGTGCCATAAAGCCAGACCCCACCACCTCCCGTGCACCCAGCAGGGCAGAGCACCCCCAGGAGCCATGGGACGGGCGTCACTCACCGGCACATCAGCGGGGCACGGCTCCGTGGTGCTCTCCGGCTCTTCGGTGACAGGCTGGATGTGACCAGGACTTGGGGCTTGCAGCTCGGCCACCTCAGTGCCGTGGTGCTCAGTGGGGGGCGAGCTCTGGTCCTGCTGCTCCCTGTAGGGTGGGGTGGGGGCGACGAAGCGGCTGTAGAGCACGCTGTTGTCCAGGCGCGAGTAGGGCTTGGCCTCGTCCGCCGCGGCTGCCCGGTGCTCCAGGAAATCGGAGAGCAGCGCCATGCCCTTCAGGACGTTCCCTCGGAACAGCACGCTCCGCTCCCCCGCCGCCCTGCCCGGCGCCGCTTTGCTTCTCTCCTCTGCTCCCTCCAGCTTGGGTCCCCCCCGGAGCGTGTCCAGCTCCCCGGTGCCACGGCGAGACCCCCGCGACGCCCTCTCCCCAGGGCTCAGGTAGGGGTTCTCGATCTCCTCCTCCTCCTCTTCCTCCTCCTCCTTGAGGCTCCTGGAGCTCTCCGGGGGGGACTCTGCCCGCCGCCCCCCGCCGCCCCTCGCCAGCAGCTCCCGCAGGGCGTCGGGCAGCGAGACGGGGGCGCGCGGGGCCACGCGGTCCTCGTGGATGGGCGGCAGCGCCGCGCAGCGACCCAGCGCCGAGGGCCGGGGCTGGCGAGGAGCCTTGGGTGCCTTCCGCATCTCTGAGGGCTCCATGTTGCGCAGCGTGTCCACGAAGATCTCCATGTCCACCACCAGCTCAGGGTCCTCCTCCGCCGCGTCCGGGGGGCTCTCGGGCAGTGGGGAAGGGGCTGGGGGGTTCTGCGGGGGCTCTGGGGTGCGCTCAGGGTTCTGGGGTGCTCTCGGGTTGGGGCTCTGGGGTGCTCTCCGTGGGAGGCTCAGGGGTGGTCTCCGTGGGGGGCTCTGGGTGCTCTCAGGTTGGGCTCAGGGTGCTCTCCGTGGGGGGCTCAGGGATGCTCTCAGGCTCTTGGACCATTTTTTGGGGGTCCCCCGACATCTCCCCCTCCTCCTTCTCAGCTTCTGCACCCTTTGGAGATGCTCGTGCTTCAGGTAAGGGCTCAGGACCATTGCTCACCTCCAAGGAGAGGTTTTTGGGGGTGCCATCAGCTCCCCCAGAGCTCTCTGTCCTGGGCGGCGTGGCCAAACCAGTGCCATCCCCATCCACCACCGTGCTTCCCTCTCCCACACCAGCCTGATCTGCCGGGCTTCCTGACGTCCTCTGGGGGCTGCTGGGCACTGGTTTTACTGGTTTGCTGGTCCTGGGGCCTGTCGCCATCTCTTGACGCCGCCTTCACTGTCACAGCCTCACCTTGCCTCCAACATTTTTCCCCGGGGGCTCCCCCAGCACCCGAGGCACCCGGCGAGCTTCCCGTGCGTGCCGCGACCTCAGCGGAGCCACCAGCACCCTGCTCACAGCTCTCCCTCTGCGACAGGGCCGTGGCGGTGCCGGCAGCCTTGTGCACCCCGTTTTGGGTTCTCCTCCCCTCTGCGCCCCCCGGCTTGCTGCCAGGCTCCCTCCTTGCCCCCCCGCAGCACCGTGACGTGCCTGGCCCTGGGCTCGGATGCGCCGGGGCCACCACGGGGCGAGCGGTGGCAGGGGGCTGAGGTGGCCGCGGGGTTGGCGGGGAGGAGGGCGCCGTGCATGTAGCTCTCCCGGTGCACGGGGACGTCCCGGGGCGCAGCCGTGTTGCTGTCACCCCCCTGCTTCTCATCTTTCTTCCGGGGTTTCTGAGCGGGCGAGTAGACCTGCGAGAAGACGGGGCCGTGCGCCGTGAAGTCCTTGAGGACGCTGACGGAGGACGAGCAGCTCCGGGGTGCCACCGGGGCCGGCCCGGTCGATGTCTTCTCCACGATCTCCCTCTCCCAAGCCTGCAGCAGGAGGGAGACGCGGGAGGGGCTGCCGTCACGGCCCCCCCCGGCTGCCGTCTGCTCCAGCCGTCGCGACACCAGCGAGACTTTCTGCAAGCGGGAGCGGCCCTCGGGTGCTGGCGGTGGTTGCTTCATGCTCAGCTCGGTGCTGGAGGCGAGGCCCCTCGCCTTGCTGGGCCGCAGCGCTGAATCCATGCCGGGGGGGCTGCGGCCCCCGCCACCACGCCTGGGCCCCCGCTGCGCTGCTGGGAGCTGTGGGGAGAGGCACCAAAATTCAGACTCTGGGGTACCCGAGCTGAAACCCTTTGTGGGATCCAACCTCGTGCCCACCCCTCTAGACCCTAAACCACCCTACACATCACTTTTAGGCCGTTTTAGGGAGGATCCCGTACATACAGGAGGTGGTTTTGGCGATGCCAAATGCATCTCAAGCATCTCTCGGGATGCTCACGCCCTCCTGGCACACGCAGGAGGTGTGGGGCACCACCCTCCCCTCTGCCTGCACGTCCCGGCGCTCCTGCGGCCAGCACGCGGGGAGCCGCGCCGCGCCACCGAGGCAGGATGCGGCCAGCCCGGGCCATGCCCCAGGCTCGGCCGTGCCCCGAGCTGCGGGATGAGTCAGGAGGGCGCAGGGCTGAGCCGAGTCAGCAAGCACAGCAAACAAACAAGCCCAAAAAATAACAGGGAGGCAGCTCCGCGGGGTGAAAAGGCTTCGCCGGGGCTGTGCCACGGCCGCTGCACCCACGGGGTTTTGCAGGAGGAGGTGGGGAGCTGGGCAGTGCCCTCCCTGCGTCGGGGTCAAGGTGGGATGCCTACAGCCACCTCTCCAGCCTCATCAGCACGAGAAAATGAGCTCTGCTAATTACCCACCGCTTGCACCCTGAGCAGAGCGGGCACCCAGCACCCAGCTCCTGCACCGGGCATCACCTCCCGGCCCCTGGTGTGTGCCAGGGAGGTCACGGGCACCCCGGGGCCCTGGTTCATGGGGAGGCCGGCAGAAGCGACGCCGTGCCGAGGCTGCGGGACCGCCCCAGAAGGGTTTTATTGCTGTGTTTGGGATATGGAAAGCAGCTGACGAAGCAGCTGCGTGTGAGTGAGCCGGAAGCGTGGCAGCATCTCGGCATCTCCCAGTTACGAGCTGTGCCGGGTCACCAGCCTGGCGAGGCTGCGGGGGCTGCAGGAGGGTCAGGGGCTTGGGCACTGCCCAGGGAGAGGCCAAATTTGGGCTTTTTCAGGCTGGGGTTGGGAGAAAAGCTCCCCGGGCTGAGTTTTCCAGGCTGGGACCTGAGATTTCCTTGGGGAGGAGTCCCCCTTCTTTGGGGTCAGCACTGGGTGTTCCCCACCGTGGGGGACGGCCTCATCCTGCACCACCCAGGGCTGGTTCCCTTTGTGCCCCACGGCCTCCACCAGGACATTTTGGGGGTGCCGGGGCAGGGCAGGGGAGGGCAGGGGAGCTGCCCGCCCCTCCTGCCTGCCCGCCACGCGCCCTCTGCGTCTCACGCGCCCCGGCCCGGCAGGTCTTTCCAGTAGAGATAGGAAGGGGTTGGTGTCATTTTCCAGGAGGCGAGGAGCCCTCGTCTGGGACAGGGAGCACGGCTGGAGGCTGGGATGAGCCCGGGCAGGGTCACGCACCTGCAGCAGCAAAGCCACGGCCGGATCCGGACCCGCAGGGCCACCGCAAATCCCAGGTGGAAAAGGGACCCTTGGAGATGTGCTGGGGACCACGAGGGGCTTTAGGCTGGGAGGGAGCCCCAGCACCACGACCACAGGGTCACCCTGCGACCCCGGGGTCGGGGACACTCCTGTTCCTGGCTGTGACAAATGGGGGGGACACGGGGACACGAGGACACGGACCCCTCTTTGTCGTGCTGGTGTCACCGCGCCGCCTGGCTCCTGTTTTCACCCCCAGCTTGCTTCAGCCCTGGTTTCTCAATCTATCACCGGCGGTGCTGAGCCGTCCCCGCCGTGCCCATGGCCCCAGGTGGCACAGGGATGGGGACAGCGGGGTGCTGGGAGGCTCTGACTCAGCACCAGGGCTGACTCTTGCCCCAAGCAGGATTTCCAAAGCTCTCCAGGTCAGCGTCTCCCAGCCCTCCGCACCCCGCGCCCGCAGCAGGATCTGGTGCCCGGCGACACCCGGGGTGCCAGCGGTGCTGGGGATGAGCCCGGCACCGGCACCGTGGATGGGGGCAGGTGCGGGATGCGGCCACCCAGCCAGGCCGTTTGGCACGCCGGGACACGCCGTGCCGAAACCCAGCCGTATTGTCGCAACGGGCACCTGGCACGGCCAATTAATCACCCCGTCCCACCCAGGTGAAGCCGCTCGGCTCATTTCTCAGCTCCTGGCACTCCGCAGGGGCTCGAGGCAGCCAGGCCGGGGCTCCCAGCAGCCCATTTAAAAGGCAAAAAAAAGGTGAGGGCAGCGGCTGGCGGGTGGCAGCGACCTGCGGCCGGTTTCGAGCCGGTGGCCACAGAGAAAGCGGGGCCCGCGGACACGGCGCGATGCACCCGAGGGCTGTGGGTGAGCGCGGCCCTGCCACCTTCAGGAAAATCAGGACTTTGGTTTGGGCGGCTGCTGCTCACGTTGGGGTTAATAATTAGGGCAGGGCGATTTCCATTTCCCCCGCTGCCCAGTGCGGAGGCGTCCGGCAGCCCCCAGCCCCGAACCCTGCAGAGAGGAGGGGATGGGGGCGGCCGGGACCCCCCTGACCCTCAGCCACAGGGCTCCTGGAGGTGGGTGAGCCCCGGTTTGTCCCCGGTGGGTCCGGTGATGTGATTTGAGTGGGGTTAAACCCCTGAAGGGGTTGGAGCTGAGAGGGGCTCAGCCCCCATCCCTAGCCATGCTGGGATCACACTTGTGCCACGCTTGGGCACGGCTCCGAGCGCGGTCCCGCTGGCAGCAGGTGCCCTCCCGCTCCCGGCACGGCACCGCCGCCCTTCTCACCACCTCCACCCACCCCGGCAGCACCCACGGGCCCTAAATCTTCCCCCCCAACCTACCTGCTGGCCTGAGGGTCCTGCCGGGCGCCGGGCTGGCCGTGCCGAGGGCGCCGTGTGGGGCTCGGGGTGCTGCTCCTTGCACCGGCACGCCGCGGCTGGGCGGACCGGCAGAGTCACCCGGCGAGCACCCAGCCCTCGCCGAGCACCCAGCCCTGGCGAGCGGAGGTTTGGCATTCCTCAGGTGCTGACAGCCGGGGAGCCGGTCAGGCTGGTTCCCCAGCACCCTGCTCCTCTCCTGCCTTCGACTCAGCAGCGCCAGCGGGGAGACCGGCACACCCGGGCTGGCGGGGACCCCCCCGGATCCCCTACAACACCGACCCTGCCCCTGAAAATCTCCCCAAGGGCTCCGTGCCTCCTGTGCCTCCTGCCTTCTGGATGCCCCTGAGCACCAGGACCCCCTCGGTGCCACCACCGGGGTCCCAACGCGGTGTTGTGGTGCTCTGGGGGCCCGTGGCCACCATCACAGCTGAGTTAGTTGCCAGCTCTGGCCAGCTCGCACCGTGCCGTGGCTGCCCCCAACACGCAGAGGGTCAGGGGAGGCTGCGTGGTCACCGTGGCTGTACCACTGCTGCCACCAAGCCAGGTCACCGTCCCCGTGCCACACCGGCCTCGCACGTCCCGCAGGGCCCCAGGGGCCGAGCGCTGGCCCCAGGGGACACAGCAGTGGTCACGGTGGCCCTGGGCCACCGCAGGAGTACCTGGCCCAGGGCGCGGGCGCGGGGCCCTTTCCTGGAAGGGCTCAGGGCTGTGGCAGAGCCAGCACCCGCCCTGGGTCCTCGCCCTGCCCCTCCCGCTCCGCCCCAGCACCCGCGGGTGCCCTGCCGAGCCGTGCCAGCCTCGCCCCTGGGGCCAATGCTCCTGGCCACCACCCAGGGAGCCACTCGGCCACCTCCAGCTCGGTGCACGCAGCCACAACCCGCTCCAGTGGGAGCTCCCCAGTCCCATCGCACCTTGGCCAGTTTTGGGG